CGTCGTTTCAGCCCAGTGTGCATAATTTTCAATGGTATAAAATACCAATTGATTTATTCTTAGTTTATTTAAGTAGCCGTCAGTATAAAAAAGTGTTTTATAGCATTTGAAATCACTTAAAGAGTGATAGGTACCTGGGAGCGTTACGAGATGACAACAGCGCCAACGTAGCTAGTGAGGAAACTAAAAAAAGCAAGCTACCAATGAGCGTTATGGACGCAAACAAAAGTTTTGCTATTCTTCACTAGATAGCGATGTGATCATCATAATAGTTAAAGTAATTTTCTTTAGATTTACAAATCTAGTAGTTCAGCTTAAAATAAAAGTATAATAAAGTAGATAAATTTGCTATTTCTTCTTTCAAACGTTTAATACTTGGTAAATTATTTCGTTTTTACTTTAGTTACTAACAATGCGAAGCTAGCAGCAATAATTGCTCTTCGATGCGAAGAGATGGCGCTGCCTAAGAACCGAACTTGGAATCGGAACATTTTTTAGAAAAAAACATCTTTAGATTTCCCAAATACTTTTAATTTTAGTCAATTAATTAAATACATCTTGCTCTGTAGCAAGATATATTTAATAAATAGTAATTCTTATAGATTTTTTAGTCTGCAAGGCAGCGCCATCTCTTCGCGTTGTAGGTAACCTACAATTTTAAACGAAATACTTTCCTGATGCCTCGACCAAATTTTTTTATATTTATAAACCTAGCAGTTAGGTTCATATGATTAAAAAAAATTTAATGAATACACCTTTTCAAAATTTTCGAAATCCAACTATGTAATTGTGAATTTAAGCTTGATATTTCCTGTATTGATTCATTGCATTAGCGCCCCTGATGTTGAATAGCTAGAACTAGCAAAACGAGAGACGAACATCTGAATAAATAAACTGCGAAATATTTTTAATCAGACGAAAGTATTTACTACGAATAATATTACTTGTGTCGTACACTAGGCAGCTTATTTTTTAAAACCAACGAACTAATTAATCTTGCTCACAATAATGTAGTCGAGCTGATAGCAGCGTATCTGGTGCTGAGTGGCTAGAACTGTTTAACTGTTCGACATTAACATTATAGTACAAGACACAAAAAGTCAGGTTTTTCATTAATTTTGAGAATTATATTATGATAAATAAATAACATTACTTATGTAAGAAGCTGATCTATAGCTATAAAGTTTTATAAACACCAAAATTCATTTACATTTTGTTCTCCCACCATCCCCGCAATCTACTCCTGCAGTACACCGCGCTATCATTTTGACATCGTTGTAACTTTTTAAATATTTGTCGAAATGACATAGTGTAAAAGGCTAAGTTTAACGTCTTTCAATTTCAAAAGCGATAAAAGTATTTATTTTATTACAAAACTATTTTTTTAATCCAAAATGTGCATTTTGGAAATGGATATCAAATAATATTTTATTTTTGTTTCACTGTTTTAGCGATAATGGCTTACACATTAAAAATAGATATATTCTGTCGCAGACTTTTTTGTAGAACTATTTAAGAGATACATTTTCACTATACATTATATTCATGTAACTTTTACTGTTTTTGCAGTACAGGCTGAAATGGCTCGCAGATGGGAGGTTTTTTTCCGCCTTACGTGACACTTATTGTTATATTTTGGCCTATTCACTCAAAAGCTACAAAAATTATAATCTATGTGTTATTATTATGTATGAGCTATATTGTTGTTAAGTTGCATTAAAATCCATTCACTATTTTTTGGGTGAAAGAGTAACAAAGATCCTCTATACAAACGTAAGATTGAAATTCAAAGCGCAAGTCCCTAATATGCAACTTTAAATCGTTGTAGATCCTAAACAATCAAATAAAATGAAAAATGGTGTTAGGAACCTAAACATAATTTTCGATTATCTAGACAGTGATACCCCACTCGACATATTTTGTCAACTTATTTTTTTACTTCGTCACAATATGGCGCCTAATTTTGTCCACATTGAATTTTGATTACTATCATATCTTTAGTAGCACTCCCATGATTGAGACGAATCGATTGATGTATAAATCATCAAAATCGGTCCAGGCGTTTGGCCTCTAGTGTGCCACAAAGGAACAAACATACATATATAGACTGTTAAACACAATACCCTGTCTGCGCGTCGCGCTTCGCGCTCTTGCATTGCGCAGCCGGGTAATAAGGTGGTACATAACAAATACAGTAACTATGTGACGCCCTGCAAGGGCACAGCAACTTTAGAGGGTTATAATCTATTTAAAATATATTATTATACAATTGCACAATATAATTTATAAACTAAGTTTTAATCATTCTTTACATACATTGGTGTTTGGTGTCAATTCTAGCATGACTCTCCAACCCAAACCTAAATTTGACGACAGTGTATTCTTATCATTCCCAATACATAAGTAAAAAAGTTTAGAGAATCATGCCAGAATCGACACCATAAATTCATTAAAATATTGTTATTTATCCTTCATTTAAATACATTCATTATAAATTAAATTCTTAAGAGTCTGAAGCATTCCATTGGCTGGGTGATTTGTCATTGAAAAATTCATTTAAGTCATAATAACACTTGGCAATAAGAAAGGCTTTTAAATGTTTGATAAATTGTGTCGGTGTGTTATAGTTTTTTAAATAGTTAGGGACATGGTTATATATTTTAATCATCATTATATGGGGGCTAGATGCTACTAATTTCATTTTCGATATCGGTAATCTAAATTTATTTAAGTTTCTATTATTCCTTTTATTATTTTTTAGTGGCGAATAAAATTCTGGATGTTTTATAATAAATTTACAAGACTCCAGAATATAGATGGAAGCTAAAGTTAATATATTATACTTTACAAAAAAAGTAGTGAGTCTATTGTAAGTTTACGAATGTTGATGAAGCAGTATTATTGGGAATGTTGACAAAATGTTTTTTATTGTGATTAATTGAAGTTTCTCTTCTCTCTTTGATGAAAATAGTTCAGCTTTGAGTAAATACCTGATAAGTAGAAGTAGAAAAAGAAAAGGTAGAAAAAATATGCAAGAATAAAAGTTTGAGGCTATGTAACAAACATAGCTCCTTTACTTTTATAAAACCTGAGGCTATGTAACAGACATAGCCCCTTTACTTTTATAAACCCTTAATTTACCCGGTAGGTCCCTGGGACTCCATTGAAAACTTTCCGCGCTCATAAAATCGTTAGTTTTTGGAATTACAAATTGTGCGTTCCAATACCTTCACGGAGTGACGGTCCGAGTGCGGGGGAGAACAGACGTTGCTGTTCGCGGCTTCTATCGGTAAGTAATCACGCTAGTGGAGTCCGTGGGACTCCAGCGGGGTATCAATGTTACAGTTTTAGTCTATGTACGGTATTTTTAACTGTGATTTTTTTTACTTTCAGTTGATATAATGGCGTCTCGTAGTTGTATAAACGTCCTTGATGAAGATAATTGACTTCATATATAGACGACTTCATATATTTGCCATAGTTGTACTAAACCTGTGTGCCTCAGCTGTACAAAAATGTATGCAATAACTGTGTCAACAACCGTGACTAGAAGGTCTTGCACGTTTTTTCTTTCTTGTTCAAACCATGTTCTTTTTTACTTTTTATAAGAATTGTTTATATTTTCGTTTTATTTCTTTGAAGATTACTTTATAATATTGATTTGTTTTTGAAATGTTGACATTAGAAGATAGGTCTCATAATTTTGTTACAAAAAGTGCGATTATCTAAAAGTTCCTTAATAAAAGACTGTAATTGAATGATTTTAACTAAAAAGTTAAGATAATGTAAAACCAAATACATAAAAAGCAAATTTAACTAGCATTTCATTTAAAAAAATGGTTTATTTCCTATTATATTTAGGATTTAAAACCCGGGAGTCCTGGGGACTCCACCGGGTAAAATGTGTATGTATGAAGTCACCGGGTAAACCAAGGGTAAAACCTGAATCTATGTAACAGACATAGCCCCTTTACTTTTATAAAACCTGAGGCTATGTAACAGACATAGCCCCTTTACTTTTATAAAACCTGAGGCTATGTAACAGACATAGCCCCTTTACTTTTATAATTTTATTGTAAAAGTCTGTAATTCTTGTTTTAGGGATTAGAGTAAAATTACACTTTCTTATTGATATTTATGTGGCGAGGAGCACGATGGCGCAGCAGGTAGCACCTGGTGTGGGAAATTATGAAACTTTCACAATGATCAGTCATAAGATGGGTGACCAAAAATTTACACTCGATTTCCTTCGCAGTAGGGAAGGAACATTAGGCCGTTGGTTCGGGCTGCATCTGCTAGCGCCCACCAATCGCATTGGACCCGCCTGGTGGGTCATGGCCCGTTCTCGCTATTTGATACAAAAGAAAGGCCAGTGTCCCAGCATCGAGGCATTAAAAGGCTGATACCAATCGCATTGGGCCCGCCTGGTGGGTCATGGCCCGTTCTCGCTATTTGACACAAAAGAAAGGCCAGTGTCCCAGCAGTGAAGCATTAAAAGGCGGATAATGAATCTTTGTTTGTATAGTTGGATAGTCTCCGGGGTCTAGTGAAGGGCGAGCTGACGTTCTTTCAACGTGAAGTCGTATGCGCATTGATCGTGATAGAAGTGCATGCGCGTGACGTCACAGGCACATTAGTCGACGAAAACGTTAAAAATGTCTCAGACTTTCAGTGGATCTGTCAGCTCAGGTAAAATACCTAACTGTTTATTTCCTCTTCCGAATTATGTTTCGTTTAGGCTGATCAAATAGTGTTAAGAGTGCGTGCATTTGATATTCCAGGCACATTTATCGATTTGGGATATCAAAGATTTGCTTCGATTCCCTATAGAACAGATTTTTACAGTCCAGGTGTAGAATTGTTTACTTTTGCACCCACATAATGACAAATAGACTCTCACCTCGATGAGGTGTGGCTGTGGCTTAGAGCATATCTAAGAGCTGTGGCAGTAATGTTTATAACTATTCTTCTTTTTTTATGCTTATACATTTTGATGATTCGATGATTCGACAATGGACTATGGCTTGAATGTATATTACGTGTACGGCATGTATGAGAAAGATTTGGCGAATACTCAACGCAAGCCAAGTATGTAAGATATATTGAACCGACTGTAAGTTGTAAAGAATCCCCCATAGTTTTCCAATAGCCTAAATTATTCAATTAATTAGAAAAGGGTATTACTATTGGAAAATCAATTATTGAGTTTTAAGACCTTAATCTATTGCACTCATAACATTTGCTGATCAGATACTACCAGATTGTAAAGGAAATGTACCCGCTGGAAGAGGGTGAATCGCCCGAGATCTACCAAGACGAGACTCATTTGGACACATCAGCTTTTTACCGCCAGTTCAGTCAGAACTATTGCGATGTCCGCGCTCTGAATTCTTGCTTCCCCTACCAGAACGAATACCTCGGTAATAGGTAAGTTTTACAAGATGTGTCGATTTTCTTTCACATGTTCTTTCTATTGCCGACGACACGACTTTAACCTCCTCTTAATAAGTTTCCATACAAAATTTGACATTGACATTTCACACTCGCAAACTATTCGAATTTGATAATGGTTCGTGCTAGGGGTATAGATGCTTGAAAATGTATGTGTTTTATTTTCGAATTATTATTCGCATTGTATTGTAACTGAGTTCATAAAGAAATGCGTACGTACTACAGTTTGTATATTACTTTATTCTTTTTATCACGTAATAAGACATTCCTTTCATTAAAAAAGCTATGTTAATTAGTAAAAAATTATCTTTATGATAAACCCTTTCGATGGTTATCATAAAATATGTCGATTTTTTTTTCGAAATTTCACGAGTTTGATTCCCAGTTGTAGCAGTCGATTTTTTAAAAATCTGTGAATGCAGTTCTAGTTATTATCAAAAATGAAATGATGTCTTCTTTCAGTAAAATATCCTATCTTTAATATTTAATATACTTTCCCTCCGTGTGAGGTAGCCGTGGGACGCCCTGTATAGTAAACTAATAAGTTTTCCTGCCTCTTTCATGTTTTTTTCCTACCCTAAGAGGAAAGAAAAAAAAAAGTGTGCAAGCAGAAAAATATTTTTTTCTAAAAGTGTCACAGGGGATGTCTTGTACATTTTACAGGATATAGTATTTTGTCCGGAAACTTTGTCCTTCTTTTTTATTATTTAGCCAAAATTACTTCTACTACGAGTACAGTCTAGGGACTTCAAAAAAGGCAATGTTTAACCAATATCTACAAAGTTTTTATTATCTCGGAGGTCAATATTAGAATTTACGTTAACTTGAGTTTACCTCCCGGCAAACTTTTTGAGTATCGACCATAGAAAATGAAGCTTGCGCAATAGTTATTGTCTATGCTTTTACTCAAGAATATTGCCGCTACTTTTACGACTCAAAGCTTTAGAGCGTCCGCACCGTTTAAGCGGGGTACGGAGGCATCCGTCGAGGAGATCCGCTTCGTGCTCCTTCGCTTCACGCATTTCCGTTTCCTCGTTTTCATAGGATTTTTCAACACGTTCAACCCGTCGCGGGACCCGCGATAGGCGGGTGCCTCTCGCAGCGCTGCCTTCAATGGCACGGGTGAAGAAATCCCACCAACCACCTTCCTTGGTTTAGCCTGGCGTTTGGCCTGGCGAACCTTTTTGCTTTTGCAGGCCGAAGCAGCGGGAGATGCGCGCGGAATGGCCTCCACCGCGCGTACTTTCTTGACTCCCTACAAATTATTCTTTATCTATCTCTTTGTTCCTATGGTCTCTCTCCCCTTTTTGGGGCGGACGTACACCAAACAAGGCGTCGCAATCCCAGCCGTCCCGTGCGCACTTTGAAGTGGTACCGCTGGCTTCAAATTGTATGGTCCTCCCTTCTTTTTTCTCCTCGGGTCTTCTTTCTTCACCTCTCTAGTCCACTTCGAATCCTGTGCCAACTACGCGCGAAATCCCGCAGCTGCCTGAAGTTCGCCTCCGATCCCACAAGGTCGCAGTAGTAGACCGGCCCAACCTCGAGCACCTTCACACTGCCCAGAAGTTCCCTACGCGCCTCCCCGTAGAGCTTACACAGAGCGTGGTATGCGTCCTCTACTTCTCCCTCCCTACAGTAGCACGACTCCACCTCCGCGAGCTTCATTCGGTGAAGCCTACCCCTGAAACAGCCATGTCCTGTCAGCAATTGCGAGGTTTCATAGTCAGGCTCGACCCAAGTGGCCTTGAGTCAGGCCTCCACTCCCGGGAAAAACCGATACAACTCCCTCCCCTGGTCCGATGCGTCTCAACGCTCCTGCCATTCGGCAAGGACGGACTCAGTGACCCCGAGTTTGGCGCGCGGCAACTCCTCCCTGGTAGCCGCGAACTCGTGTACCCCACCTAGTCTGCCCTTCCGAATTACCTCGAGGTCGGCCGGTAAGACACCGACCAACACCGGTAAAGCGACAGAGTTCGTCGACCGGTACGCCTTGGTCAGAAGGATCAAGGCGGGTCTCTGGGTGTGCGAAAGCGAAGCGTGAAGGGACGCACGCTTGTACCAATATGCCGCAGCATAAATCACCGTGGCGATGTAAGTGCCGCGGTGCAAAACCTTTAAGGCCTGGTACCGAACTACCCAAGAAGCCGCCGATACTCTTGACATCTTGCCGAAGGAATTTGCTGCCTTCTCCCCTATCAACGCCGCATTCTGCGCGAACGAGAGGCTCGAATCGACCTTCACACCCAGCACAGTAGCCGACCTAACGCTCCTGATAGAAGCCCCCCCCCCCTCCCCCGAACCGGATGATAGGTGGCTGGCACGGGTGAACAGTCGATTTTAGATTATTTTTGTTGATAATACAACCTTGTTAAAAGAAAACGCAGACGAGAGCACAGAAGACAGCTAATCGTACTCCGCTGCCCGCTTAACGGTGCGCACGTTCTTAGAGATACCCAGAATCTGTTAAACACGTACAGTTTTTTGAAGGAATCTTACCTACTATAACAATTTTAAGGGATTTTTTTTTATTTAGCGGTCGTCTAGTGATCACACCACTGACAGATAGATGCTACCTGACGTTGATGTGCGCGATGCACCTCAAGTTTGGTGGAGCTCCCGCCGGTCCTGCTGGCACTGGCAAGACGGAGACCACGAAGGTAAGTGTAAGTGGTCGTCTAGTGGTGACGTCATTAACAGACAGATGCTACCTGACGTTGACCGCCATCTCAAGTTCGGTGGAGGCCCCGCTGTCACTGGCAAGACGGAGGCCACAGAGGTAGGTGTAAGTGATCGTCTAATAATGACGTCATTAACAGAAAGATGCTACCTGACGTTGACCGATATCTCAAGTTCGGTGGAGGCCCCGCTGTCACTGGCAAGACGGAGGCCACAGAGGTAGGTGTAAGTGGTCGTCTAATAATGACGTCATTAACAGAAAGATGCTACCTGACGTTGACCGACATCTCAAGTTCGGTGGAGGCCCCGCTGTCACTGGCAAGACGGAGGCCACAGAGGTAGGTGTAAGTGATCGTCTAATAATGACGTTATTAACAGAAAGATGCTACCTGACGTTGACCGACATCTCAAGTTCGGTGGAGGCCCCGCTGTCACTGGCAAGACGGAGGCCGCAGAGGTAGGTGTAAGTGATCGTCTAATAATGACGTCATTAACAGAAAGATGCTACCTGACGTTGACCGACATCTCAAGTTCGGTGGAGGCCCCGCTGTCACTGGCAAGACGGAGGCCACAGAGGTAGGTGTAAGTGATCGTCTAATAATGACGTTATTAACAGAAAGATGCTACCTGACGTTGACCGACATCTCAATTTCGGTGGAGGCCCCGCTGTCACTGGCAAGACGGAGGCCACAGAGGTAGGTGTAAGTGGTCGTCTAATAATGACGTCATTAACAGAAAGATGCTACCTGACGTTGACCAACACCTCAAGTTCGGTGGAGGCCTCGCTGTCACTGGCAAGACGGAGGCCACAGAGGTAAGTGTTAGCGGTCGTTTAGTGATAACATTATTAACAGACAGATGGTACCTGACGATTGTAAGTGGTCGTCTAATAATGACGTCATTAACAGAAAGATGCTACCTGACGTTGAACGACATCTCAAGTTCGGTGGAGGCCCCGCTGTCACTGGCAAGACGGAGGCCACAGAGGTAGGTGTTAGCGGTCGTCTAGTGATGAAGTTACTTTCTCTTTCTCTTCTTCTCTCACCTTTGGGAATATATACGTTCTAATATAGGTATTATCTAAAAAAGCTTATGTCGGAAGGAATAAACAGAGCTAGATAGTTACTTCAATTAATTAATACCTATATGGGATAAACATGAATACGTTCGGTTACGGTTAGGCTCCCGGCAGTGGAAAGTTAAAAATTAGTACTTACATGTTTGAAAAAATATAATACTGTTCCCTTTCTTTACATTTCACCTAATAAAACAATCGGCTCTAATACATACACTTAGTAAGAAAATTTATAATTATTGACTATTGTTTTAAATATCGTCTTGTCCCTAATAATTTGGCAACCCAACTTCAATCATGAATCGAAGCTACCCTTTTATTAGTGGCTTAAACATGGATTATGTACTTAATCTACTAATATTATAAACGCGAAAGTTTGTGTGTTATCATTTCTTGTCAACACGGCTCAATGGTTTGGTTGAAATTTGTCTTGTCTAGGTATAAATTAATACACTCGACCGCAAATAAACCGGACACCCGCTAGTATAATTCAACTAAGAATAGGACCGACTGGGTGCCATATGTTGCTGTCATAGCTGTCAATTCAAACCAAATAGGTAAAGTGAGCAAAAAAAGTTTCTATTCAATAAAACTTACTAAGATTAAGTGAAAAAATACATCAGATTTTTTATAATATTTATTTACTATGATTGAGAAAAAAAAACAACCGATTTTTAATAATATTTCTTTATTAAGACTGTGTGAGAAAAAACATTAATCAGAATCTAGCTCTTCAATTCCGCTCATCTCTGCATTACCGCCGGAGTAGTTATGAGTAATCATGCAGGTCACATACGAACATGCATCCTTTAAGTAAACGAAAGTTTTAAACCGAGTTTCTGAAAGCAACATAAAGTGACATTTGGTTGACGATTTAGGTTATCAACCATTCATAGCCAAAGCTCAATAAATGAAAAGAATATCAACCAATATTAATTATTAATATTTGTTATTGTTTGTTTAAAAACGTTTGATTTTTATTCTACAATTAGCTGAGTGCTAAAAAAGTATTCCGATATTTATTTGCAAACCGTACTTTTCAAGCGAGATTTGACAGCTGGAGGTCATTGGCTTTGGTCATTCTTATTTGAATCGCATTATAGTTGTAAGCGATCTATTTCGGCGGACAAAAGTCTCTAGTCTGCGTAGACTATTAATTTTATCTTTCAAATGGTTGATAACCCAAATCGTCAACCAAACGTCACTTTATGTTGCGTTCAAAAACTCGATTTAAAACTTTCGTTTACTCATAGGATGCATGTTCGTATGTGAACTGCATGATTATTCATAACTTCTCCGGCGGTAATGCAGAGATGAGCGAAATTGAAGAGCTAGATTCTGATAATGTTTTTTTTCACACAGTCTTAATAAAGAAATACTATCAAAAATCGGTTGTGTTCTTTCTCAACCTTAGTAAATTTATTTTATTAAAAAATCTGATGTTTTGTCTCACTTAATCTTAGTAAATAAGTTTAATTAAATAGCAACATTATTTTGCTCACTCTACCTATTTGGTTTGAATTGACAGCTATGACGTCAAAATATGGCGCCCAGTCGGTCCTACTCTTAGTTGAATCGCATTATAATTGAGTAACGCAAACGGATTAAAAGTACCGCGTACAAAAAGTCCTCCGAACAGCCGAGGACACCGAGAGACCTGACAGGACAAAAGTAACTACTGGGGAGTCCCCCGGGACCCAGTACTGTCTTTAAAAATGCCTAGTCTTTCTATTGAAACACATGTAAGAAAATTAAAAATTTGAGTTGGAATAGGCGTAGCAAATCAAATATTGGTGCAAGGAGTAACTCCCAAGACGTGGAAGAACGCCATAGTTAAGCTCATTTTATTAAACCCATATATACACCGTGTTCCTGAGGATATACATTAACTTTGAATAAAACTTTTATAGCTCTTGTTAAACATATCGTACAAGGAAAGTGGTAGTTTAAATAGCATAGTTTTTAAGTTATTGGTAATTGAGGTTTAACCAACTTAATTGTGTTGTGCAGTGAGAAAGAGTCTTTATCTGTGAGATGTTGCCACTTTGTGCAACCAAAACTCTCAAACCATCAACTCTTTGTCAATGGTCATTAAGTCATAGTTCCAAAAGTCAAAATTTTAAAAAACATTGTTGACGTCAAGAAAAGTTTCAAAAAGTTTATGTGGACATGTGAACCAAAGTTTCAAATGCGACGTTGCCAGCTCAGGTAAAGAGTAATTCATATTAGATAAATTACATCTAAGCATTTAGTTTGTATGAAAATAAAAAATGTTAAAGAAATTGGAATTCATAAAAGTGCCCATAGCAAAAAATGATCAATTTAACTGTCTGAATAACATGCTGTTAGTGTATAACCTCAGGAACACGGTGTATACTCCTACACATGTATTAAGTATTATTATGTATGTATTTTAAGATACTAAATAATAGACTTTCCCCCAAACTGGACGACACACAGCTAGTAGAACATGCAGGATTCAAGAAGGGATTCTCTACAGTTTATTGTTTTAAACTTTCATGGTCACTAACATTATAGTAATATAAGTTATTTACGGGATTGTTACCATGTACCTTGTTTTTAGGTAACCCACAGATTATCTCGACTGAACGCCACTAAATACCAAGATTGGTCAGGGAAGCGATTGAAATAACAAAATATGAAAATTTCAATCGTGGGGACGGGTTTAAATTGTCGAGTGTCTGGAATCCTGTGGTTCGTATGTGTAAAACCGGAAATAATCAAAAAAGTGTCGTGTCGCGATCCGATACTGTAAGTATTGTGTGTCGAGAACAGTTTTGAGTGAATAGTGAGAATGTGAACAGTGGTACGGGTATCGAACGCAATAAAAGACTTCGTCGGAGGGTAGACCGATAACAGCCTACCCGCAATTACTTCAGTTACTCCGTGATCATGGCGCTTGCAACGGTGCCGAAATATCGGAATCTCGCTAAAAACAAGGTACATGGTAACAATCCCGTAAATAACTTATATCTCTACGGTTTATTTGAGAAAAGTTTGGAATACTGCCAAGATGTTTGTGTAGCCTTAGTTGATTACGAAAAGGCATTCGATCCGGTCGAATATTGGGCAGTATTTAATGCTCTACAGCGATGCAATGCTGTCAAATTCCATATTTCATACATAGGATCTGGCGAAGGCCCTGGCAGTTCAGTGCGTTGTGTTCAATTGCTCCGACCAGTTGGATTACATGGCAATGGGGAAGTTCTTCAAAGGATTGGCTGCGTAAGTATTTTATGATAGACACGAAACTTAATAAGGATTTTATGATATTTTTAGGCGGGTAATATAATGCTTTATTGGGCTTTTAAGCATGGGCGTAGCCAGGTACGGGCAGGGGGGGGGGCAGCTGCCCCCCCTCAGATCGAGGAGCTTCAGAACCAAAAATTAAATAATAAATAATCCAAAAACTAAATATAAAATTTAAAAAAAATATAGAATTGCACATCACTCTCATTAGTCTCGTTACTAAAGCTCTAATTTCGATAGGACTACTCGTAAACAGTGAAGTGATTTCGTACGTACGTTAAGCATTTCTTGGACGTAAAATGATGGATATAAGGATTTTTTTAAAGTCTGTATAACAAGTATTAAGGTATTCTTAAAAATATAATTTTGCCGGGCCATCTGTCGTAGCCACACATTGCCGGGCAACTATGGCCCGTTTAGAACACAGGTTTAGAAGCATTATAAAAATAAGTTAACTTCGCTCTTGCTCTCAACACAACCCACCAGCAAAAATGTTGTGTCCAGCGAAAATGGAACAAAAAAATTTACATGCAATTTCAGGTGAAGTCTTGAAACGGTTCTGCGAAGAACCGAGAAAATTGCTCTTGTTTATATGAAATTTAGTTTTTGTAGCGAACATATTAGTTTCACTTGCCTGCCCCCCCCCCCCCCCTAAACTAAATCCTGGCTACGCCCTTGCTTTTGAGTCAATTATCAGAAGCTAATTCATGGAATTTGAATGCTTAAAGATCCTATAACCGTATCTGGCAATGGACTTGACACAATGACGCCTTAGAACATTTGTCCGACGCCCCCGTCATTGGATCGTCAACGAGAAGGAGATGACAGCGCCGAAGTAGCGACACACACGACCATTTACTATAGCCGTTTGTTCATTACATACACAAATAATTTCGTTGGCGTTGACGGTCTGGTGTCGGGAGCGACCGACAAATACCCTAAGGCGTCATTGTGTGTAAATATATACTCTTTAATGAAAAAAAGGCTCAAATTTAACGAGGTCGCATTTCGCCAAATCGAATCTAGTACCTGTTTAAATCTAATAAGTTACAATCCTAACTTTGGGAGCTCAGTTTCTATGACAAAATAAAAGTGTTTTTTTGTACAGATCTGGTGCTTGGGCTTGTTTCGACGAATTTAACAGGATTGACATCGAAGTGCTTTCTGTAGTTGCTCAACAGGTACCTATAAAATGTTTAGGGGTTCTTGAATTAAATATAATAATTTTCTTGTATCTGTGACTCGATTCCAAGTCTTTTTTCTTCCTAGGTGGTGACCATTCAAAAGGCGCAAGTTGCTCGGTTAGATAAATTCATGTTTGAAGGTTGTGAGCTGCCTCTAAAAGCTTCCTGTTCAGTGTTCATCACCATGAATCCAGGATATGCGGGTATGTTGCTTTATTACGAATAAATTCGATAGAAATATGAGATATGAAATGAGTATGAATCATTTAGCCTCAATCATAGGATGTTGGTAAATGCAGTTTTATTGCATGTTCATTGTGTAAACGTTTTAGTTACTAGGAATTCTGTGGAAAAGCACGATTATACTTTTAACCTTGTACCAGATTCTGTACAAGGTATACAGCGTGTATTAGATGCTCATGCAGACGTCATTCAATTCCTTCCGCCAAGAATGAAAAAAAAAACGGATGGTGACTAAAAATCATTTTTTATGACGACAAGTTATAGTAGGAGAGCCCAAGCGGGGATTTTGGGATTTACTCGAGCGCGGCAGATTAACATATGGGGAGCAACCTTGCACCTAGTGAAGTACTCCCACCATACCTGAGCCCTCTATGTAGGGCCAAACGGCTAGGGCCGCAAACACAAAATTTCAACGAACGGTCATGACTTTTGGTCGCGCCCAAATCGTCAGTCTTTTGAATATAAGCTACTAGAGGATTCATGTAACGTTCCCAAGAACGGGAAAAATATTGATCTGCCGTGATTTGCATGATATGGGAGTGGCCGTACGAAGGGGTAGAATATAGGAAAAAATAACCGAGCGCGTCAGATATTCAGAAGGGATGTTACGTGAACCCTCCAGTAGCTCCTATTCAAAAGACTGACGATTTGGAATCGACCAAAAGTCATGGCCGTTTGTTGAAATTTTGTCTTTGATGCCCTAGACGTTCGGCCCTACATAGATGGCTTAGGTATAGTGGGAGTAATTAACTACGTGCAAGGTTGCTTCCATATGTTATTCTGCCGCGCTCGAGTAAATCCAAAAATCCCCGTTTGGGCTCCCCTACTATTATATATTAGCCTTGACTGCCTGCAATTTTTTTATTTATTTATTTGAAAATCAACGGCGTTTACAAAACTATTTAAATATAGTGTAAACCAACAGTAAGGCTAATTACAGATTTTCTATAAATTAATTTACAGTATGTTGTGTTACACAAATTCAGTCAGAAAAAAATTTACAGCAAAAGCTACCGTCTAATGGACGCCTAAAGTGCGAGTGAAATCTCAACAAGAACAACATATTGACTATTGATTTTTGACAGGTCGTACGGAACTACCGGACAATTTGAAGGCCTTGTTTCGGCCGATAGCTATGATGGTACCTAACTATACGCTCATCGCAGAGATCTCACTGTTCTCATATGGTTTTTACGAAGGCAAAATTCTCGCTGGCAAGATCACTACGACTTTCAGGCTCAGTTCTGAGCAGCTGTCAGCACAGGTATGCTATTGGAATAGGACAGAGTGATAAAGGAAACAATTAAACCATATGGTCCGTTCTCACATACGGTATTACTCGATAATTTACTTTAATTTACTCTAAAGCGAGGAAAAACAATGTACGGAGCGCAAAATGGTTCTCTCTCTCTCAAAACTCGCAACTCGAAAGGCTCGTATCGAGCCGGCTCGATGGAATTAAATAAATGCAATTTCCTTATAACCTACACGAAGAAAGCTTAACTCGAGCGCAGAGCCCGATCTAGAAATTTTGCCGCTCCCGGCAAATATATTTTTTGCCGCCCTTTACATACACTACCACCATTTTCGCTTGTTGTTATGTTAGTTCGTATACAACGTATGTCGAATGACATTTTTATGTTAATAAAGTGGCTAACATAGTCTATAGACACTTGCGATAGCAAAGCTATGGCTCGCGTCGTTACCTACCTTGACTCCATCCACTAACCCAGGGTAGGCGAACCTTTATGAATCAACGTGCCATTTTTTCTAAAAAATCTTTAATTGGGTCATTGGCATGCCATCAAATAATTTTGACTTTATGATTATTTAGAAGATAATAATATAAATACTATCAGAAATCTTTATGAAATAAAGTAAACCAAAGAGGCACATTCTGGAATGTTTTTATTACACGCATAAATTAAATTACTTTAAAATTAGTGTGACTTCTGTTGCTGCAGGTTTGATAACAAATAATTTATGTTAGGGTTGTAAGATGCTACTTTTAGCAAAATGCATGCTGAACTGGATTCATCTGTCAAACGGTTTCTAAACGAGTTTTTAATGTTATTCATCTCTGAAAACAATGACTCGCAGGCATAGGTAGATGAAAACATTGTTAAAATAGCATGTGCTAACTTCTTCAAACAGTTACTTCGTAGCGTAGGATCACTCGCGTTCGATCGTCATAAAATACCTACTTAAAACATTTTTTACATATGTTTTATGATTGGCGACATGCCCAAAATATTGTGTTGCGTGCCATCAGTGGCATGCGTGCCATTGGTTCGCCTACCCTGCACTAACCCGTGCAGCGCTGAAACCTTACTTTCTTTGTATTCGAGTTTCTAAAACTCTTTACATATCGAGTACCTTCCAACGTACGGTCTTTTATCCTACTTTATTACTACTACAGACAAGTTAGATTCGGTAGTTTACTTCTGCCTCAAACGAAATAGGCTAGTTGACCCTTTTTGGAAAAAGGTTTTAAATGGTTAATAAATGTTCTATTAGACCGAAAAAGAAAGTATTGTATTTTTTTGAGACCTAGAAAGCTACAAATCTTTAATTTTAAAATAGACTTTTCATGGACATACAAAAACGATGTCGGCCATTTTAGTCTATATATAATCTATGCTATGTCGTTGACGGTAGTAAACAAAAACTCGTTAGCACGTAGAAAATAACCTATCTTGAGTTTATAATAAAAAAAAATCATGATTTCTAATAGAGACCACGAAAAATATAGTAATTATCATTATTGTATTGTACGAGAATGTAAAAACACATCCTTGAAGACTCCAGGAAAGTTGTGGATTAAAGTGCCGAAAGAAATTAATCTACGCAATACCTGGTTAGAACTTGCTAAAAGTTGATCCTGCAACTTTACCGACTCATAGTAAAATTTATTTTTGCGAAGAGCACTTTGATGTAAGTACTCATTGAATAATATTTTAAGTCTCTTCATTTATTATCAGTTTTAATAATACAAGTTTTAAAGTTATGTATGAATGACATTTATTTGTTTACTAAAAGAGACGTCACAATCATGGCGGATGTGGCGAACAGCGTATTTAGTGTTTAAAAAGTATAGACTAAAAATTATTTTTTTAAATTAAATTTCCACAGCTAGGTTCCTTAGACCAAATACTTTAAGAAATAATCATTTATTTAATACAATTAGACATGAGTCAACTAGCCTATTGGAGTTACCCAGTTTGTCAACAATTTTGAGTGCAGAGATGTCAATTTTTTTTTACCGCGTGGAGCGAAACATGACAGTAAGACACAATTATCGTAAGTATAAAATAACTCATGTTGATTTTATGCACCCTGTTGAGATTGTTGAACATTGTGTTGTTAAGATCCTAAAAAATGTCTGCGATTTCGACTATAATATCTGAAATTGAAGGTGAGTCTTGTACTCGCCGTTGTCGTTGATACCAAAGTCCGGTCCAATTCAGAAGCTTAAAGATGTCTTGCACCACAGCGATAAACAGCTTCGGAGAGATCATCTTCCTGTCGTACTTCTAGTTGCGGTTGGATAGGTCTCGTAGTCAGTTTTGTGTACGTACTGCAATGGTGGCAATATCGTTCAAACTCTTTAGCATTGGATGTTCTTCAATAGGGCGTTGTCACCTTTTTTGAAGATAAGTACCACTATGCTCCTGTGTAATGTTTCTTGCGTTATGCCTTCGAGGATAACGGCATTGAACAATTGTTCAATGCCGTCAGTCTCTAAAAGATTGTATGTACGTGCTGTGATTCCGTGATCATCTGGCGCTTTGTTGTTCTTCAGTTGTTTGAGAGCGTCATTTATCTCATATATCTTCGATTTAGTGTCTGGTCAATAATGATCTTTATTCAATTTATAACCAGGTTTTGTATTGAAATGTATATAGACATAGAAGCTCTCAACTTTCCTCAAAATCTCAGACTCCGACTATGGTTATCAGTCTTCAGCCGCGTCGAAGGAGATCATCATCAGTGTCCAGCCAATATTTGGCCCTTTCAATTTCGTTGCCAATTGCCCACTGTCAACTTGAAACTATCTCGCTCGCGTAGCTAATCGTTAAAATCTCTCATCACAATACTGTATGTGTTATATAAGTATGTTAAGCTTTAGTTATATCCTCATACACAGACTCCACCACCTCTATTTCTTTCGGGGCTTCCCCTAGCATCTCTTTTCCAATTCAGATATAATACTTAAATATTTCCACTATCCAACCTGAACTACAACCTTCTTCGAGGTGGCACATTAAATTCTAAGCACATTATTAAACATCCAACCTGCCAACCTAGATGGGTGGTGGATGCCGCATAGCTAAAGATTTTCCCACTAAATTCGTGATTTTTACCCCTCCGTCGTCCTTGTCACAGTTGGTCACATTTGTGAGTCCACCCCTCCTGTTACGTCACATATTTTAAATCTAAAATTATTCAATTGAAACAGCAGTTCCGAAATGGATTCCGAAAATTAACCAACATAACAAATTAAAACCAATACAGATAGAGTGCTGAATATTTTAAAGTTTTTTTGATGATAGTTCAAAAGTATTAGATTTAAAATGTGACGTCACAAAACTTAGGATCCCTCCCATCCCTTGTCTCACAACGTCACAATTCGTCGACCTGCTTTCTTTCCCTTAATGGGGACGTACTTTATGAATGATCCTAAGTCAATAGGCTAGTTGACACTTTTTGGAAATATGTTTTAAATGGCTTATAATTGTTCAATTAGACCGAAAAAAATGTATTGTAATTTTTTTTAACCCAGAAAGCTACAAAACTTTAATTTTAAAATAGATTTTTCATGGACATACAAAAACGCTGTCGGCCATTTTAGTCTATAGATTATCTATGGTATGACGGGAACAATAGTAAACAAACACTCGCCAGCACGTAGGATATAACCTATCTGAATTTACATTACAAAACCATGATTTCTAATAGATTTCATGATAAATATAGTAATTATCATGATTGTATTATACGAGAATAAAGATCCACATCGTTAAAAACTCCAGAAATGTTGTGGTTTCAATTTTTAAGGTTATGAATGTACCTCATAAGTCAAAGAGTTTTGTCGTTTCTGCTTTCACAAATCCGGCGTCCAGCATTGATTTAGTTAAGAAAACCAATAAACGGAAACTTTTCTTCAAGGTATAAGAGTTTTTAGATATGTTTTAGTCAGACGAAAGAAACCACAGTAACACGACTTTGACGTTTAGTTGTTTTGCTATTATGTTGACGTCACAATCATAGTGGACAGCGTTTTAGTGTTTAAAAAGCATAGACTAAAAAACTATTTTTCAAATTAAATTACTACAGCCATCTTCTAATTTTATGAAGTGAAATCGATGTATTTAGGTTCCTCATACCAAAAATTATAAGAAATAAACATTGAAATGAGTCAACTAGCCTATTTTGCCGCCCTTAAATTTTGCCGCTCTGGGCAAATGCCCGGCTCGCCCTCCCTTGGATCGGGCCCTGCTCTAGCGTATGGTATATACGTCTCCGTACGAGATTAGCTAAATACAGCCACTGTTTCCTTTTTGGAACTGATATCAGTGTGCTGAAACGTTCCGGTGAATAAAGCCAGAAACATATTAACGTGTCGTGTCGTGTCGTGGCGCGCCAGAAGCACATCGGTTTCATACATTTACTATGGTTAGAGACATATTTACGTATCGTGTCGTGTCGACGCTTTAACCTCTCTATCTCTCTCTAACCCATAATAAATGTATGAAACCAATGCGCCACGTCACGCCACGACACGTTAATATATTTCTGGCTTAATGAACGTCGCGCGTCACTCGATAAATGAATGCTGAATGTGTGGGCTAAAGCCCGTGCCATGGTTTTTACTCGACATATTTGCTCGATCGAGCAAAACCGTATGTGGGTACGACTACGGACCATTAATTAAACATCTTATTCATAAACCCACATGTCGATTCCCAAAGTACATGCATTGTTCTATAAGTATTATTTGTATCATGTAACTGAACACCCTAACGAGATATAACAATAATAAGTTCCAAACTACTCACAATAGTTCTGTTGTTAGTACCAAGTTTGTACGACGAAAACTTAATAATGTAATAGTAATACATATATGTTTCTCTGTAATATTGTGGTCATCGCTTAAGTAAATAAATATCTATTGTTAAATACTTACCGAGGAATGTACCCAGGATTTTTGGAGTAGTCAACACGGCAGGAACGTTGCCGTTGCATCAACCGGTCCGGTAATCTTTTAAATTAGCAAAAGTAATTATAATAGGTTCTAAATGGCAGGATACAAAGACATTCATTTTTGCATCGATTTCACGAATCAAGCCTGGAGCTCTATTTTTGATTCGCTCGCCTAACATAGTATCGTCGAATGCCACTTAAATCACTTTCAACTTCCAAGTCGCATGATCCTGACTTTCCGTATTTTTGAATCGTTCATCTTTTTTGTTAGAAAAGATCAAAACGTCGCAACAAATCGTCATCTTATCTGTATTTTAAAAATATTAAGAAAAGAAACAACGATATCTGACATAAATTCGACAATTATACTATGTTTCGACTCCATTATTCGCCAACGCGCAACGAGTGGTCGAGACCGCTCGTTGACGTCGAGCGATTCAAAAATACGGAATTAATTATGTCGAATAAAAATTAGTAGAAATCGGGCGTCCGACGCAAGGTGAGTGATTCAAAAATAAAGCTCCTGGAGCTGTACTCTCTTTCTCCGAAACGAAATTTCTATTTCATCTTCGAACACGCACATAAAGTTCGGAATCACAGACAATTAACGTGAACGAATGGAATGAGTTATGTTTGTGAGTTCTTTTTGTCTACACTTTTAGATAACGTTTTTTACTTCAAAACAATATTACTTTATGACAACATTTTTGATTACATTAAAACAACCTCTTTTGACAGTGTTAGCCGACTAATTTGTAGAGTTGATGCAATCGAATGTACATATGTCAACCTAAATTTGTCGTGTAACACTTTGAAGTATTGGCAATACAATAAAAATTTGATTTATTTGTAAATTTGTATTGGCAATAAAATAAAAAAAACGAATTTTCGAAATGAAATAGAAACAGAGTAAGGAACGTGCGAAATTTCGATCGAAATTTCGTTTTTCGTTGAAATAGAGTAGGCCTCCTGGAATTTTTACAAAAGCACTAATTCTAACAACATTAAATTATTAGGTTTTAGTTTAGAAATAAAAGTACTTGTACCAAGTAACTTGTAACAGTGTAAGTACACGTTTTAGTACAAATACCTACTTTTATTTTTTTATTTTTAATGCACTCGAATCATAATAATAAAACACTTTCGAAAAGCGTGACTTAATAACATTTATATTATTTATGACGCGTTTCGGATCCTTTTATAGGATCTGTAGTCGCAAGCCGTCTTGTAAATAAATAATAAATCGAGCTTAAAACCCATCCAGAAAGTATTATGATTGGTGTGCATGAAAACATAAGAAATAAAACCACTTGTTCTAAGAAGTCTATAATAAAAACATCTTTTAATAATCTAAAGAAAATATAACTAGAAAAAAATCCACGCTAACCAGGCAGCAGACGGGACTCGAACCCAATGCGAATAGGTCAGTGCATTCGCCCGGATTGCGAAGGGTGCGGGTTCGAGTCCCGTCCTAAAGAAAATATCTAGTTATATTTTCTTTAGATTTAAACGTCAAGCAGTTACATGCTTTAAATAATAAAAATTATAACTATCTTTTAATAAGTAAAAATGTCTGGAATATGTGGTTTTGGTGGTGAAATCAAACTGGTGAGTTTCATAGAATATCTCTTATCTATTAGACAAGTCCGTCTGTCTGTCTGTCTGTCTGTCTATGGTGCTGTTTCAGCGGCCAAACCGTAAGAGATAGATAAAGAGAATATGTAAGTTATAAGTTAAGAATAGTCTGATAAGACTACAAACCGGATTTGAGTAACGTAGCACTTCCGGTTTTCGAGAAATCACGAATTTCAAACGAAACCACACAAAATCTCCGAAGTTCTCAATTAATTAAATACATTTTTTTTTAAATCAGATTTTGGTGAACATTTGGTTCACTGGTTTGCTAGTCTAGTTATATTTTCTTTAGATTTAAACATCAAGCAGTTACATGCTTTAAATAATAAAAATTATAACTATCTTTTAATAAGTAAAAATGTCTGGAATATGTGGTTTTGGTGGTGAAATCAAACTGGTGAGTTTCATAGAGTATATTTTTTTTAATTAACAAGTATTTCCTATTAGGATCATTACGACTTCGGCATGCGAGCGGTAAAGACCGTGATTCTCGTCGCGGGCAACTTGATCCGGCAGATGCCTGATGCTGATGAGCGTCAGATAGTGTTGAGAGCTTTGAGGGACGTCAATGTGCCCAAGTTCTTGGCCGATGACCTCATATTGTTTAATGGTGATTCCTGCATAAATATAAGTTATATATGAATAATAGTACATTACGATAAGCGTGACCTAAGTTGCCTATTACTGCACGGCGTGAAGTTAAAGAACGCCGTGCAGTAATAGACAACTTAGGCCACAAGTATCGTATACTATTTTATAGCAAGTGTGACATAAACCCGCCCCGGACGCTGGCAAGAGGGGGGGTTCGGGGGTAGTGTTTTGAAAGTAAAATTCATGTATTGCAATCACAAAGAATTGCAATACAGACTGCAAGTCAAACTCTGAAAAGAAAGAATTCCGGTTCAGATTACCATTTTGAAACTATATTTCAAAAGGAAAAAATCAAATATCATTACAACAAAATAGAATTTTAATGTATCCATGAACGTTTATTCCTTGATTGGCATAGTAAAGTTAAGTTACGCGTATCGTAATGTACTAATTCTACATGAGTGAAGTTGGTCAATTCATTTACACACCGTGCAGAAATAGGCAACTTAGGTCACGGAAAAGCGTGCGTAAAGTGCGGGTTTAGGTCACACTGTGCTATAAAATAAGTTAGCTGAATATTGCTGAAATACACTTGTAAATATGACGTCCCTATTTGTAATTTTTATTATTATATGGAGCTCGATGGCGCAAGTGGTTAGCGCGTTCGGCTGCGATCGTTGAAGTTAAGCAACTTTCGCAGTGGTCGGTCATTGGATGGGTGACCAAAAATTTACTATCTCGAGCCCCTCCGTGATTCTGAAAGCACGTTAAGCCGTTGGTCCCGGCTGCATCTGCAGTCGTTAGCACCCACCAATCCGCACTGGGCCCGCGTGGTGGGTCATGGCCCAATCTTCCTATCCTGTGCCCCAGCAGTGGGGACATTGCACATTGTGAAGTATTCCAACCATACCTGAGCTCTTTATATAGGCTCGAACTTCTAAGGCAGCAAAAAAAGAAATTCAACAAACGACCATGAATTATGCGTGACAGACCCACCATACCCCTAGCCATACCCCCAGGGGTAGGGTGGGACTGAACCATACCACCGTAGTGCTGTGCACTATATGCTTTTAGGTTTTGTTTTACCGAATATTACGTAGGTACCTGGTGTCAATAGCATCCCATACGACATAGTATAAATATGTACATAAAATTCATTTTTACTTGATTGTTCTCAAAAATAATCTTATCGTGTATTTATTTCAAGTATCCTTTTGTACGTAGTAAATGCAGTTAGTCCACAACGTTAGATCACCATTGGGCATGCGTTAGACAAATTAAGAACATAGATTAACATCTTTTAAGTTTTTCTGTTTAAGATAAATAACAAAATAAGTATTTGTTATATTTTTAGGTTTTGCCAGAACGGATTTCGGTTTTTTTAATAAACTAAATATTTGTATCTGTTAGGTATCTATTTTTATTCTATTTTTCCATAAAATCCCAGCACTACAACGGTGGTATGGTTCAATCCCACCCTGCCCCCAGGGGTATGGCTAGGGGCATGGTGGGTCTGTCATGGAATTATGGTCGGGTCCGAATCGTCAGTCTTTTGAATAAGAGCTACTGGAGGGCTCATCTGAATGTTACTAATTAAAGCACTTTTATAAAATTAAATATAAACAACGAAAGTTTGCCAGAAGCAGACCAGACTCGAAGCTTATTTCTCAGTTATTAACTTGATCGTGAAAATAATTCAAGACGTAAGAGATAATGACTATGTTGATGAAAGATCACGAGCGTTAGCCATTATCACCAGAGAAGCTCTAATTTGAACTTGATCCCTTTTTAAAATAATTATTGGAGTTTACTCCTTAAGAATCGATTTGCATATATAAGGGGCCCGGTATGAGAAAAATGTGAGGAGTAAAATCTATCGATGAATGACCTCGTTACGTTTTAGGTGCGCATCCTATGTCGCGCAACTTTCTAATTTGGTTGTGAGTTTAGGGTATAGGGACACATGCATAGGGTATACTGCAAAGCGACTATATAAATGAAATGAAATGAAAAATCATTGTTTTCATTAATTTGTTAATTTACCCTTTCATACAGTATCAATCTTTTTTAAGTTAAATAAACTCTTTTTGCGTCTGGTTAGACTATCGAACTTAAGGAGCAAACTCCAGTCGTGCGTCGGAGCTGACACACACAATTTTTATTTCTGATACTAAGTATATCTGTAGTATAGTGCAGTATTTCATAAAAAGTTTCTTATTATGTGTTTCCAATATCTAAATGTTTCAATGTGTCACATTGTAAATATTTTGCCATAATATTGACAGTCTGAAGCCTTTTGCTTCTTAAAACTTTAATGAAGTTATAATATAACTTACTAAAAATACTACTTAATCTAACAAATTGTTTAGGTATTATTTCGGACTTGTTCCCACGAGTGGAGATACCTATAGTAGACTACGGTATTATGGAGCAGTCCATCAGGAATATGCTTGTCAAGAGGGGATATGACGACCTGTATAGTAAGCAATTTACCTATCTCAAATTTATTTTTTTAATTAATAAGGTATATAAGAGGAGCTCGATGACGCAGGTGGTTAGCGCGTTCGGCTGCGATCGTTGTAGTTAAGCAACTTTCGCAGTGGTCGGTCGTTGGATGGGTGACCAAAAATTTCTATCTCGAGTTCCTCCGTGCTTCGGAAGGCACGTTAAGCCGTTGGTCCCGGTTGCATCTGCAATCGTTTGCACCCGCCAATCCGCAATCCGTGGTTTGTCATGGCCCAATCTCCCTATTCCATCCAAAGGGAAGGCCTATGCCCCAGCAGCGGGGACATTAAGAGGCTGATGATGATGGAGGTATATAAGCCTCTAAGCATCATCTGTTAACTTTTAATGTAGTAACCAGAGTACTTTTTCTTTTTTAACCTTATCTAGTACGGATCCGTAGCGACGAAGTACAAAAACAAATACGTAAACATATTGATAATATCAAACTTATTAAATCTAAAATGTTTTCTCCATTTATCTTTAGCTACATTTTCTTAACAAGATTTTCAGAGATTCTCCTTAGAAGATACCTAATTATTAATTTAATATGGTCATTAAATTAATAATTAGATATCTTCAAAGAAGAAAGGTTTTTGTTTTAACCTTTTCTTGCGCGATGTTCGATCGTTAACGAATTTGCTAATTTTCAGCGTTCATATTCAAGATAATACAGCTTTATGAAACGACTGTAGTGCGACATGGCTTGATGTTGGTAGGCCCCGCGGGCTCTGGAAAAACCAAGGTTAATGTTTTGTTTGCTTTTAAATTATACTCAGAGACTTCATTTTAATGATATAATCATAATCATAATCAAAATCATTTATTATAAATAAAAATAAATAAATAAATAAATATTTCCAACACTCACACCAATTAGCCTAGCCCCAAAGTAAGCACTGTAAAGGCTTGTGTTATGGGATACTAGGGTAACGGATAGAATACATATATTGTTCATATATAAGTATATTTATATGAAATACATATTAAACATCCATGACTGGAGTACAAATGCTCGTATTCATCACACAAACATCTGCCCCCACCGGGATTCGAACCCGGGACCTCTCGAGTCGGTGACGCCATGAAACCCTGCGTATAAACCACTCGGCCACGGAGGTCGTCGAGTTCAGTTTAGGCTGTTACAAGCACATATGAATGTCTAGAAGCTACGCCATCGGTTCGTAAATCTACGGCGGGAGACCTTGTACTGAGAAGAACCGGCAAGAAACTCAGCAAGGGCTGTTTTTTTCTCCCTGTTTTATTATTTACAGAGTCGTCAAATTGAAAAATGACTTCAGAGGTGATTCATGAAGTCACTTTTCATTACATAATTATTAAATATACATTAATTGTTTACCTGCATTTTGATTGCTGTGTCATACAGTATAAATACAAATAGTGTTATTTATATTCAGTGTGACTAAACATTAACTTCAATATTAAGGAAGTTAGGGCAGACTCATCTCCGCTGGCAGCACCCGTTCTATTCGATATTAAACCGCCACGTGTTGTCTTATTTTTTTTATCGCAATGAAAGATCAAAATAAAGGACACCCGGCATTTTGTGCCAAAGTTGTATACTTTTTTAATTTTTTTTATCTGTGTTTCATAATTGGGTAACGTAGTCTGGCAATATTTGTCATCAGCAGCTAGCTGTCAATGTCAAATACGTAGGTTTGTCAATATAACCTCTATATGTAGCCGGGTCGTCAACAGAAATAACGGATAGAAAGGCAATCACAGCAGAGAACATTCACAATCACAGTACGCGGGAGCGGATGCGAAATGCAAATGATTTTTTTGTTTGTATTTTAGGATTGTCAAATTGACATTTGGTTTTTTTATTTAGAAAAGCAAAGGAATTATGGTTTTTACAGTCACTTGAGTAATATTTTGAAGTAAAATTCTGTCCCTTGAAGATTTAGGGTTTCAATCATTATATAACTTCTTTCCACGATTCACTAAAAATAAGGCAAAAGTAGTTTTATGTAGCAAATAATTTTGGCTTTATTTTGAGACCCAATTCAACTGTATACAAGTTTAGCATTTTTTCTATGAAAAGTGCCGGGTCTCCTTTGTTATCATCCCTGTTAGCTTTATAATAGGGATGATGACTTATTTTTTTTTATCGTCTGTCAAGTAGATTTATCAAAAAGTCTTGGACACGTATTTTCGTATTTTTTCTTTATACACATAAGCAAAACGTTACAGAGATTATATTGATTTGAAATTTCGCATGGCGTCTCGACTTAGTACAATTTTTACTTTGAAGTGACTATCACGAGCCCCTACGTTCAAACTTTGACGCTCTTTATCTTTGTAATTGTTTGGTGGAAGCCAAAATAAACATAATTATTATGTATGTATGTATTTATCTACTATATAAAAATAAGTCGGGTTTTCCTTCCTGATGCTATAGCTCCAGAACGCACGAACCGATTTCCACGGTTTTGCATTCGTTGGAAAGGTCTCGGGCTCCGTGAGGTTTATAGCAAAGAAAATTCAGGAAAATTAAAAAAAAATCTTCTTTTAATCACCAAACGAAATGTTACATAAACGAAGCCATCTGGTGGCGAAACGGAGTTCGCCGGGTTTGCTAGTTTAATATATATTTATGTATGTATATGAATGCATATATTATTACCTATATCACTCAAGTGATTTACGCCGCCGTCTCTCCCACTTCCATTTAGTCCTCTCCATCCAAAGGTTGTCTGGAAGAGATCGCTCTCAGTGATAAGGCCGCCCATTGTTACACTAGTTTTCACTGTTTGAACCATAAAGGCGTGACTCCTTTTACGTAGCCTTGGTGCGAATATTTTTTTTGCATAAGGGCCAAATTTTCAGTCCACCAAAAGAAAAATACAGCAATGTAGACGCAGAGAGAAGGAAGTGAAAATGAAACCTTAAGGTTCTAATGATTTAAGAAAAGCTGTAAGAACCGACATTATGCACGGAATTATCTCAGCCCAGAAAAGGATAGAAATACAGCTCCTAGTGCTATGGAAAGAGAAAGAAGCGCTTTTCATTGTTATTCAATAAAAAAAATTTGCCCGATCTGCACATCCGCCCATATGCATCTAAGCTCCAGAGTTATGTACTAAATGTTATATTATCTGTGGTGTACAATAAAGTGTTTTGTATTGTATTGTAATTATTAGATAATTTAACTGACGGACTAAATAGAATTTCATTTACTTACCCTGTCATCATCATATCAAATTGACGTGCCCGAATGCGATTGTAAGATGATCAGCGAATTAACTGTTATTAAAGATACTTATGTGACAGTATAGATCTAAAGAAAATTTTACTAGAAAAAAAATCCACGCGGACCAGGCAGCGGACGGGACTCGAACCCACACCCTTCGCAATCCGGGCGAATGCACTGACCATTATGCTACCACGGCCCTATTCGCCGCGTCGAAATTTTCCTAGTCTTAAGCTGCAAGGCGCCTTGTAGGTAACCCACAATGACGCGGCGAACAGGGCCGTGGTAGCATAATGGTCAGTGCATTCGCCCGGATTGCGAAGGGTGCGGGTTCGAGTCCCGTCCGCTGCCTGGTCCGCGTGGAATTTTTTTCTAGTAAACTTTTCTTTAGATTTAAACATCTAGCAGTTAAATGCTTAAAAATAAATAAAAACATAACTGAAAATGTATTATCTCGAGCATATTTTTATGCCTTAACTTACTTTAAATTGATAACGTCATCATTAAATTGATAAATTTTGTAGTGTTACGAGATTCTACGTGATGCTCTCACGGCGATAAAGGGCAAACTGGCACCGGACGGGTTTCCCTTCACGCCGGTACACACTTTTGTCGTAAACCCAAAATCCATTACCATGGGACAACTGTATGGTGAATTCGATCTTCAGACGCACGAGTGGTGAGTGAGATGAATTTAAAATTAATAAAACAACATTATATAAACTACTATAATGCGATTCAACTAAGAATAGGATCGACGGGGCGCCATATTGTGACGTCATAGCCGTCAATTCAAACCAAATAGGTAGAGCGAGCAAAAAAGTTTTTATTTAATAAAAGTTATTTACTAAGATTAAGTGAGAAAAAACATCCGATATTTTAATAAAATTTATTTACTAAAATTGAGAAAAGATAATAACCGATTTTTAATAATATTTATTTATTAAGACTGTGCGAGAAAAAAACATTAATCAGAATTAAGCTCTTCAATTCCGCTCATCTCTGCATTACCGTCGGAGTAGTTTTGAATAATCATGCACTATTACTAGGTCACATACGTACATGCATCCTATATGTAAACCAAAGTTTTAAATCGAGTTTCTAAACGCAACATAAAACGAATACTGAAGTTCTTTGGTCACATCTCTAGAAATGAGAATTCGATGGAAAGGCTGGTGGTTCAAGGCCAGGTCGAAGGCAAGAGAGCACGCGGTCGATCACCAACCCGCTGGATAGACGCCATCACAAAGGCTACTGAGTCTACCATGGTCCAGTGTACTCGCGACGACGCCTCGAACCGTCAGATATGGAAGCTACCTCTCTCCTGGCGATGTGCTCGGAATTGATAGCGACCCAAAAGACACCCCACCATGTACCTCATCAGTGCAACCACGACCACTCTGACAAGAGTGCCCGACTAAGAAGTTATTGTTTGTTTACAAATGTTTGGTTTTTATTCCATAATTAGCCGAGTGCTAAAAAAGGGTTCCAAGTTTTTTTTGCAAGCCATACTTTTCAAGCGATATTTGATAGATGGAGGTCATTGGCTTTCCTATTCTTATTTGAATCGCATTATAAATTGAATCCCCCATGCTGGGTTGAGTGAGAGTAAAAGAAGAACACTGATTTCCCTAAAACTGCAAAGTTTCTCGCACGGACACTAACAACCGTACTGAGAAATGTCAAATAAATGTAATGCTTTATGAGGTCGCGTGTTTATTTATTTATTTATTTATTATAGGTACACTAACAGAATACAGTCAATACATGTTTAACATAAAATTATAGTTGAAGTAATCTAGACAGTACCCCTTTTTACGTGTACACAATATGATTAAAATTGAACAGTACATATGTAATTTATATAATTGAAGGCAAAGCTTAATCTTGACTTAAAAAATATAGTTTTACTTAATAATGTAGTTTTAATTGCTGTCTGAGGACCATTTGGCTTTAATAATATTGGTCACAACTCGTTTGTACTGTGAAAACCTTCCATTAAATATGTCCATGCCCCTGTTGCCACGGACATATTCATTATATGTCCGACACATTCTTACCGCTGGGTTATAAAAGGATTTATTATTCTTGTATACTTGAATTGAAAAGGTATTAGGAAAACGGCATCTATACCTGATATTAATGTTAAGCAATTCAAGTAAATTTGGTGCATCTATAGCTGAATGCAACAATCTATGAAGCAATAATAAGTCATACCTTTCACGACGGGCATACAAAGGTATCATTTCAAATGTAGAGAGTCTAGCATTGTAGTCACTACTAGAAAAAAAAGAAAAAATATTAATTTGTTTCTTAAAAACAGTGATGTTCACACACTTAATACAAGAAACAAAAAAAAACTAACTTTACCTGCTACTAGGCTTCACAAAATTAATAATTCATTTAAAGGTCTTTGTGTTCGCTTATACAATAAAGTCCCAAGCAATATCCAAGAATTAACCATAAATAAATTCAAAGATAGTATAAAAAAAGCACTTATTAAAAAAGCTTATTACAAAGTGTCTGATTATATTACAGACAAAAATGCTTGGGTTTGAACTGTTCCAATCATTCCAACAGGTTTTCTATATTAAATAAATCATTATGTTGTTACAACGTCAATACATGACGTTGTAACAACATAATGATTTGTAAATGTTGTTACATTAAACTTTTAATGATGTGGAGTTTTTTTCGCTCGTTTTTCTCCGCAGCTAAAAAATATGTCCATAACGAGTGGTAGGGAAAAATTTTTTTGGACGATTCAAAAGAGTTGTACCTTTTGAATCGTCCAAAAAAAATTTTTCATCCAATTTGAATAAAGATATATTGATTTCTGATTTCTGATTACTGAGCGATCGACCAAACTTGAATTTGCGAGTGAGGAATCGTAAGCATCGTGTTGTTGCATTCTATTGTTATTTAACTTTAGTCAAACTCGACACTTAATTTACTTCTCGGAGTGCAGTCGTTTTGGATTTCTTTTACAAAGATCTGCATTGTTAAGTTCCACGGCTTCACGGGTAGGGGATTGGGTCAGGGAAGATTACGGCGCGAGTGCTGTTTTTGGTATCGCAAGCATCTATAGGCTATGGTGGTCGTATACCATCACGTGGGCCATAGGCCACCCTTTTAAAAAAAAATGGTTGCGTGTAACTTATGTACGCGCGTGAGAAGTTATACTTCTTTAGCATCATTAAAAATATTTTTTAATTGCATGCAAATAATTAATAATTACAATAAAATAATAAAAGGACTGGAAAAGGATAGTTAACACAGTCAATTAAGTTCAGCTTTAATTTGAAAAATTAAATAAATATTCAAAATATTCAATTAAAATCACTATTGAATTTAAGTTATTAGTCCATATGTAATTAGCACTTGTAAGTAACTAAAACACGTTGTGTCTATATAGAAACTAGAAACATGTGGATAAATATTATAAATATGAAAACAGTGATCAGAGGCGACGAGCGTGCCAACATTCTTTTTGACAACGCGATCATCTTATGGAGCTCCGTGGATCGTTCAAAGTACCTTTCGAACAGATGTCTAATAATGGTGGATTATTAACCACTAAGTGGTTAATAATCCACCATTATTAGACACTAACATTCATAACGCGCCCGCGGCCAACTTCATGGTGTTACTATTGTGTTACAGTGATGCGCGCGCATCTCGAAATTTCACTCACATGATTTTTTCATAACGCGCCCGCGGCCAACTTCATGCTGTTACTTTTGGGTTACAGTGATGCGCGCGCATCTAAAAATTTCACTCTCATCATTTTTTCATAACGCGCCTAAAGAAGTATAACTTCAAAAATTGTGTGTGTCAGCTCCGACGCACGACCGGAGTTTACACTCTAAAAACGATTGTCTTTGAACAGACACAAAACAAAATCAATTCCGAAGTCCGAAGTCGGTTACAAGTAGAGATACCTCAGGAATCGTCCCATGGTTTCGACTATCATAGGTTCCATGTCACACATTTTATCATCTAACATCAGCGTTATTCATCATATATTTTATTATGTATTTCTGGAAACACACAATTTCAAAAATATCACACACTAGTCATCATTTTGTAAATATGTATTATAATTCCATCTGTACTGAAAATCACTATTCCAGAGTGCTGGACACTTACCGGCATTTCTCTATATTATGTAATTTATTTGTTTTCATTAATTTTGCTCCGATTTTATCTATTTTTAATTTATTTATTTTATTGACATTTGTGACAACTTAATGTTTTTTATCCGTTGCCATGACTAAAAGTGAAAGGTGCGCAGATGAGGTTGCGCACAAAAACGTAACGAGGTCATTAATGTCATTCATCGATAGATTTTACTCCTCACATTTTTCTCATACCGGGGGCCTTATATGAAAATCAATTCTTAAGGAGTAAACTCCAAAAACGTAATTTTGTTTTCTTTCAACATCTCTTTCCCAACTAATGCCAAATGTGGCGTCATTTAGGTACGTGTGAGTATGTGGTACAAGTGAGACTTGATCTCCATATTCGCAATTTAATGCTCAAACAGGACGGATGGTATATTGTCGAGCTTGGTCCGGTGTGGAATAGCTGTTGAAGACTTGGATAAGCGCTGGTATATCTTCGACGGACCTGTTGATGCTGTGTGGATTGAGAATATGAATACTGTACGTAAATTATAGTAAATATTATTATTTTTTGATAAATAAGAACAGAGCAGCCATTTTCATAGTCTCTGCCATTAAATTCTGAAAGTAATTTCATATATTCCCTTGTAACTTTTGGGTTTATTTTTATTGGGTTGTGCCATTAGTGCTCATAATTTGATGTTACATTTACGATCCACATAATTTTGACGCAATCGTCATGAGTGTCAGTACACTGGGTGTTGATGTAACATACAGACATATTAACAATAATTAAATTTGATTATCCATGACATTTATAGTTTCTTATATAAATTTCTTGTAACTAACCCCTCGGTTTGCTTCAGTGTAGATTATTGTTTTTGTTTTGGCTTGTTTTATATCTACAATACAGTTTAAACAAACCGCATCAAAATCCATTTCATCATCATCATCATCATCAGCCTATTAATGTCCCCACTGCTTCGGCACAGGCCTTCCCTATGGATGGAATAGGGAGATTGTGCCATGACCCACCACGCGGGCCTAGTGCGGATTGGTGGGTGCTAACGACTGCAGATGCAGCCGGGACCAACGGCTTAACATGCCTTCCGAAGCACGGAGGAGCTCGAGATAGTAATTTTTGGTCACCCATCCAATGACCGACCACTGCGAAAGTTGCTGAAGTTCAACGATCGCAGCCGAACGCGCTAACCACTTGCGCCGTCGAGCTCCTCCAAAATCCATTTAGAAGATCTTAAAATTTTCGCGAAAATGTAGACAGACAAAATTGCGGGTTGGTTTTATTATAATATGTAATGATTCTTTTCTCGTGACTGTATAACGTGAAATTAATAATCGTTTCGTAAATAATTCGTTAAATTTATAATCGTCCAGGAGCTCTATTTTTGAATCACTCGTCTGACATAGTATCGTCGAATGCGACATACTCCTTCGACTTTCAAGTCGCATAATACTGATTTTCCGTATTATGAATCATTCGTCACCGGGGTTACCTGTTTAATACGAAATGTAAAATTTTACTCATTTCACGCAGAAATAATAAAAACCGATAATTACCGCAATGAAAATCGAACAAAAAATTCTGGTTGTCGTTTCATATAAAGCATGACAATAATAGATCATCGTCGTCTAATAGCACAAAAAATTTGACAATTATTCTATCATTCGCCTCCACCATTCGCCATGCAGCGAGTGGTCTCACCCATTCGTTGCACTCGAGCGATTCAAAAATACGGAATTAATTATGTCGAATGAAAATTAGTAGAAAACGAGCGTTCGACGCAAGACGAGTGATTCAAAAATAGAGCTCCAGGAGAGTCTTGATTTAAAACACTGAAATTCTTTAATAAATTTATTACAAATTATAATCACATTTAAACTATCGTCTTCACTATTACAATGATCATTAAACAAGTCTTTACATGAAGATTTTATATATCTCTTGTGAGCAAATTACCCGCGTTCCCAATAATAATCCTTCACCTTTTTAAAAAAAAAAGAATATCCGTATCTATGGCATGGGAATCGGAATCATAAATCCTTATCCCATGTCATAGATACAACTATTAATGACAGCGTTGGTTTTACTTGGGAACGTAGAATAAATACATTAAAAAAATTTGAAAAACACTTATCAATCAAATTTGAGAAATCTCTTATCTTTTAGACAAGTCCGTCCGTCCGTCCGTCTGTGGTGCTGTTTCAGCGGCCAAACCGTAAGAGATAGATAAAGAGAATGTTTAAGTTATAAGTTAAGAATAGTCTGATAAGACTACAAACCGGATTTGAGTAACGTAGCACTTCCGGTTTTCGAGAAATCACGTGATTTCTATTTCAAACGAAACCACGCAAAATCTCCGAAGTTCTCAATTAATTAAATACATTTTTGTTTTTTTAAATCAGGTTTTGGTGAACATTTGGTTCACTGGTTTGCTAGTCATACTAGCTAACAAATTAATAATCCTCCAATCACTTCACTACAGGTATTAGACGACAATAAGAAACTGTGCCTCTCCAGCGGTGAAATTATGAAGTTGACAGATAGACAGAGGATGATATTCGAAGTGGCTGACTTGGCGGTAGCTTCGCCCGCTACCGTTTCCCGTTGCGGAATGGTGTATTTAGACGCCAAAGTTGTAGGACTACCACCGCTTGTGAATGCTTGGCTGAAGAGTAATATTCCACCGGTACTTGCTGATACTTTTGTTTTCTGTATTTAAACCTGTTTATACACCGTGTTCCTGAGGTTATACACTAACTTTGGCATGTTATTCAGACTATTAAATTGATCGATTTTTTACTATGGACATTTTTATGAATTCCAATTTCTTTAACATTTTTTATTTACATACAAACTAAATGCTTAGATGTAATTTATCTAATATGAATTACTCTTTACCTGAGCTAGCAACGTCGCATTTGAAACTTTGGTTCACATGTCCACATAAAGTTTTTGAAACTTTTCTTGACGTCAACAATGTTTTTTAAAATTTTGACTTTTGAAACTATGACTTAATGACCATTGACAAAGAGTTGATGGTTTGATAGTTTTGGTTGCACAAAGTGGCAACATCTCACAGATAAAGACACTTTCTCACTGCACAACACAATTAAGTTGGTTAAACTTAAATTACCAATAACTTAAAAACTATGCTATTTAAACTACCACTTTCTTTGTACGATATGTTTAACAAGAGCTATAGAAGTATTATTCAAAGTTAATGTATAACTCAGGAGCTTGATGGCGCCGATGGTTAGCGCATTTTGACTTTTTTTTTTATGTTATATGGGGCATACGAGCAGACGGCTCACCTCATGGTAAGTGATCGCCGTCGCCCATGGACACTTGCAACACCAGGAGTATCACAAATGCGATGCCGGCCTTTAAGGACGGAGTACGCTCTTTTTTTGAAGGTTCTTGGGTCGTATTTGTCCGGAAACACTGCTGGCGACAACATATTCCACAGTTTTGTCGTACGTGGTAAAAAAATGGATGCGTGTAACTTATGTACGCGCGTGAGAAATTATACTTCTTTAGCATCATTAAAAATATTTTTTAATTGCATGCAAATAATTAATAATTACAATAAAATAATAAAAGGGCTGGAAAAGGATAGTTAACACAGTCAATTAAGTTCAGTTTTAATTTGAAAAATTAAATAAATATTCAAAATATTCAATTAAAATCACTACTGAATTTAAGTTATTAGTCCATATGTAATTAGCACTTGTAAGTAACTAAAACACGTTGTGTCTATATAGAAACTATAAACATGTGGATAAATATTATAAATATGAAAACAGTGATCAGAGGCGACGAGCGTGCCAACATTGTTTTTGACAACGCGATCATCTTATGGAGCTCCGTGGATCGTTCAAAGTACCTTTCGAACAGATGTCTGATAATGGAACAGATGTCTAATAATCACTAACATTCATAACGCGCCCGCGGCCAACTTCATGCTGTTACTTTTGGGTTACAGTGATGCGCGCGCATCTAAAAATTTCACTCTCATTATTTTTTCATAACGCGCCTAAAGAAGTATAACTTCAAAAATTTTGACAAAAACGCACGGTTGTGGATAGCCACGCATCAAGATAAAACTGTAGACTTTCGCAATGGTCGGAAATTGGATGGCGAACCGAAAACTTTTTATCTCGACCTCCTCCGTGCTTCGGAAGGCTCGTTAAGCCGTTGATACCGGCTGTATCTGCAGTCGTTTGCACCCACCAATCCGCCCTGGGCCCGCGTGGGGGGTCAATCTCCCTATTTCATCCATAGGGAAGGCTTGTGCCCCAGCAGACGTCATTAATTGGCTGATGATGATATCAAATAACCAGTAAGAGACTTGATACTATGACTGTGACGATGCACATGGACGCCTGGGTTATCAGGCAGAGGTTAGGACAAAAGGGCTTTACTTTATATCGAATTGAATTTCTGGGAGGGAATGTGTCCTCCGTATACCTTATAGAAGTCTGCAGCTGAATGCAATGAGGGCTATTGCGTATGAATCCGCCGCTAGAGGCGCTAGTGTAGCGTGAGGTCTCCCAAATAAGCAAATGTTATTGCTTGTTGGTTGACTACGCGGGTTTATTTCTAATTAAAATAATGTTGTGAATAATTGGTAACGATTCGGCTTAATTATGGCAAATATGAGTTATGTGGCAATGAATGTCAGTTATTAAAAATTTGAGCTTAGAAAAATGATTATGTTCCCATTTTTTCCGAATAAAACGGAACTGCGCGTCACTGTGGCATGGCCTATTATGTTTAGGATATGGTTCTTTTGTGTTAAAATACGATCTAAATGTAACCTTTGATTTCATGTGCGTATTAATAAACTTTAAAAGTTACAATTTAGGACCTCACTCAACAGTGGCGCCATCTGGTGAGGCAGAAAACGGTAGCCCTCATTATTTTAGAATATTAATTTTTGTTTATCCTGCGATAAACTAATACTAGTAAATGCAGTGTTTCGAATCTTTTCATGGAATCATGAATGCTATTTAAGTGAGTTCAAACTTATTTGTTTCTTAGGTTTTCACGCACATCACTCATTAAATAAAACTAGTTTTAACGGGTTAATGGACGAAACTTTATTTATTTATTGACGTTTCGCAGCCTTTTCAGGTCTGCATCGTCAGAATACTGATTTTTTATTTAATTTTGTCAAGCTACCTTCGAAAGACTTTTATTGAGCGTTCGGTTATTTCATTGGAAGATTTTAAAATTTTATTGTCTATGTATGAATTTATTAGTTAATTTAGTTACTGAAGTACTTCATTTAAAATTCTTTTTTGTAATTTTGAGTTTTTTTATTTGACCCTAACTACCGTAAACAAACTTATTGTTCGTTTGTTATTGAAAGGGCTTACTTTCTTGTTTGTTGCAATAATTCATTTTGAGGGGAAACAAACCGCAATAAGCACTACTGTTATTTCATTTAAAGTTAAAAAAAAATATGTTTTTGATACCTCTTCTGAATCACGAAAAATTTTTTTTTGTTCAAGATCGGTGATGCCCTACGGAAAATTTTACCAAACTTGATAAACATATATTTGTACCCTGCACTGGAATTGCTGAGGTCTAAACTGCATGAGATTGTGATATCCATCGACTCTGCTTTGGTGCTTAAGTTTCTGGAACTCTTGGACTATCGGTTGCGGCCACTCACGGGAAAGGATGACCGGCCGCCTCCAGGAGCTCAGTTTATAGCGATGTTGCGTTAGTAAATCTCTTATCTATTAGACAAGTCCGTCCGTCCGTCTGTCTGTGGTGCTGTTTCAGCGGCCAAACCGTAAGAGATAGATAAAGAGAATATTTAAGTTATAAGTTAAGAATAGTCTGATAAGACTACAAACCGGATTTGAGTAACGTAGCACTTCCGGTTTTCGAGAAATCACGAATTTCAAACGAAACCACACAAATTCTCAATTAATTAAATACTTTTTTTTTAAAATCAGGTTTGGTGAACATTTGGTTCACTGGTTTGCTAGTTTGTGCTTAATTTTCTTCTCTGCATCCCTTCGGTCGTTTTTGAATTCATTTTTCGAAACCCTATTATTTATTGACCATATAAGGATGGCATTGTCAAAATGCCCATGAAATTGGACACCGCGACCAAGCAAGATTTATAAACAAATCATTAGGATGTAAAAGAAAGGGTTTTATAATATGGGACAATATTACTAATTAATGCAATAAATATAAATAAATTAAATAAATAAATATTTCCAACACTCACACCAATTAGCCTAGCCCCAAAGTAAGCACTGTAAGGCTTGTGTTATGGGATACTAGGGTAACGGATAGAATACATACACTGTACATATACATTTTTATTTAGAAATACATATGAAACATCCATGACTGGAGTACAAATGCTCGTATTCATCACACAAACATCTGCCCCCACCGGGATTCGAACCCGGGAGCTCTCGAGTCGGCGACACCATGAAACCCGGCGTACAAACCACTCGACCACGGAGGTCGTTGAAAATGGTTAATACTATGTACATTTGTATGTACTATGTACACCTGAAGTTTTTTAAACTTAACATCTTTCCGTTACAACTGTTTGAAATCTAAAAAAAATAAGAGCGGCATATTTTTGCTAGCCGAATTTGTTATCTTCCCATCTTCATCCTTTTTTTGTTGGCCTGAACCTAAGCCTGGCCCATTGTTGTCTCGAATTCTATTAATAAAAACAACACTACCTTCTGTGTGGTGGAAGTAACTTACTTAGACAAGCGCTCCTATAAAAAAATCGACATCACAGGAGACCGAAGAGCTGTCAGCTACCTCGGACAAAGAATTAGTCTGGCTATTCAAAGGGGGAACGCTGCCAGTATCTTTGGAACCTTGCCTAAAGGGACTCCTTTTAATAATGTATTTTAGTTATTATATATTTTAAGGTTTTTAGTTATAAATAATTAAAATAGCGCTCCTATTACATGCCTTATACCTTTGATATATACACCCTAGATACCGTATGAGATGCACAGAAACGGCACAAAAAATATCTACGGCTTAAGGTATTTCAACTCGTTGCTACACACGCGCACATTGACAGCTTTAGTATAATCTGACATTAGAGTCATGCACACATTGCGCGAAAAATTAGCCCTTTTCTTGACGTGATTTATAATGCGATTCAACTAAGAATAGGACCGACTGGGCGCCATATTTTGACGTCATAGCTGTCAATTCAAACCAAATAGGCAGAGTGAGCAAAAAAAGTGTCTTTTGAGTAAGACTTATTAACTTATATTAAGTGAGAAAAAACATCAGATTTTTAATAAAATTAACTTACTAAGATTGAGAGAAAAAAGAATCGATTTTTAATAATATTTTTTTATTAAGACTGTGTGAGAAAAAACATTAATCAGAATCTAGCTCTTCAATTCCGCTCATCTCTGCATTACCGCCGGTGTAGTTATGAATAATCATGCAGGTCACATACGAACATGCATCCTATATGTAAACGAGAGTTTTAAATCGAGTTTCTGAACGCAACATAAAGTGACATTTGGTTGACGATTTAGGCTATCAACCATTAATATATACCATAGCCAAAGCGCAATAAATGAAAAAAATATCAACCAATATTAATTATCAATATTTGTTTAAAAATGTTTGATTTTTATTCTAGAATTAGCCGAGTGCTAAAAAAGTGTTCCGAGTTTTTTTTGCAAACTGTACTTTTCAATCGACATTTGACAGATGCAGGTCATTGGCTTTCCTATTCTTATTTGAATCGCATTATATTTGGATTGCTCAATCTAGGCGTATAAATAATAATCAAAGGACAACGTGAAATATTGCAAAATCCACATAATACGGAATTTTATAATTGTGTTACATAACTTTCTGGCGATGGTCAAGAGATAAATAAACCTTATCGCAAAATTTTATCGTTTAATTTCAGCAACAAAAGCTTTACTGTCCTTTCATGTTGTGATATTTATCTACACAACACACTGCGTATCCGGCCAAACTTATTCTTTTTTAATGACTTGTGTGTTACGAATGAAGTTCCGACCCAACTAACAAACCTTAATCAAAACTACGTTCTATTATAATAGTAATTTACGTAATAATATAGCGAGATATACGTATAGCGAGATTGCTTCCTTATATCTCGCTTTTTGATTTAGATTTATTCATTTATTTGAATCACAATTTAACGCATAATTACATTTTAACATTACCTCTTGCACCAAAACTCCCAAATATTCTTTTGCAAGTCCCCTATATTTTGGCACTGATCATGAAGTGATTGACTGATTAATCTTACTCCGTGATCATGGCACTTATAATAGTAGGAGATCCGAACTAAAAACGATCTTCACCGAGCTGATAATAGAATGAATCATATTTTATAACAAATTTAGTATGTTAGAAAATATGTTGAAAATGGGTTGCCTAAAAAAATCCTGGACAGACAATTTTTAATTATTTAATTATTTTTTATTTTATTTTTATTTTTGCAACATCAAGATAATAAGAAAATTTTTACCCTGACTTAAAGTATGAAACGTATAGAATGTGCAGCCGTTGGGTTGCCTATTATTTACCTGGACAAACTACTCGGTTGTCAGGTATAAACAGGTATGTCGATGCCAGTTACCTTCACTCGATTAGATAATCGAAAAAAAAATATATCAATATGAGCGTTGTTTTATTGCGAACACGGTGATATAGGGTTGTCTGCAAAAAACTTGGTCCTAATAGGGGTTTGCGAATTTTGAAGATTTTAATTTTAACGCGAGTGGAAATGTGTGACAGAGAGATCCGAATTGAGTATAGCGTGTAATAATAAAGGACACAACATGGCACAACTGACATTTAAGTTGTAAATAATAATAATTATAATAATATTATAATACTAAAATATTAAACAATAAAACCTCAATTAAATAAATAATAAATATATATAAATGAATTTACTTATTGACTTATAAGTATCATTATATATTTATACAAGTTTTTTTAACTCAAAATATAATGACGTAAATAATACAAATATCAATACTTTGAATTTTTTTTTTCTCTTTCTGGAAAAAAATATGAGAAACAAAGTGGACAGCCGAAAATTCAAATCCATGGATAAAAAAAAGATAGACTAAAAATCTTGTATTACGTTTGAAAATTTTATTAAAAAACAGCATAAATACAAAAATAATATCAATAAAAAATAAATTATAATAAATATTTTCTATTCTATATCTGATTCATCAGAAGTATAATTTTGATTCTCGAATTCATCTGACTCATTATTAGTTTCTTCCTCAATTTCTTCCATTTCGACAATGTCCTGGATTTTCAAAGGAGTTTGATCTCCGATAAAACCAGTTGGTTTTAAAAAATCATCTAAATGCCAACCGCAGCTTTCGGGGTTTAATTTCGCACATATAATTGTTAAAATTAAAATCTTCAAAATTCGCAAACCCCTATTAGGACCAAGTTTTTTGCAGGCAACCCTATATCACCGTGTTCGCAATAAAACAACGCTCATATTGATATAAAAATTTTTCGATTATCTAATCGAGTGAAGGTAACTGGCATCGACATACCTGTTTATACCTGACAACCGAGTAGTTCGTCCAGGTAAATAATAGGCAACCCAACGGCTACACATTCTATACGTTTCATACTTTAAGTCAGGGTAAAAATTTTCTTATTATCTTGATGTTGCAAAAATAAAAAATAAATAAAAAATAATTAAATAATTAAAAATTGTCTGTCCAGGATTTTTTTAGGCAACCCATTTTCAACATATTTTCTAACATACTAAATTTGTTATAAAATATGATTCATTCTATTATCAGCTCGGTGAAGATCGTTTTTAGTTCGGATCTTAGACTATAACAGTGCCGAAACATCAGGGGTTCACAAATCGAGGACCTACAGGGTAGGAATAATAATAATTTGATGGATTTTAATAACCCGTACAATTAATAAAGGCGGCTAAAACCTGAGAAAAAGATGAAAAAACAACAATCTAAAAATAATTATCTTTATCTAAATATATAAAAGAAGACATTGAAAGACTGGCTGATTGATATATCAACGCACAGCCCAAACCGAAGGATATAGAGATTCCAAATTTAGCAACTATGTTCCTAATGAGGTCTAAGGGTGAACTGAGAAAGGATTTTAAAATTCACCTCTGAAGAGCTTAATATGGAGGAACAAAAATCTTATTTCTTGAGTTTATACAATTAAAACTTGATACGAATACTTCTCTAAATAAATAATAAAGTTTGCCATTTGTTGGTTTGTCCAAACTACCCTTAGGGGTAGGCGACAAGCTTTTATATTATATAAATTGTGTAATGACGTTATAATTTCATAGTCAAAGTTTAAAAGGAAATCTTTATTTTTATTTTTTTTAGCGCATTTAAATAAAAGCTTGTTTTTAAAAAAGTTTCTGCTTTTAATTTATTTTTTACTTTTTAGTTGTCGATGGACATAATCAAGAACTTCAAGAACCCCATATTCTCAGCTAGTCTTTTAAAATGATAATGATAATATAGAAAAGCATAAAAATCGTAGGCCGCCATGATGTTAAGTTCGCCCTGTGTGTAATAGATTTAAAGTGACGTCACTTTTCGAGTTATACTTACCAAGCCCTTTCATTTGATACCTATATTGTAGGAATTCATCAAAAAAAAAAATCCGCCAACTTGTTTGATCCGCCATATTGGATTTAGAATGACGTCACACAGCTCACCATGCATTGTCATCCAAACTAAACGCGTGTACAAAATTGCAGCTCAATCGAATGAAGATATCTGCTTCAAAATTGAGTTTCAAGATTCCACCCGAACAAACATACATACATACTTACATTGCAAGTTAAATATAAGTTTTTAATAATAAGTAAATACATTATACCATCTAAAATGATAATGATACCACACGATGATGATAATGATGGAAGTTGACTTCAATACATGTTTGTTCAATAATTTGACGACACTGATTGAAATGAAACAGGAACAAAAAATAGTCCTTGCTGAGTTCCCTGCCGGTTCTTCTCAGAACAAAGGTTTCCCGTCGTAGATTAACGAATTGATGACGTAGCTTTCGACTTGTAAAAGCCTTAACTGAATAAATGAATATTGAATTGAATTACTTCCCTATTAATGCATAGTTAGTGCATTTACTCGCCAGATTTTAGATTCTGGGTTTTAATCTGTAATGCTTAAATGATTATTATGTTCTTTCAATCTAATTACATTTGACATTCAGAATAATGTTTTTGGCCGGTCTTATGCATTTTCTGGTTTATTTTAATTTGTAATTTATTTATTGGTTTCACGTTTTTAATGGTATCTTATTGACATTTTTGATTCTGTAACTTCGTTGACTTTGATGTATGTTTATTTTAATTTTGACTTTTTAATTGTGATTCCACTTATGACTATTTCTATATAATTAATGTTTTTGTATTGCATTGACTTGTTGGTGTGTTGGACTAGCTCTGTAAGCCAGCATGTGAAACTGAATATATAAATAAATAAATAGTATTATTATATCACAGCAAGACTAGCTCCATGCTGGGTGGTTTGGGCAGTTACTTGGTCTGTTGGTGCAACTTGCGATCACAACGGCCGCGCCATGTTCTCTGACTTCATGCGGTCGGTAATGGATGAAAACAACTTCAAACCTGCCTTCCCTAAGGAAGGAAGAGTCTATGATTACACGTGAGAATGTATTTTTGCTTCCGATATCATTAAGTGTTATTCAGTTAGCTAAAATTCCTTTTTAGGTATGGATAGATAAGTACCTCACCCGGGACTCGTGAAGATGTAAAGAGATATAGACCTAATTTAATCTTGTCTTTCAAATCCCAATATAAAAAATATACTGAAAGTAATAGATTTGATAAAGTACTTATAGCCTTGAAATATTTTTTAAGAACTGGAATAAATTAATTTAACGTCAATCAAGTTTAAGACATATTACTGGGTTTTAATAGCATACTAAAATAGAATATTTAGGTTTTCGAGCCTACACTTGAACTACTTGAGATTACGCTTAAGAAAATCCCTCCCACTCATATATCTATCTCTTTCACATGAGTAAAGATGCGTATGCACTGTTGCTGTCTCTTTCACTTAACAAGCGGCGGCGAGTGGTGGTGGCGCGAGCGCGCCGCGTTCTTCAGTACGCTTTCAATCGTCGTGACACTCGCACGTGAAACATATCTTGGTAAGGAAAATAAAATATTTTCGTTCGATCTAAAGTCTGACTCTAATTTTATTCCGCTCGGCGCCGCATAGCCCAGCGACGACATATGTGCTCATCGAAGCACAACGCTCTCTGCCGAATCGAGGCGGCACATAAAAGTAGTCGAGACATGTCGGTCAAAATGAGACACCGCGCCGTATGAGTATGAATTCTAGTGAGACGATGTGTCGTACTAGATGAGACGTCATGACCTATCACCTGATACCACGAGCATGATTTGGGACGACGTCACTTGAATTGACAAACCTACAGTTAGTAGTACTCATACCTCTCCGGTAGCTAATAATATAAATGAATCTGAATACCATAGGCGATCACTTGCGAACAATTGTGTAGAAAATTCTGAGCATCACACATCAACAAAAAGGTGACACGGATCAATCACCGAAGACAACAGCTCATCCACAAAACGCTCTGCTTATTCCCATAGCTTAGGAAACTGGGATCACCTATTAGTGACTGTGCTTAACCAACAAATGGAAATGTTTAATCGCTTAATTGACATACAAAATAAAGAAAGCAATAATATTGATAAAATCTTATCTAGCTCTCTACCGAAAAATATTTCTAAAATACATGATCTTAATTCATCTTTTGAATCTCTTCCTGACAGTACGCACTCTGAGAACAACGTAGAACTACCTTAATATAGAACGCCTAACGAAGCTTGCCTGTCAGATGATGACCGCTCTATAAAGGGATCCGATCTGCTATCAAGAATTAGTGAAGCTCAAAGAGAGCTTGCCCTACTGCAATCAGGACAAAGTGAGGCATTTGATTTCAACCCTTCTACAACTTCAGCGGAACCCAAGGTATCAAAAACGGATCTACTCTTCCTAAAACAAGGTATTAACTGCCAACGCTTCGGACAAGAAGGATGGCGTGATGTCAGATACGCTGATATACAAAAACAGTTTCAGGCATCACCGGCGTTCTCTGCCCTCAGAGTCAACAACCTCCTTGCCAACGTGTCACCTCCATGGAAATCAACCAGTGTTCTTGAAAAATTCGACCTAACCTTAGAAGCAATCACTCATGGGCTCCTCCAACAAAGGAAAATATTTCAGGATATGAAACTATCTCGTGAACTGAGAACAAAAGTTGGCAATGAACTTCTAACCACAGACTCCCAATTTAACAAGAAATCTGACGCTCTTATACAAAATGTGTGCGGTCGCCGAGCAGAAATTATAGAACAAAGAAGAGGCGTTAACAAGGTACAAGGTAAAGCACTTAATGAAATTTTACATAATATTCCTCCCTCAGAGACGCACCTATTCTCCGATGAAGCATTGATTGAAGCAGTCAAGGCCTGCTCGAATAACGAACGATATCCGAAGGTTTTTTACCTACTCCAATCGTACGAAATCTACCAATTTTCGCATAAGAGAAAGATTTAAAACTACCCGAACGCAAATCACAAAAAATAATGACAGCAATACAAGAAGATTCAGCGAAGCTGCTCGCAATGTCTTCAAGCAGACTCGACCAAGAACACAGCCTCAGCCCCAGCTCCGACAACAACAATTTCAGGCGAAGAGAAACTGGGGAAGCTGCAAAAGAAAGTGACGACTTCACAGCGGGACGCCTATACGAATACATGCAACGTTGGAATATCGCGCCACCACCACCCGCCGTTGCTTGTTAAGTGAAAGAGACAGTAATAGTGCATACGCATCTTTACTCGTGTGAAAGAGACAATTATATGAGTGTGTGTGACGATTTCCTTAAGCATAATCTCAAGTGGTTCAAGCTTAGACTGAAACCTAAATATCCTTTAGTTCTTGGTTGTACTTTCAAACTAAATCAAGCAAGTGGGTAGTCTAGCTATATTTTTACATCTGAAAGGTATAAGAAAATATATTTGTATAATCGCAGTTTGCATGATGGTGGGTTTACTGATCCTACCGAAGACGGCGAGCCTGCCAACCCTTACTGGTACAATTGGATGGCTAATCTAGAAGAATACGAAGTGGATCCCGAGTGGCAATTTGCTGGTGAGAATAATTTTTCACATTGATTAATATGCTGTAGGTTACGAGTCGCTGCGACGACGCAGTCTAAAGTAAAGGCTGCGAAACGTCAATAAATAAATAAAGTTTCGTGCATTAACCCGTGAAAAACTAGTTTTATTTAGATTATAGCTATTTTTCATCGATTTTATTATTAGCATCTTATTGAGTTATCAAAATATTTTAGGAGAAAAACCATTATTGTATTGCTCTTGATCTTAACGTTAATAGCTGAATAGCTTATGTTGTGTAAATAAAAGAAACTGCTGAAAAAACTTAAACCTGAATAAACGACAAAATAGAAATTGAAATGTTTTCATTGTGACATTGAGGAGCTCGATGGCGCAAGTGGTTAGCGCGTTCGGCTGCGATCGTTGAAGTTAAGCAACTTTCGCAGTGGTCGGTTATTGGATGGGTGACCAAAAAATTTACTTATTCGAGCTCCTCCGTGCTTCGGAAGGCACGTTAAGCCGTTGGTCCCGGCTGCATCTGCAGTCGTTAGCACCCGCCAATCCGCACTGGGCCCGCGTGGTGGGTGATGGCCTAATCTCCCTATTCCATCCATAGGGAAGGCCTGTGCCCCAGCAGTGGGGACATTAATAGGCTGATGATGATGATGATTGTGACAACCTTAATTTTTCCCAGAATCTCAGTCATGTCTTTTTTATTTTATAGGGGCATACGAGCAGACGGCTCACCTGATGGTAAGTGATCACCGTCGCCCATGGACACTTGCAACACCAGGAGTATCACAAACGCGATGCCGGCCTTTAAGGAAGGAGTACGCTCCTTTTTTTTTCTTATTTTTTTTTTTTTTTTTCTTAGCTACTGAAAATTTAAAATACTTTAATAACTTATACAAAGGCTGTTTTGCCCATAGATATTGAAGTGCCGACACTAGACAACGTTCGTAGTGCGGCGTTACTCGGCTACAAAATAACTAATTACAATCACGTGATATGCGTGGGACCGACCGGAACTGGCAAGACGGTTACTATTACATCGAAGTTGTCGCGTGGACTCCATAAGAAGTTCATCTGCGAGTTCATCGTGTTCTCCGCTAGGACTTCTGCGAATCAGATTCAGGTTTAGGGCACTTTCAAATTTTATTCCTTTGATTCCTTAAGAGATAGGTTTAAAGAATTTAGTATAATGACAGTCGCATCACAATACATATACGAAAATTTATTACTTGTAACAAAAAATATTAATTTGTTTCTTAAAAACAGTGATGTTCACACACTTAATACAAGAAACAAAAATAAACTAACTTTACCTGCTACTAGGCTTCACAAAATCAATAATTCATTTAAAGGTCTTTGTGTTCGCTTATACAATAAAGTCCCAAGCAATATCCAAGAGTTAAGCATAAATAAATTCAAAGATAGTATAAAAAAAGCACTTATCAAAAAAGCTTATTACAAAGTGTCTGATTATATTACAGACAAAACTGCTTGGGTTTGAACTGTTCCAATCATTCCAACAGGTTTTCTATATTAAATAAATCATAATTGTATTGACGTTGTAACAACATAATGATTTGTAAATGTTGTTACATTATGCTTTTAATGTTGTGAAGTTTTTTCGCTCGTTTTTCTCCGCAGCTAAAAAATATGTCCTATAACGAGTGGTAGGGGAAAAAAATGTTTGGACGATTCAAAAGTGTTGTACTATACATCCAATTTGAATAAAGATATATTGATTTCTGATTTCTGATTTATGCGTTTCTTGATTGCCTGCTGCGGTGCTGCCGAAGCGGTGCGTTTGTCGTACCTACAGCGTACGGACGATCCTTTTTTTTCATACAAAACGTTGCGGTGCGGCAACAGTCCTGGAGCTCTATTTTTGAATCACTCGTCTTGCGTCGAACGCTCGATTTCTACTGAATTTCATTCGACATAATTAATTCCGTATCTTTGAATCGCTCGAGTGCAACGAATGGGTGAGACCACTCGCTGCATGGCGAATGGTGAAGGCGAATAATAGAATAAAGCCAGAAACATATTAACGTGTTGTGTCGTGGCGCGCCAGAAGCACATCGGTTTCATAGATTTACTTTGGTTAGAGACATTTTACGTATCGTGTCGTGTGGACGCTTTAACCTCTCTCTAACCCATAATAAATGTATGAAACCGATGCGCCACGACACGCCACGACACGGTAATATGTTTCTGGCTTTATGTTCAAATTTTTGTGCAAATAGACGACGATAATCTACCATTGTCATGCTTTATATGAAACGAAAACGAGATTGTTTTTAAAAAGCTTATTTTTTCTGCGTAAAATGAGAAAAAAATCATGTTTCGTAATAAACAGGTAACACTGTTGACGAATGATTTAAAAATACGGAAAATCAGTATTATGCGACTTGAAATTCGAAGTTGACTTATGTCCCATTCGACGATACTATGTCAGACGAGTGATTCAAAAATAGGGCTCCTGTTGTCAAGCGTTCGGGGTACCGGCGCCGCACTGTCACGGTAATTATATCATACAGTATTCTATCTTCATACAAACGGTCGGAAAGCGAGTCATACCTACGCCACTCGAGTTCGAGGCACTCTCAGCGGGCACCCAGTCGCGAATGCGCCGCCGCGCCGCAACGACGACCGAACGGTCTGAATTGTTTTTTATGCAGTTAGCCGTGCTTAAACGTGCGTTTAGTATTGTAAATATTTGATTTAATTAAGTAGATACCTACATAATTTAGTATGGAAAAGAACAAACGACGATCAATATCGTACAACAGCACGATTGCTGTTGTTGGTTGCTTGAACTCTTCAATAACACACCCAGAGATATCATTTTTTAAATTACCTGAAATATTGGAAAGGTGTCTTACCTTTATAGAATATTTTTTATATACCTATCTACTAGTACGTAATTTGTTTCTAATATATAGGTATTTCGGTTTTTCCATCGGGCAAAATATCTGGAATAATATATAAATAAGTGGTTAGGATGAAAAAAGAGACAAACGAGTAATCTACCTACGCTCGCGTTAAAAACAAAACTGCATAAAATACTGTAGGCGGGCGGCCCTACCGCGTGCTAACGCAGCGCTCGGTCGTAGGCATTTATTTCAAGGACAGGGCGGAGTCACAATACTGTATAGATAATATTACCGTGGCACTGTTGCCGCACCGCGCGTTTTGTATGAAAAAAAAGGATCGTCCGTACGCTGTACGACAAACGCACCGCTTCGGCACCGCAGCAGGCTGTCAAGAAATGCATAAATTGAAAGAGCCCTTATCAATTTAGTTTTGTTTTTTTTATTTCTATGGTAAAAATGTAGAACGTATAAAATAAATAGCTTTTATTATCTCTTACTTAATCCTGAAATGCGTAGAATGAATCTGTCTCAACTTGATAGTAATTAATGCCTATGAATAGACAATGTGGTTTTAGATATTTAACTAGGTATCTCGGGAACCTGTCACTACTAATTTCGATCTATATTGAGGTCGACGAGAGAATGAATAATTAGCCTTTAGTAACTTTAAGTATCCTTCATCTTAATCACAACATAAAGACGTCACACTTTCTATTAATAGGATCTAGTTATTTATCCGAAAACAGAATTTTACAGTGAATTGTAACTAATTTGTAAGTCACAGTAAGCAGCTTTTGTAAATATTTTTTTTTGAAGTTATACTTCTTTAGGCGCGTTATGAAAAAATTATGAGAGTGAAATTTTAAGATGCGCGCGCATCACTGTAACACAAAAATTAACAGCATAAAGTTTTGTGTTTACCGCACATTAAGAAAATCTACCAACAAAATAGAAATAGAATCTCTATTCAGTGGGTGCTAACGACTGCATTGTGAAGGCCTATCAAAAGTATTTATTAATCTGGAATAACGGAACCAAAGCGCGATTCAGGAGACTACAGCGCCATCTCTTGACCATTGGTGTAGTAGAACCAAAAACCACATCTTTATTTTTTGTAATAAAGTAACAGTTATAGGTATTCATATTTATAATATTTATCCACATGTTTCTAGTTTGTATATTCGGAATACGTGTTTGAGTTTCATACAAGTGCAAATCACATATCGCTCCTTCAATGCAAAAGGGCCACAATTCAAAAAATGAGTTTTTACAGGATGGCCATAACAAAATTTTGAAAACGATTTTTGGGAATTTTTGTATTCTATTTTGCGATAATATATAAATGTTATACATCATTAGAATCGTATTTTTATACCACATTTATGAGTATTAAACAATTTATATTAACTATGATACATAGTGAGAAATTTGCACAAGAGGCCCTTTTGCATTAAAAATCTGACCAGAAATCTTAAAAAAACAACAAAATTTAATACACTTTTTAATCAAATAATACTTTAATTTTATTTTTATTAAAAGTAAAAATAATAACTTTCTCAATTATATTCTGAATAACACATTATATCGATCAGGTTATAAACAAAATGTTATCTGTCTTAAAAAAAACACAAATTTTATATTCTTTTGAAAGAAAGTTCTTTAAAATCGTATTACTGAAGCTAAAATAACAGTCTTTTAATAAAAAAATGTCCATATTATATAACCATATCAAAATTAAAGGTTTTTAAAAAATTTTTTTCTTTATTGAATGAGATCCATTTAAGTTAATTATTAACGCAAGTAATAATCATTAAAAAAAATAAGTAAATAACTCGTGCAAAAAACCCTGAAGTGAAGAATTATATTCCTCTATAATATTTTGCAATTATATTCCTCTCTTTAAGTTTCAGTACACCTTCTTTCTTTTTTTGGGGTACTTTAAGTAAACTATTGCGACTTAATACTAAAAGACCCAGGCTGGGGTGAAATGTCGATTTTTTTGCGAATATCCTGTGTTCTAGATCTATAGAAGAACTTCCAGTATTGCATTGATGGTAAGGCTGAAAAGTCGGGCTTCATCGGAAGAAAAATCATCTGGTGTGCGCTAAATAACGACTTATTTAGCGCTCTGTTCAACGACTTTAAAAGTATTGACTGCATATTGTCATCTTCATCATCAAGTAATGAGAAGCTTAGGTTATATTGACTGTCTGCTAAGAAATTTGTATCAAAACTGTAATTGGATAAGAATACATTTTTAATACAAATCACGTTATCGTTTGAATATTTATTGTTTGATGCAGACCCGTCATTCGAAAAATAGACAAAATTACACATTCGTAATGTCTTGTTGAGCATCTGCTGATATAAGCTGTTCCTCTAGGCTATTGCGGACGGTAGACTGGATTATTAAAATTTGATTTTTGGTTTGGATTAGCAATCATAATCAGGTTTTTTCTTATTCTGCTATTCACTCTGTAAGCAATATCTAAGCAAAACAAGCAAAACATATGCAATACATACACATAATCAACAATGCCTTTATTGTGTATTTTATTATTATTGTAAATCCCAACCATCATCATCATCATCAACCTATTAATGTCCCCACTGCTGGGGCACAGGCCTTTCCTATGGATGGAATAGGGAAACCCCAACCATGAATATATATAAAAAGTTTATCATAGATACATCAGATGATATTATAATAATCGTATATGCACTGGTTTAATCCATATTCGTAAAATAATTAGAAACCATAAATGAGAATGACTTAAATAAATAATATCAGACTACATCATTATATACCTCCGATGTAAGTTTGAAAATATGCAAACATTAGGTACTATCGCGTTTGTGTTATAATTTTTAAACTCGTTCTTATTAACCCACCACATAGAACAATATAGACACGACCCAACGCGCCCGCTTTGCTCTATGGCTCACAATTATCAATCTATCTATAAAATGTGCCTAAACTCAAACACTATAGTAAAGTTTGCACATTTACAGACCTACACACAAGCCTTTGTTTTTTTTAATAAAAAGGTACCTAGCTTAAAAGTACGAATATTAACGACAGATTTACAATAACTCGAGGCACTCAAACACAAAACATTTAAAAATAACGTTTCAATCTCATTTGTTTTATTTTAAAACATAATCATTTCTAAAAAATACCCTAGCAATAAAATTATTATAAGATTATAATGCATTATTCAATACAAAACGGACGCTTTTTGAAATACGACAGTTTTTATTTTAAGAATCTTTTATAACATACTCAATTTTTAATGCAAAACAGCCACTTTAAAAAAATACACTTTTAATCTAAAGACTTTAATTATATCTTCATAAAAATTTAATGCAAAACAGCCACTTTTCAAAAAAAGGCACTTTTGATCTAAAGACTTTAATTGTTTAAGGTAATTTTTTGGATTGTGGCCCTTTTGCACTAAACCGACTTGAGTTCACGCTGAGTATCGGGTCGGAACTAAAAAAATGGCCGCTTTGCACTGAAGTTAGTCATCAAAACGCTTGAATGCAAAACGGACGCTTTTGTGATTTGGCAGTTATTAAAGCTAAAATGGCGAGTGTTTTAATGACACTCTAAAATATCATGCATTTAGATCACATTTTTATAATAAAACGAGTTTTGAGATTTTTTGAATTGTGGCCCTTTTGCATTGAAGGAGCGATATGTTCTAATAAATTATATTCAGTAGCGATTTTAATTGAATATTTTGATTATTTATTTATTTTTTCAAATTAAAACTGAACTTTATTGACTGTGTCCTTTTCCAGACTTTTTATTAATTTATTGTAATTAATTATTTGCATGCAATTAAAAACTAATTTTAAACGATGCCAAAGAAGGATAACTTCTCACGCGCCTACATAAGTACACGCACCCATTTTTTTTATAGGTAGGTCCGACAAATGACACCACCCCACCTGATGTTAAGTGAAGGTGAAGTCCAGACGCGACGATAGCTGATACAGCAGTTCTAACTGCCACACCAGCCATCCTCACCCTGCCGGCCTGCATGTTGCTTTTTCACGCCTCTTAAAGGATCCCAGGTTGTAAGAGGGAGGGAACACGTGAGCGGGCAGAGCATTCCATTTACGGATAGTACGACAAAGAAATGAGTCACCAAATTTCTTTGTACGCGTTGGAATTGTGGCCACAGTTAGACGGTGACAACGTAAGCCAGCGCGCGTGGTCCTCTGAAGGAAAGGGGAAGGTGGAATAAGAGAGAATAACTCCTCAGAACACTCGCCGTGGTACAGACAATAGAACACGGTTAGTGACGCCACGTCACGGCGTAATTGAAGAGGCTCGAGGTGTTGAGTCACCTCCTCATCGCCTATGATGCGGATTGCGCGCCGCTGTAGCCTATTTTTTCATTTCACTTCTAAAATGTTTCCCTTCCCGTATTTTAAACCATAATTACACATATAAGTTTATTGAATTGGTAACTCGTATGCTAGGATGTGATAGACGGTAAACTGGAGCGTCGACGGCGCGGAGTATTCGGTCCTCCACCCACCAAGCGACAGGTGTTCTTCATAGACGACCTCAATATGCCAGCGTTGGAAGTCTACGGGGCTCAACCGCCTATAGAGCTCCTAAGACAATTCATGGACTTTTCTGGTAAGTGAGAGATAGCCAGAAATATTCAATTTTCATCCTCTTGTACATCATCATCATCATCATCATCATCAGCCTATAAATGTCCCCACTGCTGGGGCACAGGCCTTCCCTGTGGATGGAATAGGGAGATTGGGCCATGACCCATCACGCGAGCCCAGTGCGGATTGGTGGGTGCTAACGACTGCAGATGCAGCCGGGACCAACGGCTTAACGTGCCTTCCGAAGCACGGAGGAGCTCGAGATAGTAAATTTTTGGTCACCCATCCAATGACCGACCACTGCGAAAGTTGCTTAACTTCAACGACGGCAGCCGAACGCGCTAACCACTTGCGCCATCGGCACTCTGCTTTTTGTACTTTGTTAACTATGACTACCTGATTATTATGTGATATAATTTTTTTTTTATTTTTTTTTATAGTGAGTAGTAGATTCGATTGATCGATTGAGGAGCTCGATGGCGCAGGTGGCTAGCGCGTTCGCCTGCGATCGTTGAAGTTAAGCAACTTTCGCAATGGTCAGTCATTGGATGGGTGACCAAAAATTTTCTACCTCGAGTTCCTCCGTGCTTCGGAAGGCACGTTGAGCCGTTGGTCCCGGCTGCATCTGCAGTCGTTAGCACCCGCCAATCCGCACTGGGCTCGCGTGGTGGGTCATGTCGAAATCTCCCTATTCCATCCATAGGGAAGGCCTGTGCCCCAGCAGTGGGGACATTAATAGGCTGATGATGATGATGATGATGATGATGAGTAGTAGATTTGCAATTCCTTCAGCCAGTATTAAAGCGATAATGTGTTAAAATGTAATTCTTATATTCTCAAAATAATATGGAAAACCTTTAGAATTCATGCAGCTCTAATAGACAAAAGCTTAGATCGTGTGTCTGACACTGTACTATCTAACAGCTATTTATACAACCCTATATAGCCATTGATTATGATTATGTGGGTTTCACTGTTATTAGCCTATGCATTATACTCGTACTTGTTGATATTGAAGTTTACTCCTTAAGAATCGATTTGCATATATAAGGGGCCCGGTATGAGAAAAATGTGAGGAGTAAAATCTATCGATGAATGACCTCGTTGCGTTTTTACTGTCTACGCTGTAGCAGCCGTAGTGCTACACCGTAGCACAGTATCGTAGCGTACCTTTATTGCCTACGACGACAAAGAAACCGCGTCGGTGTACCATCGCGCCATTCGTTGAACACAAAACCATTGAGCTTTAGAAGTAAACTTGGATATAGCATTTACAGTATCAATCAATCTTTTTTGAGTTAAATAAACTCTTTTTGCGTCTGGTTAGACTATCGAATTTAAGGAGTAAACTCCAGTCGTGCGTCGGAGCTGACACACACATCTCTTATCTATTAGACAAGTCCGTCCGTCCGTCCGTCTGTGGTGCTGTTTCAGCGGCCAAACCGTAAGAGATAGATAAAGAGAATATTTAAGTTATAAGTTAAGAATAGTATGATAAGACTACAAACCGGATTTGAGTAACGTAGCACTTCCGGTTTTCGAGTTCAAACGAAACCACACAAAATCTCCGAAGTTCTCAATTAATTAAATACATTTTTTTTTAATCAGGTTTTGGTGAACATTTGGTTCACTGGTTTGCTAGTCTTTTTTAAGTTAAATAAACTCTTTTTGCGTCTGGTTAGACTATCGAATTTAAGGAGTAAACTCCAGTCGTGCGTCGGAGCTGACACACACATTTTTTTTTAACTCGTGCATGGTTTTGTATAATTATTTTGCTATCAAGATTAAATCTAAAAGTTTTAAAGAGATAATTTGAAAATGTTTTGTTTGCCTAGGCTGGTATGATCGCACCAATATTGGTGATTTCCGTACATTGGTGGACGTGGGTATAGTAGCCGCTATGGGTCCCCCTGGTGGTGGCCGCAACCCCGTAACCATGAGGTTGATGAGGCACTTCCACTATATCTCCTTCACCGAGATGGAGTATGCTAGCAAGGTTCGTCGTACTGTTAATTCCAGGCAGATTAGGCTTGTCGAAAATATATCGATGTATCGATTTATCGATATTTTTTGCCGATATATTTTGATTCGATATATCGATACAAAATAACCAATATCGAAATTCGTATCAAAAACGATATTTTTTTAATTATTAGCGGCATTTCACGACCTAACTAAATTCGTTTTAGTATTGTCTATGTCATCATTCGAAAATAGGGTCTATTTTTAGGGAGATAATTTTCGTTCCATTATTATTCCGCGTGTCAGATTTCGTGAGCTACTGTACGATATTTTTGGGAAAATTGGTCCGATATATCGATATATCGATGTTTTTTCCGCGATATATCGAAGCCGATATTGGTATTTTTTAAAATATCGATGTATCGACATATCGATATTTTTTTCAACTTTCGACATCCCTAAGGCAGATAGAAAAGTTAAAATAATACGCTTAAAATTATCTGTGTTGAATGAACTTTAATTGAAAATGTATTAAGAAAGGTAGGTACCGCGATTCCTCACATCGTGAAGTGCGAAGTGTATTACACCAAAGCGAAGACCGCACCCCAAAAGACATTATTCTGTAGTGTTTTTTTTTACAACACACCAATTAGCCTAGCCCCAAAGTAAGCACTGTAAGGCTTGTGTTATGAGATACTAGGGTAACGGATAGAATACATATACTGTACATATATAAGTATATTTATATAGAAATACATACTAAACATCCATGACTGGAGTACAAATGCACGTATTCATCACACAAACATCTGCCCCCACCGGGATTCGAACCTGGGACCTCTCGAGTCGACGACACCATGAAACCCGGCGTACAAACAACTCGGCCACGTCGTTGTTTTAACATTAGGTTAAAACGAAAAGGGAAGATAAGGCACTCGGGACTCAAAAGCGATCCGCTTAAATTGTGGTGCATGACCACAATTCGCTTTAGTCACAATTGGACATTCATACACGCTGCATGTGCACTCAATATAGCGATTTTGCGTATATTCTGTGTTATAAAGATAAAACAATGCCTTCGATGCTTTTGGATCCGTTCAAGTATTACGTAAGCACTATAGGGGGGCAGGGGGGTCTTTGCTTTGCTTATTTTTGATGACATGGGAGGGTAGGGGGTCGAGATAGTGATAACATCAGCATCATGGTTTCTGGTGCCATTGACTGAAGACTGTTAATTGGAATTGATATGTATACCAAAAATTCGAAAGGAGGTTGTTTTGTTCGTAATAGTAAAGTTTGTTTGAATTTAACTACTGCTGCTCATGAAAGCTCATGAATCAATAAAACAAATTAGAATACATTAAAGGAAAAGAAAGAGGGGGGGGGGGGGGTAAGAGCTTTGCTTACTTTTGCCACGGTAATAATATCATACAGTATTCTATCTTCATACAAACGGTCGGAAAGCGAGTCATACCTACGCCACTCGAGTTCGATGTGCTCTCGGCGGACACCCAGTCGCGAATGCGCCGCCGCGCCGCAACGACGACCGAACGGTGTGAATTGTTTTTTTATGCAGTTAGCCGTGCTTAAACGTGCGTTTTGTATTGTAAATATTTGATTTTATTAAGTAGATACCTACATAATTTATGGAAAAGAACAAACGACGATCAATATCATACAACAGCACAATTGCTGTTTTTGGTTGCTTGAACTCTTCAATAACACACCCAGAGATATCATTTTTTAAATTACCTGAAATATTGTAAAGGTGTCTTACCTTTATAGAATATTTTTTATATACCTATCTACTAGTACGTAATTTGTTTCTAATATTTAGGTATTTCGATTTTTCCATCGGGCAAAATATCTGGAATAATATGTAAATAAGTGGTTAGGATAAAAAAAGAGACAAACGAGTAATCTACCTACACTCGCGTTAAAAACAAAACTACATAAAAATAATACTGTAGGCTGGCGGCCCTACCGCGTGCTAACGCAGCGCTCGGCTGTAGGCATTTATTTTCAAGGACAGGGCGGAGTCACAATACTGTATAGATAATATTACCGTGCTTTTGCTGACAGGGGGGAGGAGGGAGGAAATAATTGTAATAAATCTGCTTACGTAATACTTGAACGGCCCCTTTATAAAAAAACACAAATAGTTGAAAATCAAACAACAAATATCTGGGCAACACTTTTCATTCGTAAAACTAAAAACAATGTTTTTTTAATCACGGTCTGTCGTGAAATTTGTTTACGTAATCGCCATTTTGTTATCAAGAAAAGGCTTTTAGAAGAGGTTCAGAAGTATCTAAAGTGGAACTTTTTATTAGCTGCAGTGAAATGACGTTTTGTGGGTTACCGCTTTTTGAAGAAAAATAAATAGGGATGTAGCTAAGTGAATCATTCAATAAATGAATGATCAGTTTAGTTTTGTTTTAGAGCTTTATTATTAAGTTGTAATGTTTTTAATCTGGAACAACGGAACCAAAGCGCGATTCAGGAGACTACAGCGCCATCTCTTGACCATTGGTGTAGTAGAACCAAAAACCACATCTTTATTTTTTGTAATAAAGTAACAGTTATAGGTATTCATATTTATAATATCAAAAGTATTTATTAATCTGGAACAACGGAACCAAAGCGCGATTCAGGAGACTACAGCGCCATCTCTTGACCATTGGTGTAGTAGAACCAAAAACCACATCTTTATTTTTTGTAATAAAGTAACAGTTATAGGTATTCATATTTATAATATTTATCCACATGTTTCTAGTTTGTATATTCGGAATACGTGTTTGAGTTTCATACAAGAGCAAATCACATATGTTCTAATAAATTATATTCAGTAGCGATTTTAATTGAATATTTTGATTATTTATTTATTTTTTCAAATTAAAACTGAACTTTATTGACTGTGTCGTTTTCCAGACTTTTTATTAATTTATTGTAATTAATTATTTGCATACAATTAAAAACTAATTTTGAACGATGCCAAAGAAGGATAACTTCTCACGCGCCTACATAAGTACACGCACCAATTTTTTTTTATTCTATTATTATTACTATAGTATAGGATTTATCTTTTTCAGTGGAAGTATAGGGACGTACATCCACCATGAAACAAAAATATCATAACAATATTATTTTTATTTTTCAATCATTTTCGGAATCACTATAGCTGTCGCTTTCGGTCACACTAATGACAGTCTTTTATTTATATGAATAATAAATAGAATGAAGTATGAACATTATGAGTTAGTTATGAAACGACTAGATTTTGTGTGAACCTAATCACATCCCTATTATAATTAGACGGTTAACATTATTTTACGGAATGACATTTTGAAACGTCATTTTACTGCAGCTAATAAAATGTCGAAGTGGCTGGATTTAACTACATTAGCACAGTGGTTTGATTGATAGGTCATGTTATTATTTTCAGTTACTAACTTTATATTCTGTTAATTTCTTGGTACCTACTGTATTAATAGAAAATCTTAAGCGCAAAAATATGTATTTTGTTCTAATTAGTGGATAATAAAGTTGGTCGTACAATAATTTAAGGTGTCACCTGTATTACAATACTATTTGTTTAATGAGAATTGTACCACTGTTTTTTGTTTTTTTTTTTTTAATGTTATAGGGGGCTTACGAGCAGACGGCTCACCTGATGGTAAGTGATCACCGTCGCCCATGGACACTTGCAACACCAGGAGTATCAGGAATGCGATGCCGGCCTTTAAGGAAGGAGTACGCTCTTTTTTTGAAGGGTTTTGGGTCGTATCGGTCCGGAAACACTGCTGGCGACAACATATTCCACAGTTTTGTCGTACGTGGTAAAAATATTTCGTCAATTTCTGTTGATATTTAATGTCGGCGTTTATAAAAACAAATTTGTTTAAACTTTTTACAAACGCAGTACGCAATATTCAACACCATTCTGTGCTCGTGGACTCGCTTCATAGACAAGAACGTGAAGGTTCGCGAAGGGCCCTTCTTAAAAGCTTCCATTGAGATATTTACCTCGCTGGTTGAAGAATTATTGCCGACACCGACTAAATCTCACTACACATTTAACTTGAGAGACCTCAGCAAAGTGTTCCAGGGTATTTTGATGATGGACGCAAACCAAGTGAAGGTGATATTTTAAAATTGTCAGTATTCATTTGTAATACGAGTGAAGTAGTAAGAATTATTGTGCTCGATGGCGCAGGAGCTCGATGGCGCAACTGGTAAGCGCGTTCTGCTGCGATCGTTGAAGTTAAGCAACTTTCGCAATGGTCGGTTATTGGATGGGTTACCAAAACATCTATCTCGAGTTCCTCCGTGCTTCGGAAGGCACGTTAAGCCGTTGGTACAGGCTGCATCTGCAGCCGTTAGCACCCACCAATCCGCACTGGGCCCGCGTGGTGGGTCATGGCCCAATCTCCCTATTCCATCCATAGGGAAGGCCTGTGCCCCAGCAGTGGGGATATAAAGAGGCTAATGATGATGAATTATATAAGACTCCTGTGATATTCCCATAAAACTAGTTTACTATTTGTTATTCAATTACGCAAAAATGGCTGAACGGATTTAGATAAAGACCGGCACTCATACAGTTTATGATCTATATTTTAAAATTGTCAGTATTCATTCGAAATACGAGTGAAGTTTAAGGAAAAGATGAGTATCTATGGTTAATTTTTATTATCTCAGGGCAGCTAAACGTCCCAATTATATTATAAATGTGAAAGTTTGTACGTTTGTTCCTCAATCAAGGCCCATATTATAGAATGACAACTAAGTGATGATCTTTCCTTGAATACAGTTAGAAAGGGATGTGATATATACTGGTATAGCGACATCTATGCGCAAGACCAGATACATTATTGAGAATCTTTCTATAATACGGGCCAAAATCTACTGAACGGATTTGAATGAAATTTCGTACGGATATAGTGTATGACCTGGATTGAGACATAGGATACTTTTTATCCCGGTAAAATGTAAGGTTCCTGAGGGATTTTCAAAAAACAAAAGCTAACGGCGGTCCTAAAGCGGACGAAGTCGCGGGCGGCCGCTAGTATGAACATAAAAATAACAGAAAAAGACAAAGCTATTGACAAGCATTTCGAGGAGCTTGATGGCGCAAGTGGTTAGCGCGTTCGGCTGCGATCGTTGAAGTTAAGCAACTTTCGCAGTGGTCGGTCATTGGATGGGTGACCAAAAATTTACTATCTGGAGCTCCTCCGTGCTTCGGAAGGCACGTTAAGCCGTTGGTACCGGTTGCATCTGCAGTCGTTAGCACCCACCAATCCGCACTGGGCCCGCGTGGTGGGTCATGGCCCAATCTCCCTATTCCATCCATAGGGAAGGCCTGTGCCTCAGCAGTGGGGACATTAATAGGCTGATGATGATGATGATGATTGACCAGCTACCATAATTGAAAAAGTCTAGAAAAATAATTATATTTGTAAAATGGTAAGAAAATTCAGCATTTCAGATGTTTCCTACATTTTTCCTCATCGAACAGTTACTTGTTTGTATTGATGTTTGTATTGATTTAAAAAAATTACAGGACGAGGACGATGTGATTAGACTGTGGTATCATGAACATCAGCGAGTTTATCAAGATCGGCTTGTGAATCAGGACGATCGTCAATGGTTTATTAAGTACGCGCAATTTAACTGTATTTCACACACACACACACACGCACGCACGCACGCACGCACACACACACACACACACACACGCACACACACACACACACACACACACACACACGCACGCACACACGCTGGATAAATATGAAACTAACCATGTATTTACCCAATAACTTTTTAATTCTATTTTGAAAATACTAAACATTAAATCTAAAGAAAAGTTTACTAGAAAAAAATCCACGCGGACCAGGCAGCGGACGGGACACGAACCCGCATCCTTCGCTATCCGGGCGAATGCACTGACCATTATGCTACCACGGCCCTATTAGCCGCGTCGAAATTTTCCTAGCCTTAAGCTGCAAGGCAGCGCCATCTCTTCGCATTGTAGGTAACCCACAATGTCAAATGAATACTTTTTCAAGTATTAAACATTTGAAAGAAGAAATAGCAATTATAGTTATGATTTAATTAATTTTTTAAGCATTTAACTGCTAGATGTTTAAATCTAAAGAAAAGTTTACTAGAAAAAAATCCACGCGGACCAGGAAGCGGACGGGACTTATATACGGGATATACGATATACGGGATTGTGGGTTACCTGCAATGCGAAGAGATGGCGCTGCCTTGCAGCTTAAGGCTAGGAAAATTTCGACGCGGCTAATAGGGCCGTGGTAGCATAATGGTCAGTGCATTCGCCCGGATAGCGAAGGTTGCGGGTTCGTGTCCCGTCCGCTGCCTGGTCCGCGTGGATTTTTTTTCTAGTAAACTTTTCTTTAGATTTAAACATCTAGCAGTTAAATTCTTAAAAAAAAAATCATAAATACTAAACATTGCCTTATACGCGTCTGAAATTACCAAGTAAATGTGTCATTTTTTGGATGATACTGGCTCCCAAGACACAGGTTCATCCTATATTTTTAGAAGCCAGGGTCCCATATGGATAAATACCAGAATACAAAATTCTGGTAATTATCCAATAATATGATTTGTATTCTGGTATTCATCCAATAAAGATTTTATTATTTATTTATTATTTCGTCCGTGTTTCATTGTTATCACAGTCTGGGCTAATTCTTTATGTTAAATGGATTATTAGATTAGTTTCCAGAAGTTAAACCACAATGTTAATTTTCCACTTGCTTTATTCAACTTGTACTTCACTGTAATATAAACTAAAATTATTATAACAAGAATATTTAGCAGCAACACCACGTTAAATTTTGGACCACTATTCACGACGAAGGCTCTCGACTGAATACCGTATTTATGAGCGCTCCACTCGCTAGTCCGTCCCCTCTTCACGTCACGTGTTAAGATGGTGGGGAGGTAAGGTGATGTGGCGTGATTTAGCATAGACAAACTTAGATAAAAACAATAACTGTGCTATTAACCGATCTGTAAAAAATGCTAATATTATAAAAATGCTAACAGGATGGCAAACAAGCATATGACCTGCCTGATGTTAAGCTGCCACCATAGCCTATAGCACGGTAATAATATCATACAGTATTCTATCTTCATACAAACGGTCGGAAAGCGAGTCATACCTACGCCACTCGAGTTCGATGTGCTCTCGGCGTGCACCCAATCGCGAATGCGCCGCCGCGCCGCAACGACGACCGAACGGTCAGAATTGTTTTTTATGCAGTTAGCCGTGCTTAAACATGCGTTTTGTATTGTAAATATTTGATTTAATTAAGTAGATACCTACATAATTTAGTATGGAAAAGAACAAACGACGATCAATATCGTACAACAGCACAATTGCTGTTTTTGGTTGCTTGAAATCTTCAATAACACACCTAGAGATATCATTTTTTAAATTACCTGAAATATTGGAAAGGTGTCTTACCTTTATAGAATATTTTTTATATACCTATCTACTAGTACGTTATTTGTTTCTAATATTTAGGTATTTCGGTTTTTCCATCGGGCAAAATATCTGGAATAATATATAAATAAGTGGTTAGGATGAAAAAAGAGACAAACGAGTAATCTACCTACACTCGCGTTAAAAACAAAACTACATAAAATACTGTAGGCTGGCGGCCCTACCGCGTGCCAACCTAGCGTTCGGTGTAGGCATTTATTTTCAAGGACAGGGCGGAGTCACAATACTGTATAGATAATATTACCGTGCCTATAGGCACCTCCGATAAAAAAAATGCGATACAAAAATATCATTTTACTATATATATGTATGATATCATCTAATTTTATATCGCCAACAATCACTTCATTATTTGTCTCTATATTGTAGTGAATATGTGTTTGTCTCCACTGCATTGTCATGGCTGTTTTCTCTTTTCTCCTTGCAAAATCTTTTAAATGTTTATTATTAATAAAGCTAGTCTACTCACTCATAAAGGTGATGGCTGAAAATCGGTATTTTGCCTTAAAACTGGCAAATGTTTAGCCGAGCCTTGGCCTTTTGCTTTCTGCAGCATACATATGGATATTTCATAGCTGATTTCTTGTATCTTTTTGAAGTTATACTTCTTTAGCCGCGTTATGAAAAAATTATGAGAGTGAAATTTTAAGATGCGCGCGCATCACTGTAACACAAAAGTAACATAATGAAGTTAGCCGCGGGCGCGTTATGAAAAAATCATGTGAGTGAAATTTCGAGATGCGCGCGCATCACTGTAACACAATAGTAACACCATGAAGTTGGCCGCGGGCGCGTAATGAATGTTAGTGTCTAATAATGGTGGATTATTAACCACTTAGTGGTTAATAATCCACCATTATTAGACATCTGTTCGAAAGGTACTTTGAACGATCCACGGAGCTCCATAAGATAATCGCGTTGTCAAAAACAATGTTGGCACGCTCGTCGCCTCTGATCACTGTTTTCATATTTATAATATTTATCCACATGTTTCTAGTTTCTATATAGACACAACGTGTTTTAGTTACTTACAAGTGCTAATTACATATGGACTAATAACTTAAATTCAGTAGTGATTTAAATTGAATATTTGATTATTTATTAAATTTTTCAAATTAAAACTGAACTTTATTGACTGCGTTGACTATCCTTTTCCAATCCTTTTATTATCTTATTGTAATTAATTATCTGCATGCAATTAAAAACATTTTTTTAATAATTCCAAAAAGAAGTATAACTTCTCACGCGCGTACTTAAGTACACGCACCCATATTTTTTTTTTATTTGTATTACTCTGTCTGTAAATGTATATGTATGTTATTATCTATCTATCTATCATTAGCACCATTGCCTACCCTGACCCAATCACCTTCCCCGTTGAGAACTGGTACTTTACTCACTGTCAGAAACAAGCCACCAAAAGTTAGTGTTATTTTACTCTGGTCTTCTGTAAGATGGAGGTTACCCCAGACGGGCGCTCCATTCGAGCGCAAAATCCGCTATCCGCCCTTCCTTTTTTAAATTTTCTGATTATGTCTAGGCATTTGGATGTGACCCAATGGGGATGATGACTATTTTTTTTTCTTCGTTTATCAGGTAGATTATCAAAAAGTATTGGACACGTATTTTTTCTTTTTTCACATAATATAAACATTGCAGAGATATATTGATTTGAAAAGTCGCATGACGTCACGTTTGAGTACACTTATAAGTGAAAATTCACTCAAAAGTGACGTCACGAGCCCCTACTCCCAAACTTTGACGCGCTATAACTATGTCATTTTTTGGTTAATTGCCCAAAGAAAAAATACGTGTCCATTATTTTTTGATCATCTAACTGACGGACTAAATAGAATTTCGTTTACTGTACCCCGTTATCACCCCTATTATTAGAATATACCTAAAGGGTTGTACGGAACCCTCGGTGCGCGATTCCGACTCGCTCTTGGCCGGGTTTTTTTTTCATAGCTTTCTTTATACTGAACCTTTCATCATCACCTTTCGTCTCGCCGACGCGTTACTTCCCCCAGCGACTTGCCGAGTATGTAGCACGTGTGTCTCTTGTTCTCAGTCTAATTAAATAAATCATTCAGTAAAATGCGTGTTGCGCTAACGGGAGGTACCTAATAAGTAATTTGAGAAAAATTCCCGTGTAGTGCCGGCCTAGAATTTCCCGTGTAGTGCCGGCCTAGAATTTCACGTGTAGTGCCGGCTTAGAATAGAATAGCACTACCCCCTCTCATCCCGTGGGTGTCGTAAGAGGCGACTAAGGGAAACTTCACCTAAGGAGATGGGCAGCAGCATCTCCTTATGCGAACCGGTATACTGCGATCGCCAACCCGCCTGCCAAGCGTGGCGATTATGGCAAAACCCCACAAAACTCACTACACGATTGTGATGGGGGATTTCAATGCAAAGTTGGGGAAACGTTGCGGCGACGAGCTGAGAGTGGAGCAATTTGGATTTGGGGAACGGAACGACAGGGGCCGGATGCTGGCGGACTTTATGGAGAGGGAGAACCTCTATATGATGAACTCCTTCTTCAGAAAGCCCGTCACCCGCAAATGGACCTGGATAAGTCCCGACGGCAAGGTCAAAAATGAGATTGATTTTATCATGTCGACGAAGAAGCAAATATTCAATGATGCCTCAGTGATCAACGCTGTTAAGACAGGAAGCGATCACCGCATGGTAAGAGGCACATTGAATATCAACGTTAAGCTTGAAAGATCGCGACTGATAAAATCAACGCTCCGACCGGTGCCAGCCCAAATTCATAACCCCGAGCGCTTTCAGCTCGAGCTCCAGAACCGCTTCGAGTACCTTGAGAACAGCATAGACGTGGACGATCTGAACGACCTGGTGGTGGATACTGTCCGTACGGTAGGGTCTCAACACTTTAAAACCCGCCGCACCAAATTAAAGAAACTCTCCGCATACACACTCGAACTCATGGATAGGAGACATGAAATGCGACTACAGGACTCAGCGGATGCCCTTCGTTATAGACAGCTTAATAGACAGATCTCGAAGTCGTTGACGAGCAACCTTCGCCACTTTAATACCGAGCGTATTGTAGAGGCCATAGAGCGGAACAAAGGCTCCAAAGTGTTCGCTAGAGATCTGTCTATTGGGCAAAGTCAACTGACGAGGCTGAAAACTGAGGACGGTAGTGTCATTTCATCGACTCCTGAAATCCTGAGGGAGATTGAGAGTTTCTATAGGCAGTTATATTCCAGCAGAACACCAGGTGAAAGCAGAGCTCGAGATCCTAGAGCCAAGCTTACCCGACATTATACCGAGGATATCCCGGACGTCAGCCTGTACGAGATTAGAATTGCCCTCAAACAGCTTAAAAACAACAAGGTGGCGGGAGATGACGGAATCACAACAGAGCTTCTGAGAGCGGGCGGTACGCCGGTACTTAAAGTCCTCCAGAAGCTCTTCAACTCCATCATCCACCAGGGCAAAACGCCGAAGGCATGGAGCAGAAGCGAGGTGATTTTGTTCTTCAAAAAAGGCGATAAGACCCTACTGAAGAACTACAGACCCATCTCGCTTCTGAGCCATATCTACAAGCTGTTTTCGAGGGTCATTACGAATCGTCTCGCTCGCAGGCTCGACGACTTCCAGCCTCCTGAACAAGCCGGTTTCCGAAAAGGCTTTAGTACGATAGACCACATCCATACGCTGCGGCAGATTATACAGAAGACCGAAGAGTATAATCGGCCACTTTGCTTAGCGTTTGTGGACTATGAGAAGGCCTTCGATTCGATCGAGACCTGGGCGGTGCTGCAGTCTCTCCAGAGGTGCCAAGTGGACTACAGGTATATCGTAGTGTTAAAGTACCTATACCAAATCGCCACTATGTCGGTCCGAGTACAGAATCAGAGCTCTAATCCTATCCAACTACAGCGAGGGGTGAAACAGGGAGACGTTATATCTTCGAAACTGTTCACTGCTGCGATGGAGGATATTTTTAAGCTTCTGGACTGGAAGGGACTCGGCATTAACATCAAGGCGAGTACCTGACACACCTTCGATTTGCTGATGACGTAGTCCTAATGGCGGAGACATTGGAAGACCTGAACACCATGCTCGAGCATCTCAGTGACGCATCCCAGCGAGTGGGTCTTAAGATGAACATGGGCAAGACGAAAATCATGTCCAACGCCCATGTTGCACCCGCTCCAGTTAATGTTAGGAACGTTACACTTGAAGTTGTTGACCACTACGTTTACCTAGGACACACAATCCAGTTAGGTAAGTCCAACTTCGAGAAAGAGATCTCTCGTCGAATTCAACTCGGATGGGCAGCGTTCGGGAAGCTGCGGAACATCTTCGCGTCTAAAATACCTCAGTGCCTTAAGACGAAAGTCTTTAACCAGTGTGTGTTGCCAGTGATGACCTATGGCAGTGAGGCGTGGTCGTTTACTATGGGTCTCATAGGACGGCTCAAGGTCGCCCAGCGGGCAATGGAGAGAGCTATGCTTGGTGTTTCCCTGCGTGATAGAGTCAGAAATGACGAGATCCGTAGGAGAACTAAAGTCACCGACATAGCTCGAAGAATAGCCCAGCTGAAGTGGCAGTGGGCGGGACACATAGCGAGGAGAACCGATGGCCGTTGGGGCGGAAAGGTTCTCGAATGGCGACCGCGTGCCGGACGACGCTCAGTGGGAAGGCCCGCTACAAGGTGGACCGACGATCTGGTGAAGGTCGCGGGAAAACGCTGGATGCGGGCAGCGCAGGACTGATCGTTGTGGAGATCCTTGGGGGAGGCCTATGTCCAGCAGTGGGCGTCGTACGGCTGATATGATGATGATGATGATGAGTTACAAGTACTAACAAACTTCGATTTTTCATGTCAAGACTTTTATGATTTTGTGGTGAAAAATTGAGAAATATTAGCTACTGCTCGAAAACAAAATAAATATAAATTTAAAAATTTATTACTGCTTACCTTAATTTACCCCCCCCCCCCCCCATATTCATTTCTTAAACATACAATTCTCCCGGGTTGGTCCTTTCGAGAGTTGGCAACCCTCGGGACTATATAAATAGTATTTTGTTTACTTTACCTCGTCACCCTGTCAACACACCTATTCAATTCATAAAGCAATCCTGAAATCATCTTTAACTGTAAGTTAATCCTAACAGTTTACTAAATGAGAAGATTCGCACGGAATTCGGAAAGAAGCCTGCGGATGTGGTTGGTGGGCGATTGATGTTATTTGGGGACTTCATGGATATTGGGACCGACGACAAGAAATACGTGGAGATCACTGACCAGGCAGAGGTATGGAGATTTCGAAATATTTGTGTCAAAATCATCATCATCATCATCAGCCTATTAATGTCCCCACTGCTGGGGCACAGGCCTTCCCTATGAATGGAATAGGGAGATTCGGCCATGACCCACCACGCGGGCCCAATGCGGATTGGTGGGTGCTAACGACTGCAGATGCAGCAGGGACCAACGGCTTAACGTGCCTTCCGAAGCACGGAGGGGCTCGAGATAGTAAATTTTTGGTCACCCATCCAATGACCGACCACTGCGAAAGTTGCTTAACTTCAACGATCGCAGCCGGACGTGATAACCACTTGCACCATCGATCTCCTCATAAGTAGCTTTTATTCTTGAATATAAAATGAAAGAATTTTGCTGAATTGAAAAAGACGAAACTGAGAGCGCCGCATCCCCTGTAAACTTTGCCCGGGGGAATTTATAAACTTTAAAATTTTAGAAAATTGTTCCATAGATTTAGACCTTCAGAATTTTGTACGATAGATATTTTTCGTACTTAGAACTTCACAGTACATACCTCAGACAACTTTTAAACATAATCCCCCTTATAATTTTCATTATTTTAAAGCATGTAACTGCTTGATGTTTAAATCTAAAGAAAATATAACTAGAAAAAATTCCACGCGGACCAGGCAGCAGACGGGACTCGAACCCGCACCCTTTGTTTAAACATCAAGCAGTTACATGCTTTAAAATAATAAAAATTATAACTATAATTGCTATTTCTTCTTTCAAATGTTTAATACTTGTAATAGTATTCATTTGACATTGTGGGTTACCTATAATGCGAAGAGATGGCGCTGCCTTGCAGCTTAAGAATGGCTAGAAGAATTTCGACGCAGTCTGTGAGGGCCGCGGTAAAATAATCCTCCTTATTAATAAACGAAGAATAAGCTTGGATTAGTTACTGCATGTTTTGTCTCTGTTCTTAAGCCGCGTATCCATTAGAGGCAGCCTCGGGTCGAGCGGCTGCCTCACTCCGAGACTGCGCAAGTGGAGACGCTGCCTCAACCTGAGGCACGCCGCGACGCGAGGCAAATTCGTTGCTAGGGATGTCGAAAGTTGAAAAGAATATCGATATATCGATACATCGATATTTTAAAAAATATCAGTATCGGCTTCGATATATCGCGAAAAAAACATCGATATATCGATATATCGGACCAATTTTCCCAAAAATATCGTACAGTAGCTCACGAAATCTGACACGCGGAATAATAATGGAACGAAAATTATCTCCCTAAAAATAGACCCTATTTTCGAATGATGACATAGACAATACTAAAACGAATTTAGTTAGATCGTGATATGCCGCTAATAATTAAAAAAATATCGTTTTTGATACGAATTTCGATATTGGTTATTTTGTATCGATGTATCCATATATCGAATCAAAATATATCGGCAAAAAATATCGATATATCGAACAAAAAATATCGATACATCGATATATTTTCAACAAGCCTATTCGTCGCCGCGAGCCGAGCCATATTTTGTCGGTTTCTGTGCCGTGCTCAAAGGCGCCTCAGTCCCAGCCGTGTGTTTAATGAAGACGGTCGTGCCTGACGCCTGCATCGCAATGAAGAATGAGACCGCTATTAAGCTGATAAAATTATATGAGGGTCACCGTGTTCTCTGGGACCCATTAATTAAAAAACACTACGACAAAAATGTGAAGCAAGATGTGTGGAACGATATTAGTTTCAATATGGGGATTCCGGTGGACGTTATCAAAAAGAAGTCATGTCCAATAGCAAGTGTTCACATCCATGTATAGTTCTATTGCGGTATAAATCGACTGTGCGGGCGAATATGCTGGCCCGTAGGTTTTTCCGTTGTTCGAAAGAAGTTAAACATACTGTCGTTAGGCGTTTTACACGGGAAGCCTATGGTGCAGTTATTCTAAGAGATCACTTAACGCTCTCCGCGTACAATATAATAATGCGTTTAGGATGCTGTTGGGTTTGCCAAGATTCTGTAGTGCCTCTGGTATGTTTGCCGAGGAGCGCACTGGCGGTTTTCACGCATGCATGCGCAAAAAAATAGCTTCATTGCTGAGCAGAATACGAGCAAGCTCAAACACCATCCTAATGACTGTTGCCAACAAAATGGATAGTTGCTTTATCAAGCATTGCGTGAGGGTGATGACGACATAAAAAAAAAAAAATGTACTGTCCTAATCTATTATTTCTAAAACTTGTCCGATTTTTAAAAATCGGGAGGCGTTACTGGTAAAAACAGTAGATGTATGGAAACAGCTACAAGAAAAACAGTAGATGCAGGGGTGTACTTTTTCCGGTTTGCACCCCCCCCCCCCCCCTAGAAATGGTAAATCAAATCAAGAAATCAAGATAAAGATCAGTAACGAATGTGTTTCTGTGGCTTCTGCCGCCCCTCAAAGCTATTTTTCTTTAGACAATTACATTTATTTTGTAATTATTAAGGTTATCTACATTATTAATGACGAAAAATGCAACTCAACATGCAATTTAAAAAAGAAAATCGAAGTCTACTAACAAATATGGATCACAGTTATCTGAAATAAATGAATTATTATTATTATAATTCTTTTATCCACCAACGATGCTTCCTCTTTTGTATAGCTTTTTGTTGTCTTCTCTTTTTCTTAATAATGGTTATTGCTATTAAAGCAGCAGCTACTCGACGCGCGTCTGGTGCCATCGCGTTTTGGCTTTTAACTGCGCAGTGCGCCGCCGACGGATCAAGCTGAGGCGACACGCCTCGAGCTGGTCTGTAGCCATTGAATGACAAATGGCATTTAAGTGACATGAACAAAATACGGAGTTACTAGTCTAGACTTATTCCTTGTTTATAAATAAGGGAAAATGTGTTTGACATAAAATCATTAAATTTAATACTGTACTTACTGTAAGTTACGTGGACAGTGAAAGTGAATAATTTTAAGATATATTTAATACTAGCGGCCAGCCCTCGCTTCGCTTCGGTGTAGAGCTGAAGTGTAGACTACAGTTTTTGTTCTCAGGCTTGTATTATACACAATGACATTCATCTACGATTCTTCTTATACCTGCATGCAAAGTCTCACCCCGATCGGTTTAAAATTGACAAAGTTTCATACAAAGTTTCATTCCCTATTTTATCCCCTGGGGGGTAGAATTGATCAAAATCCTTTCTTAGTGGATGCCTACGTTATAACATCTACCTGCATGCCAAATTTGAGCCCGATCTGTCCAGTGGTTTGGGCTGTGCGTTGATAGATCACTATGTCAGTCAGTCACCTTTGAGTTTTATATACATAGATGATAAATGTATTTTCCATAACTGCGCCAATATCGAGCCGTTACCGCCAAATTATCGTAAGCGACACTCGCCATATTATCGTAAGCGACACTTTTATCGAAATGTCAACAGAGATGGGTCCGTTACGATTTAAAATATTAGTTTCCACAAAAAACGCATTTCGACAAAAGTGCGCTTACGATAATTTGGCGAGTGTCACTTACGATAATTTGGCGGTAACGGCTCGATATTGTTGTGAACTGGATGACAAGAATTTATAATCGATTGACGATACCTTCGCTATTTTAGCTGGACGAAGTGTTGGATCACTATTTGATGGAATACAACCTGTCTACTACAGTGCCCCTGGACTTGGTTCTGTTTGAGGATGCTATTGCCCATTTGTGCCGCCTAGCGCGTATCATGAGACAACCTATGGCCAACGCTTTGTTGCTTGGAATGGGTGGATCAGGTTAGTACAGTTCAAAACATATATTTGGATGTATTTTTTTTTTTTTTTTTTTTTTATGTTATAGGGGCCATACGAGCAGACGGCTCACCTGATGGTAAGTGACACTTGCAACACCAGGAGTATCACAAATGCGATGCCGGCCTTTAAGGAACGAGTACGCTCTTTTTTTGAAGGTTTTTGGGTCGTATCGGTCCGGAAACACTGTATCTTTCTTGTAATAAAAAGTTTTGTGAAATGAAAATGAAATGAATCAACGAAACGTCGCTCGTGAAGTAAATTATTATTAACTAGCATTCGACTCGTAGTCATCATCATACAACTATACGAAGCCCGCTGCTGGGCAAAAACTTCCTACAAAGATACGGTGCTATTACATTACTAGCAAACCAGTGAACCAAATGTTCAACAATTAAAAAAAAATGTATTTAATTAATTGAGAACTTCGGAGATTTTGTGTGGTTTCGTTTGAAATTCGTGATTTCTCGAAAACCGGAAGTGCTACGTTACTCAAATCCGGTTTGTAGTCTTATCAGACTATTCTTAACTTATAACTTAAATATTCTCTTTATCTATCTCTTACGGTTTGGCCGCTGAAACAGCACCACAGACAGACGGACGGACGGACTTGTCTAATAGATTATTCAAAGTATAAAAGTAAGCATGAATTTATGTATGACGTGAAAGGAACGCGTGCACGGTTCCCAACTTAGGGGTTTTGCCCCCAGTTTTAGGGGCTAGAAGGGTTAAAACGGACTTTTTTAGGGGCTGGAATTTTTAGGGGGTTCTTTTAGGGGCTTTTAACGAAACTTGCAAAAAAACAAAGCGTGTGTTTTCTTTCAGTTTTGTGCGTAGAATGGAACGCACCACGATATGAAACGACTGAACTCACTGTGTGGTAGGTTGTTTCCTAAGGCTGTATGGACTAAAGTTCTTTGCCTTCCACCAATCAATACAGCTAAATAAGATTTAACAGCCTGTCAGCTCATTTTCGTTTGATTTTCCTTTCGGAAACTGTATTTATTCAATAAAGTAATTTAATTTTACTAAATAATATTTAGTTACAGTAAATTATTTTACATATTATGTAACGTTTTAATTTATGAGCAACGAAAGAATTTAGCTAATAAGATAAGTAGGTACATATACTTTTCTATATTTAGGGGATTTATGGGAATTTAAAAAATACTTAGGGTAAAATTTTGGTAAGGGTTGGTAACACTGATTTGGTATCGAGCAGGTCAGAAAGCATGAATAAGTCTTTTACAGCAAGCGATCAAATTGTTACTAATGATAGGTATGATTTTTATTACAAACCAACTCGTAGGCGATACTGATTTATTGGAACGAAGTTCCTTACGGCAGGCTTGGAGGGGATAGGGATTTTGCTGCTCGACCGAACTGAAAAAAATGTGATAGTAAAACCGTAAGAAAAATCCGTGGAAAAAAGTGCGTGGAATAAAACCGTTAAATGAGACGTGCGCAGGCGCAACAGTCGCATACACAAGCGAGTAGTGTATAATACCTTTCTCTTTCTCCCTCTTTCTTTTCGTTCTCTCATCCCTTCTCTTTCTATTACCACTCCACCCCGCCAATGCACAGTATATACTCATGAATTCATGGACAAGCACGTGGCGAATACTCACATTATGGCAGGCTTGGAGGGGATAGGGATTTTGCTGCGCGACCGAACTGAAAAAAATGTGATAGTAAAACCGTAAGAAAAAATCCGTGGAAAAAAGTGCGTGGAATAAAACCCTTAAATGAAACGTGCGCAGGCGCGACAGTCGCATACACAAGCGAGTTTGCAATTTGTGTCGATTCTACATTAGCCGAAGGAACTTCGTTCCTACCTGGTGTCCCACGACACCACATCATTTTTTTACCTAATTTGACGATTATCAGGACGTCAGTCTTTGACTCGATTAACGGCAAATATGGCGGAGTTGACTTGCATACAAATTGAAATCACCAAGGCATACGGGCAAACCGAATGGCGTGATGATCTAAAACAGACCATGATGAAGGCTGGAGCGGACAATAGAGGCATCGTATTTCTCTTCTCCGATGCTCAGGTTTGTCATTATTCATGTGGTTTTAGACCTAGTGTTATTTAAGGGACAGTACACAGCTTATATGTATGTTGGAATTACAATCAATGATATATAACTAGCAAACCAGTGAACCAAATGTTCACCAAAACAAAAAAAAAAGTATTTAATTAATTGAGAACTTCGGAGATTTTGTGTGGTTTCGTTTTAAATTCGTGATTTCTCGAAAACCGGAAGTGCTACGTTACTCAAATCCGGTTTGTAGTCTTATCAGACTATTCTTAACTTATAACTTAAACATTCTCTTTATCTATCTCTTACGGTTTGGCCGCTGAAACAGCACCACAGACAGACGGACGGACGGATTGTCTAATAGATAAGAGATTTGAAAGCCAATTACGACTATCCACAGATTACAATAAGGTTTTAAAACTAACAGACGTGATTACAAAAGAAAATATGGGATGCTGACAGTTGCTAACATAGTGAAAAAAAAACTAAAAAAAAAAAAAATATAATAATATAGACCTTTTCTGTTCTCAGGGGAAAATATAGGTGTACATTAAGAACCTAATATATATATTTTTTTCCTTTACCCTTATATACATACATATATATACGAGGTTTGTTCAAAAAGTATCGCGAATTTCATGTTTTTTCAAGAATGTTATGATTTAATGTAATTGATTGTATATTATATAATGCTTATTTTTTTGTTATAAACTCAAAGCTAATAGTAAAAAAACATTGTTTTAGCATTGATACATCTATTTGCAGTAAAAAGTCAAAATCTAATTTATTTCAATTAGGAAGCATAATAATATAAACAAGCAGCAAAATAAGCATAAACATAACTTTATATATATATATATATATATATGTATGTATTTATTTGTTTTTTTACAGCAGCTTCAGAATGGCTAGAAGAATTTCGACGCGGTCCGTGAGGGTTCGAGTCCCGTCTGCTGCCTGGTCCGCGTGGAATTTTTTCTAGTTATATTTTCTTTAGATAAACATAACTCTTTTGAATTGTCCAATTTTTTGAAGTTTCTACCTACTATGGACATTTTTAGCTGTGGAGAAAAGCAGGCGACTAAACTTCATAGTATCTAATCAAATTATGTAACAATATTTACAAAATATTACGTTGTAACAGTGTCATTACAAAATGATGGCAGTTGTTTACCTTTCTCATGTTTTCTTAACTTTGATATATATCTGTCCTTAATTGCATAGGTCATAGATTCAGTGTCATGGAACGCCTAAGCAAATGCCGATAACAATGCATTTCTTTAAATAGAATCTTTTAATGTAATCTAGCACTAAATATTAATTTATTATAATCATATTTATTGCTTTTTCATGTAGTTGTACAGAGGTGTTACAAAGCCTTCATTTAGATCCTTACACGAACCCGGCTAAGGCATAGCAATGTGCTTTAAAGAGCTTGTTAATTTTTTTAATAAATAAATATAAATTTAAAACACACCAAAAACCTTACTTATCAATAAAATTAATAAAATTCTATGTCATAAAAATTGCATTAAATAAACTACACATTATATTATTAAATAAATAAAAAATAAAATAATAATAATAATAATTTAAATAAATTATAAAAATCTAAAAAATCATAATTTTAATTCTTTGTTATTAAAATACTCTTGCAGTGTATAGTAGCCCTTTGAACAAAGGAGCTTTTTCAATTTCTTTTTAAATCCAGTAAGACAACTCTCATTTTTTAAGATAAAAAAATCCTTTAAAAGAGGCGTTAAGAAGCAACATGCAGGCCGGCAGGGTGAGGATGGCTGGTGTGGCAGGTAGAACTGCTGTATCAGCTATCTTCGCGTCTGGACTTCACCTTCACTTAGCATCAGGAGGGGTGGAGTCATTTGTCGGACCTATCTATAAAAAAAAAAGATAATGGCAATCTGTTGTATATCTTGACACACATTGCAAAAGGGCTACTTGGGACCAATTTGAGTTTAGATATTGGTAGGGCCAATTTGCTATGGGGACGTAAGTTATTCAGACGCAGACTTAATTAATAGTTGTCTACTTATTCAGATAAAAATGGAGTCATTCCTAGAGGACTTAAACAATATTCTAAGCTCCGGTGATGTGCCTAACATATACGAGGCGGAAGACCTGGATAAGATATACATGTCCGTTCGCCACGCGGTAATGGAGATGAATCTACCGGCTACCAAGACGAATTTATTCGCGTGTTACCAGCGAAGAGTGAGGAGTAATCTACATATGGTGGTTGTCATGAGTCCAGTTGGCGAGGCAAGTTTCTACCATAGTATCCTTTAGATTTGCTTTCTACTCGTATCTCAGTCGAGATTGATTGATTCTACCAGCGACCAAGATGAATTTGTTCGCGTGCTACCAGCGAAGAGTGAGGAGTAATCTACATATGGTGGTTGTCATGTGTCCAGTTGGCGAGGCAAGTTTCTACCATAGTATCCTTTAGACTTAGATTAAAACAAAAAGGGTAGATACGGCACTAACCTCACAAAAGTGATCCGCACAAATTGTGGTCCACGACCCTAATCGCTTTAGTCACAACTTGACATGCAAAACGACGTACATGTGAACGTCAAAAAGAAATATTGATAATATTTTGTGTTTATATGATAAAATAATGCCTAAGTATGTTTTTAAAAGGTGCTCAAATTGCTCAAGTACTAAAAATAAAACCCACGGCATCACTTTTCATTCGTAAGTACTATAAAATATATATTTTTCATAAAAAATGCTGTTTGTTTTGAATCTTATTCGGTAGTGACGTCGAGTACTGGTCGCGTGATTGGTCGGTAGTGCAGTGACGCGGATCTCGCCGTCTCGTTCGCGCTGCCGTTGAAACTTAACGTGCTGTTTCGTTCGGATCGGTAATGCAGTGACGCGGACCTCGCCGTCCCGTTCGCGCTGCCGTGGGACCAGTTTTTGTTTGATGCAAGTATGAGCGTACCGTATCTACCCTTTTTGTTTTAATTTAAGCTTTTAGATTTGCTTTCTACTCGTATCTCAGTCAAGATTGATTGATTCTACCAGCGACCAAGATAAATTTGTTCGCGTGCTACCAGCGAAGAGTGAGGAGTAATGTGGTTGTTATGAGTCCAGTTGGTGAGGTCAGTTTCTGTCATGATATTTTTTTAGACCTATTTCTGTCTACCTCGGTCAAGATTGATAGAGTTTACCAGCAACCAAGACGAATTTGTTTGCCTGCGATCAGAAAAGAGAGGAGTTACCGCCATATTGTAGTCGAGTCCAGTTGTTGAGGTAAGTTTCTATCGGAACGGATTGAATTACAGAACTGAAATTATGGCATCTTATGTAGAATGCTTGCCCAAATCCGAATATTTAGTTAAAAATTCAATTTCATCATTTTACGGACCATCATGTATAGCATATATGGGTCCCATTCCCGTACATGTGATACATCATTGTCTAGAACTCATTGAGGTGGAAATGAATATTGTTACGTGTCGGGAAATTATAATGCACACACATACAAACACTCAATATAAATCACAATGCACTAACTGTTCGGAAATCGCTGTTGAAACTCAACTGTCCCTGCCCGGAGCCAAGCATTTATGTATGACGTCCTAAAAGGTCCTTATTCACCCTGCAGAGTTATCTTGGTTGGACTGTATGAGTCCAGTTGTAGAGGTAAGTTTAAGTCATGATATTCTTTAGACTTATTTGCTGTCCATCTCTGTCAAGATTGATTTTATCTATTTTTTTCGCGTGCGACCAGCGCAGAGTGAAAATTAATCTACATATTCAGGTTGTTATGAGACCAGTCGGAGAGGTATGTTTCTGTCATGTAGTGTCACTGTCATGATTATTTGACTTTGCCGATGAATTAATTCGCGAGCTACAAGCGAAGGGTCAGGAGTAATCTAAATAATAATATTGTACTTGCTACGTGTCCAATTGGCGAGGTAAGTTTCCGTCATGATATTCTTAAGAGTTATTTGCTGTCTATCTCAGTCAAGTTTGATCGACTTTGCGATGATTGGATTTGAAAAGAATCTACATTAGTCGCACCTTTTTAGATTTGTGTTGAAATTTGATTTCAGATTTCATGTCAATGCATAAAAATACTTTAATATTTATTACCTACTGTAGTAACTTGTAAACTAGGCATCATAAATCACCTTTTGATATTCAACCTTTTAGGGTTAATAGGTAACCGATGAAAGTGATTCAATAACTTGCTACTCAACTTAAGAATTTCAATTACTTTTGTAAAATACTAGTGGAAATTGTGAAAATAGTGGTAAGACTATTGTTTTCAATCTTCTCGTACAGATATTCCGTGCACGTCTACGTCAATTCCCGTCGTTGGTAAATTGCTGTACCATAGATTGGTTCAGCGAATGGCCGAAGACAGCGCTAGAATCGGTTGCGAATCATTTCTTTGACAACATGGTCGAACTGCAGACGACTGATGAGGTCATTGAAGCTATGGTGGTGAGCCTCATTGATTTATCGATTATTGATTTTACAATAAGCAATGTATACACATTTATCTATACAGATAGCTTGTACTAGGAAATCTTTTGGGCAGTATTTACTTAGCGTATTTATTTTAAAAGAGGTAGAGGGGAATTCCCGCTCGAATTGGAGCGCTAGTCTAGAGAAGCAATCTCCACCTTACAGAAGACTAAAATAGCACATGCTGGGGAGTAGAGTTTCAAAGCTTCGCGGGGTAAAGTGAGGATGGCTGGAGAGACTCACTTTCTGTCGCATCTTCTTTCATTTCAACTGGACTCTACTTCCACTTTAAATCAGGTGGGGTGGGTTTATTTATTCATTGCGCCTCGTATAAAAAAATCGAAAATGTCATCTCTTACCTAGTGTCTACCTACATATTTCTACTCGATTCGAGCTTATAAACCTAAGTTTCATGAGTTGCTTTGACAGGTCTTTTATGAAAATCATTTCTTCTATGAAAATATGTATTTTATAATGTTTTCTCGATTTGCTACGGCATTTTTACAAGATGTATAGGCTCGACGGCGCAGGTTTAGCCATGACTAGCGCGTTCAGTCTGCGATCGGAGAAGTTAAGCAACTTTCGTATTGGCTGGTTATTGGATGGAAGATTCAACTGGACAGATGATGGAAAACTTGTTATCTCGATCTTCTCTGTGCTTTGAAAGGCACGGCTGCAGCTGCAGACGTCAAGGGCGGATCCAGCTTTGGCGCCAGGGGGGAGGGTCATATAGCCAGCTTTGGCGCCAGGGGGGGGGGGGGGGGATTCATATAGTCGTGGTATATTAAATATTGAAAGTACTTAAATAAAATCCCCCTGGGTTTGGTCCATCTGTACCCAGCGCAGTGGCGGGGGTCATGACCCCCCCACTGGATCCGCCCTTGGCAGTCGTTAGCATCCACCAATGGTTGGTCAAGGTCCACTTTCCTTATGCTATCTATAAGGAAGGCTTGTGCCCCAAAAGTGAGGACATTAAAAAGCTGGTTATAATGTTGAAAGCTAAATATTTTGAATACTTACGAGTACATATAATTTTTTGTAGTCGGTATGCTGCTTCGCCCACCAATCTGTGGTGGAAGCGAGTGCTTTGTTCCTCGCCCGTCTCAATCGTCTTAACTACGTGACGCCGATGTCTTATATGGAGATGCTTGGCGCGTATGCGGAGATGTTTCGCAAGAAGCGAGCGGCTATATTGACAGAGTCTAATGCACTCAAAACTGGTAAGATTTGTCGCTGGATATTTCATGTAAGATATTTAAGCGATTCGCTTCTAGCTTCATCGTGCGGACTGCCAAACTGTGGAATTCCTTGCCCTTGTTCCCCGAGCACTACAATCTAGCGGTCTTCAAAGCAAGAGTGAACCGGTTTTTATTAGGTAATCTCCATCGTAGACCATAATATTGCTTTCCATCAGGCGAATTATGGTCAAGCGCTTACCTATTACCGAATTAAAAAAAATGTTAGCAACTTACTATGAAAGTGATTATGAAAGAACTACTGATTCCTTTGAGGGTTTCTGGAAGGTTCCGCAAGAAGCGAGCGGGTATATTGACTGAATGTAACGCTCTCAAGACTGGTGAAAAAACATTGCTGAATATCTGTCGGCATTAACTGTCAGACTACTATGAAGTTTGACAGTAGTCTGACAGTAAATGTCGATATATCGCTTTATCATATCCCGTTTCGGTGGTCATACTAGAGGGGCTGGATGATATCGAGCCCTTACCGCCGTTTTAGCGCAACCGACTAAATATTTTTACACAGAAGTGTGTTAGTAATTTTTATTTTTACATACAATAATATTTTTTAGACATTTACATATATAATTGAAGAAGAAACAAAAATAATAAGTATTTATGCTATTTATGGCGCTTACATTATTTTTGCTGTCATAATCTAAGGCTATTTTGGCGTTTACGATAAAAATGTCTATTAAAATTACTATGTTCTAAAAACTATATGCGATTAATTAATACTAATAGGTATTTTATAAGGTTCTTAAATGAAATTGCCATATTATAATTGAAAAATATTTTTTCATATTAAACATTTGGAATATTGAGATCTAGAAAATAAAATTAAAAGTAAAAGATTTTTAATTCTCCTTATCCGAATCATCTTCGTCCGTTTCATGTAACGCATCACGTATGGTTCCATCATACGTCATACTTAAATATTCATGATGGTATCTGTTTGGTATGATATTTTTGTTGCAAAGCTCCTGCAGATCTCGACAAATGACTCCACCCCACCTGATGTTAAGTGAAGGTGAAGTCCAGACGTGACGATAGCTGATACAGCAGTTTTACCTGCCACACCAGCCATCCTCACCCTGCCGGCCTGCATGTTGCTTCTTCACGCCTCTTTTGAAGGATCCCAGATTGTAAGAGGGAGGAAACACGTGAGCGGGCAGAGCATTCCATTTACGGATAGTGCGACAAAGAAATGAGTCATCAAATTTCTTTGTACGCGTTGGAATTGTGGCCACAGTTAGACGATGACAACGTAGGCCAGCGCGCGTGGTCCTCTGAAGGAAAGGAGAAGGTGGGATAAGAGAGAATTACTCCTCAGAACACTCGCCGTGGTACAGACGATAGAACGCGCTTAGTGACGCCACGTCACGGCGTAATTGAAGAGGCTCAAGGTGTTTAGTCACCTCCTCATCGCCTATGATGCGGATCGCGCGTCGCTGTAACCTATCCAAAGCATCGAGCCAGTACTTAGTGGAGCCATCCCAGAGGTGCGAGCAATATTCCACGCAGGACCGCACTTGCGTTTTGTTCAACAAGCACAGTTGATCGGGCGTGAAAAAACGCCGCACCTTGTTCAGGACTCCGAGTTTGCGTGAAGCTGTTTTGATCACGGTTTCGATGTAGTTCTTTGGATTCAGGTCTGAGCGAACCTCCATACCGTGCATGGAAATGTTGCTCTGTAGCGGTAGTGTTGTGCCCTGAAGAGAGGGAAGGGGAAGGAATGGCGATGTTTTTGCCGTGAAAGCGCAAGCCTGAGTTTTCTTGGCATTGAACTCAACCAAGTTCCGGGTACCCCATTCGGAAATGTGGTCCAAAGCCTGATTGAGTTCAATGACAAGATTCTCCCGTTTCTCCTTGGTTACCGCCAGCCCAGCCGCTGCTTGTCCGAGATACCCCGCATGCACTGTACTATCGTCTGCATAGCAATGAATATTCCCAAGAGGAATTAAGTCATTGATATGCAGCAGAAAGAGAGTGGGGGATAGGACGGAGCCCTGGGGAACGCCGGCATTCACTGACATGAACCGCGAACTGCTACCATCCGTAAGGACACGAATTCTACGCTCATGCAGGAAGTCAGCCATCCAAGAACAGAACTGGGCTGGCAGACCGTATGCCGGAAGCTTGGAGAGAAGGCTTTTGTGCCATACCCTGTCGAACGCCTTGGCAATGTCAAGGCTGATAGCCAACGACTCGCCACGCTTGTCGATAGCCTCACCCCAGATATGAGTTAAGTACGCTAGAAGATCACCCGTCGATCGTTTCGGTCTAAAACCATATTGACGATCATTAATCAAGGAGTGAATCTCTAGGTAGCGGGTCAGATGGTTATTAAGGACCTTTTCTAAAACTTTACATAAAACTGAGGTGACTGCTATTGGCCGGTAGTTTGCCGGGTCTGAGCGATCCCCTTTTTTGGGCACCGGTTGCACATTAGCATCTCTCCAAGTCTCCGGCACACGCCCCAAAGAATACGAGCATACGAGCAAGCGCGTGAGCACGGGAGACAACTCCGCTGCACATTTTTTAAGTACTATTGCTGGGATGCCATCAGGTCCACTAGCTTTCCGGACGTCGAGTGATTGCAATTCGGCACGAACCTCTCGCTGCCTGATTTTAATATCAGGCATCGTTGTGCCACAGTGAGGTAATGATGGTGGCAGTGCATTGCAATCATCGATTCGGGAGTTAGCCGCAAAGAGTTTTGCCAATAAATCGGCTTTCTCCTGCGGCTTATGGGCTAGTGTTCCGTCTGGGCATCTCAGAGGTAGCAGCGAGGGCTCGCAGAAGTTTTTTTGCACGGCCTTGGCCAGACGCCAGTAGCTACGGGAGCCCGTAGGATGCGTCATAAGTTCCTGATCAACACGTGCAACGCGCTGGGCATCCGCTCTAATGTAAGCCTTCTTACAGGCCTTGGAAGCAAAATTGTAGGCTGCTTTGAGTGAATCCACCTCGGGATCCTTGAGAGCGCGACCTCTGATCCAAGCACGATATGCCGCTTGCTTACGCGAAGCAGCTTCAGCACAGTCGTGATTGAACCAGAGGTTACGCGTGCCCTTACTGATGAGATCAGAATGAGGGATATAGTATTCCATACCCATTATAACCTCCTCAGTAATGTCAAGAACTAATGTCGGTTACGATAACAAGTAGTGTTGCTTGCGCTAGAAAAAAACGATCGCTAGCCACGTAAGATAAAAATTCTCGCTGTCACTTACGTTACGGCTTTAAAAATATATGTATTCACGATAATTTTAGCACTTGCTATATAACTTTATAACGGTGTTCTTTTGGAGGGAAATATCAACAGAGATGGGTCCGTTACGGTTTAAAATTATTAGTTTCCACAAAAAACGCATTTCGACAAAAGTGTCGCTTACGATAATTTGGCGGTAACGGCTCGATATAAGCTACTTTTAGGTGTGATTAGTGAAAATTAAACTTATCGTTTTGACGGTTTTTGGAAAGTACGATAAAATTTTGGGTGTTTCATGGACTAATAATATTATATATAAAAATAGTTATCTTGCCTTTATCCTACAAATATAATATTGTAAATGTGAGAGTTTGTACTTTTGTTACTCAATCACGCAAAAATGACTGAACGGCGGGCAGAGACATAGGATACTTTATATCCCGGAAAAATGTTAGGTTCCTGTGGGATTCCCAAAAACCTAAAGTTTACGCTGACGATGTCGCGGGCACCCACTAATTTGTTATATAAATCAGTCAAAGTGCCGAAATCCCATAATTTGACTGTATTAAAAGATGTTGTAAAGAACAGGGATGTTTCGGAGCTTCGACTCCGATTCCGCTAAGTCGGAATTTCCGATTATTATTACACCTTCGGTTCCGATTTCGGTTCGGAAACTTTTAAAGCGCAGGTTTTAATCGGAGGTCGTAGCATAGCAAATAGCGACGGGGCGGCCTGCGTCGACCGCTACGAACTGGTTCATACCCATCGCGTTGGGAGTCTGTGTTAATAATAAGTGAATTTAAATGAAAAAAGGGTTATTTCTTTTATTAAAATGAAAAAAGGTTATTTCATGTATTAAAATGAAAAAAGGTTGACGGAATTATGATTTCATTTTTTCTTAAATGCAAAAATATCTCTCTTGTGACCACTTCTGGCTCTGCCTCTGACCCCGACACTGCCTCCGACTCCGGTTTCGACTCCGATAAATCAAATTTAAAAACTCCGTCACCGACTTCGGTTCCGATAAATTTACCTACGTTACATCCCTGGTATAGAATATTTTAAATGTTTTTATTTATCTCTACTTTTAAAATCTAGGTCAAGATTTTTTACGCCTCTTAATGAGTGTGTTTAGTAAAATTTACGCCACCAGTTGGCGCCACTGTGTTATGAGGTCTTTTTTAAATTGTCCAGATTGATCACATTGAATATGAATAACAAAAGTGCATTTAAATACCATACCATTGTAACTAAGTGAGGTTTTGTGACTAAAAAGTTCGGACTTTTTTTTGAAATGTCAGGATTTTGGTCAGGACTTATGAAATTCCTAAATGGTGACCCTACGCGCAACCGATCCATAGACTATGACGACATAGGTGATTTGATGGATCAGTAAATCGCCTCAGTGCTGCCATTCCAGAAAACCCACATTATTTGTAGTATCGGGGGGCGCGGCAGTGCCCCCGCCAAGTCGAGCGCGAAGCAAACACTGCCGTACCATCCTTTACTGGAACCATTTCGCCACATTTTCAGGCTCCTATTTGAGAACCTCTGGATAAGACCAGAACGCAGAAATTTCCGTCATCTAGTAAGCTATAATAACATACTTAAAATCCAAAATTTCAAGTCTGTAGGTCATTTAGTTCCGAAGTTAAGCGAAAGCAAAGTTTTGCATTTAAGACACTCACTCACTCAAGATCATCAGAATAGAACTAGTACTTCCCATAAACTCAGAGAGCTGAAATTTGGTACAGAGTTAGGGTTTAATGGCCACATAAAGGGAAAACTATAAAAACTAGGATAATCGAAGATCTGGAGTACCTGGTGACCCTGATTAGAAAACAAGAGCCCAACCGTCGGTATGTCGATCTCTTCTAATAGTTTAGAAGAGATCGACATACCGCCTTTACAAAAAATATTCAACATGGTGGGCCGCTTCATTTGATGTCAAAAATTGAAGGTCTGAAGTATCTCATGAAGAACCCTCAGCTGGTCCCATGTAGCACCTGGTTTTGTACCCTTGTTACAAGTTACACAACATTAACTATAATAATAAAGAAATCGCAGTAAGGAACCTTAGACTTGGCACGAATTTGTCTAGATTTCATTACTTTTTTGAGATATTCAAGCAGCTCCATCGAGACTTGGCTAGTTTTTTTACAGAATGTTTTTGGTGGGATCGAGTTTACTGAAAGCAGCACCTTTACTATACAGGATTGAACAAACTAAATCAGACGGAGGTTGAAGTGAAACAGCTACAGATAGAACTTGCAGAGCTGAAGCCGATGATGGAGAAGGCAGCAGCCGAGACCAGACAGGTCATTGAGCAGATCGCCATCGATACGGTCAGTTGTGATTATAAGAACAACTTTTAATCTATAATGAAGATATTTGTTTCTTAGGTTTTCACGCACATCACTCATTAAATAAAACTAGTTTTTACGGGTTAATGCACGAAACTTTATTTATTTATTAACGTTTCGTAGCCTTTACAGGCTACGTCGTCAGAATTCAACTTTTATTTAATTTGTCGAGCTACCTTCGAAAGACTTTTATTGAGCGTTCGGTTATTTCATTGTTCGATTTTTAAAGTTTTATTGTCTATGTATGAATTTATTATTTAATTTACTTAATAAAGTAATTTATTTAAAATTATTTTTTGTAATTTTGAGTTTATTTATTTGACCCTAACTACCGTAAACTACCACCGGTTCCAAAATTGGAACCGGTGGTATGGTATATAATGAAGATTTTACTAGAAAAATAATCCACGCGGCCTAGGCGAAAAAAAAACGATGGGACTCGAACCCGTACCCTCCGCTATCCGGGATGCACTGACCAACTATGATACCGCGACCTTGATGACCGTGTCGAATTTCTTCTAGTATTTCTTAGGCTGCAAGGCTACGCCATCTCTTCGCATTGTAGGTTAGCCACACACACACACACACATCTCGCAGTTAAATGCTTAAATTAAAAATATAATAAAACTTCTAATATTATAAATAAATAATAATAAATATTTCCGACACACCACCAATTAGCCTAGCCCCAAAGTAAGCACTATAAGGCTTGTGTTATGGGATGCTAGGGTAACGGATAGAATACATATACTTTACATATATAAGTATATTTTATATAGAAATACATATTAAACATCGACGACTGGAGTACAAATGCTCGTATTCATCATACAAACATCTGCCCCCACCGGGATTCGAACTCGGGACCTCTCCAGTCGGCGACAGCCACGAAACCCGGCGTACAAACCACTCGGCCACGGAGGTCGTCAAATTATAAATGCGAAAGTTTCATATTATGTTTGTCACACTTACGCTAAAGCGGTTTAAAGGATTTAGATTAGGCATGTATGTAGATTATTTCCCATACAATCTACATACATACATAATCCAAATCCTTAAAACTTCATAATACAGAAGAAAAAAGGTTTTTCTGGGATTCTCAAAAAATACAGTTAAGGCAGACGATGTAGTCATGTGCTGAGGCTAGTATTACTTAAAATATTTTTATTTCTTATTTCTTATCACTCTGTTGTCCGCCCGTCCGTCCGTCCGTCTGTCAAGACCGTTTTTCTCAGGAACGCGTGGAAGTATCAAACTGAAATTCATATCTAATACTCAGGTCTACTGTCTCTTGGACCTGTGAAAAACAAACTTTTAAGCCAAAGCAATCAAAAGATACAGTAGTTTTTTCCGCAAATTTCCGTAAATTTTCAAAACTCGCACGGGAATCAAAACCTACAGGGTACTTCCCGTGAACTTAGAATCTTTAAATTTGGTACGAAGTAACGTCTTATAGTACAGACTAGCGGCCAGCCCTCGCTTCGCTTCGGTATAGAGCTGAAGTGTAGACTACAGTTTTTGTTCTCAGGCTTGTATTATACACAATGACATTCATCTATGATTCTTCTCATACCTACATGCAAAGTCTCAGCGGGATCGGTTTAAAATTGACAAAGTTTCATACAAACTTTCATTCCCTATTTTATCCCCTTGGGGGTAGAATTGATCAAAATCCTGTTTAAAGGATGCCTACGTCATAACATCTACCTGCATGCCAAAATTTCAGCCCGATCCGTCCAGTGGTTTGGGCTGTGCGTTGATAGATCACTATGTCAGTCAGTCACGAAAACCGTAAATTTTAAGTTACATCATATAATAAAAAATATTTTATAATAATTATTAAAATATACCTATAGGTTTGTACGGAACCCTCGGTACGCGGGTCCGACTCGCACTTGGCCGGATTTTTTGTTTTTTGTCTAACCTAGGTCAATAACTTTAGTCTGTCCATTCTATTATTATCTTTTTGACAGATTGACGCCCATGAAATTTTGTATAATTGTTAAAATGTCATACAAATAATATTGTACTTCATGGACGGGTACCGCCCACTTAGTGATGTGCCACACATAATGATTACTAACATTGTGCCACAGATTACAAGTAATCGGTAGAAATAAATGAGTACAACCAAATTGTAATATAGAGTCCAAGTAATTCTAAAATTGTCGCGGAGTGAGAACCAAACTAAATACTTTATATATGAACATACTTTCCGAATGTTATGACATAATAGTCCTTACGGAAACGTGGTTAGTACCAGATATCCCGGATAGTTTGTTTATTGATTCCCGTTACGCAGTAACGGGAATAAAATGAACTTTATATAATTTTGATTTTATTTATTTTTAAGTATTTAACTGCTAGATGTTTAAATCTAAAGAAAACTTTACTAGAAAAAAATCCACGCGGACCAGGCAGCGGACGGGACTCGAACCCGCATCCTTCGCAATCCGGGCGAATGCACTGACCATTATGCTACCACGGCCCTATTAGCCGCGTCGAAATTTTCCTAGCGTTAAGCTGCAAGGCAGCGCCATCTCTTCGCATTGTAGGTAACCCACAATGTCAAATGAATATTTTTTCAAGTATTAAACATTTGAAAGAAGAAATAGCAATTATAGTTATGATTTTATTTATTTTTAAGCATTTAACTGCTAGATGTTTAAATCTAAAGAAAACTTTACTAAAAAAAAATCCACGCGGACCAGGCAGCGGACGGGACTCGAACCCGCATCCTTCGCAATCCGGGCGAATGCACTGACCATTATGCTACCACGGCCCTATTAGCCGCGTCGAAATTTTCCTAGCGTTAAGCTGCAAGGCAAGCATGGATTTTTTTCTAGTAAAGTTTTCTTTAGATTTAAACATCTAGCAGTTAAATGCTTAAAAATAAATAAAATCAAAATTATATAAAGTTCATTTTATAAATGTCTTCTTAGTTTATTTTTAATTTATTCAGACGTATCAAATTCTTCATAAAAACTAGGTAAATTATAAATCTAATGAGATTTTGTAATAATTTATTAAACACCAGTATTTTTGATAACTAAAATAATTTCGATACTCTTCGAATCGATTACGATTAAACAGTGTTCTAGCATAAAATCGATTATAGCTTTAAATCGAACGAGTTATGTGATAGGGTGTCACTATTTTTACTTCGATCGATCTGTCAAAAAGATAATTATAGAATGGACAGACTATAGTTACAGAACTTGGCAAAAACCAGTATACCTATTAACTATTAGCTAAAGAGTCAGTAAACACTGAGATGCGAAGAGGCGTGTACTTTTAAGATAGCGGTACAAAATAAAACTGTATTTACTACACAACAAAATAAATTTTATTTAACGAATCCGAAAATACCCTTTGGCGTTGCGTTACGCCGCGCGCAATGAAATTTGTATCTTTTGCTCCAGCGAATAAAGTTTATTTTTTGAGACTATCGAATTAATTCTGTTGTTTCTGATTTAGAAATTAGGTTTTGAAGAGTTGGATTTTTCAGCATTATTATTTACTAGCTGTGCCTCGCGATATTACCTGCGGTTTATTAGGGATATTTTCCTTCAGTAAAACGTAGCCTATATGTTAATCCAGGGTGTCAGCTAACTCCATACCAAATTTTATTAAAATCGCTCCAGCCATTTAGACGTGAAGAAGTAACAAACATAAAAACTCACACACTTTCGCCTTTATAATATTCATCATCATCATCAGCCTATTAATGTCCCCACTGCTGGGGCACAGGCTTTCCCTATGGATGGAATAGGGAGATTGGGCCATGACCCACCACGCGGGCCCAGTACTTATTGGCGGATGCTAACGACTGCAGATGCAGCAGGGACTAGCTTAACGTGCCTTCCGAAGCACGGAGGAACTCGAGATAGAAGATTTTTGGTCACCCATCCCATGACCGACCAATGCGAAAGTTGCTTTACTACAACAATCGCAGCCGAACGCGCTAACCACCCGCGCCATCGAGCTCCTCAAATAATATTAATGTAATTTTAATAGGCTATTGCGGAAGAGGCACGTATTAAAGTTGAACGTGAACAGGCGATAGCTGAGAAAATGGCCAAGGAAACCACAGCTATGGCTGAAGATGCACAAAGGGATTTGGGTGTGTAAATAGATTATATATTTCCATAGGGAAATATATAATCTTATATATATATATAATCTATAAGTTAACAATAGTGTTAACTTAGATTAAAACAAAAAAGGTAGATACGGCACTAGCCTCACAAAAGTGATCCGCACAAATTGTGGTCCACGACCCTTATCGCTTTAGTCACAACTTGACATGCAAACGACGTACATGTAACGTCAAAAATAAATATTGATAATATTTTGTGTTTATGATAAAACAATGCCTAATATAGTATGTTTTTAAAAAGTGCTCAATATGCTCATGAACTAAAAATAAAACCCACGGCATCACTTTTCATTCGTAAGTACTATAAAATATATTTTTTCATAAAAATTGCTGTTTGTTTCGAATCTTATTCGGTAATGACGTCGAGTACTGGTCGCGTGATTGGTCGGTAGTGCAGTGACGCGGATCTCGCCGTCTCGTTCGCGCTGCCGTTGAAACTTAACGTGCTGTTTCGTTCGGGTCGGTAATGCAGTGACGCGGATCTCGCCGTCTCGTTCGCGCTGCCGTTGAAAATTAACGTGCTGTTTCGTTCGGGTCGGTAATGCAGTGACGCGGATCTCGCCGTCTCGTTCGCGCTGCCGTTGAAAATTAACGTGCTGTTTCGTTCGGGTCGGTAATGCAGTGACGCGGATCTCGCTGTCCCGTTCGCGCTGCCGTGGGATCAGTTTTTGTTTGATGCAAGTATGAGCGTACCGTATCTACCCTTTTTGTTTTAATCTAAGATTGTTAACGCATAATTATTTATTTATTTAAACTTTATTGACCAAAATATAAACAACGGTACAAAAGGCGGACTTAATGCTAAAAGTATTCTCTCCCAGTCAACCTTTGGGAAAATCGAAAAAAACGAACGGCGGTATAAAGCTAAATACGAATATATGTACAAAATAACATAGATAAATACATACCATAAAAATAATATAATACATACAAACATAACACACTAATATTTAAATATATATATATATATATATATATATATATATATATATATATATATATATATATATATATATATATATATATATATATATATATATATATATATAGGTACATATATGATGATGATTAAAAAGTGACACTTTATCTTAAATTTTGCAACAGATGAGCGTGAACATTCCTTTTAAATACAGGCTGTAAAATAACCTATGACAAAGACTTAAAATACGCTTTCTGTACATCCAAACAAGTCATATTACAAAATATTATAGGTGGGAAAAAATTGTTATTTTTAAGTTAAAAAAATACATTTTATTTCCAGTATTCCAATGTATAGCGCGGCGCTTTACTGTGGCGCTACGCAAAGAATGTGCCTGTGTGTATATGTGTGAGTGTGTTTCTAAATAACGTTTTGAAAATATTAATGTATAAAATCTTGAAAAAAATATTTTGGCTTTGACCTTCAATATCTCCATAACCATAAATTTCCCAGATATGATCCAGAATGAAAAAATGATCTTCATAATGTGGAAAATACGTTTGCCTTCGACTTCGTTATAGGTTTTTTTACACCCTGTATAAGTTTACTATTATTATCGTCATCATCAACGTTTAATGTCCCCACTGTTGGGCACAGGCTTATTCCATTGATGGAATATGGGTGTATTGGTGAATGCTTACGACTGTGCATTTAACCGAACCCAGTGGCTTATTATCTTTCTAAGCACGGAGCAGCCCATAATAAATTTATTAGTCATCCATCCTATTACCGACCATTGCAAAAGTTGCTTAACTTTCAAGATCACAGACCGAACGCGCTTAAGAGCCCATTCACATTTTTTGCAAAAAATCGTAATTTTTGAGCGCCTCGTTTACCTCATTAGAAAAGATTTTGACTATTTCCAATTGAAGTAAACAATAGATTTTAGTTAGTTAATGTAGAATATTTTCATATACTATATTCTTTTTTTTGTACTGATCGTTCTATTGCAGCTAGTTTACGGAAAAAACGATAATATGCACAACTTCAAACGCCTCAATCTCTCAATAATGTTTAATAAATTAACTCAAATTAATTACTAGGACATCAGAAATATATTTTTGTTGTAACATAAAGTATTATAATTTTGATTTTCTATCTCATTAATTTATCAAAAAAAAACATCTAACCTCCGTGAGTTTTTCCAAAAAATAATGCAGGTTTACCTCGTATTTTGAAATTGAATTAAATAGAATTACTATCAAAATCTTTCATGAAACTAACCTACCATCATTGAACTACTGAAATATGTATAAATATTTATAATTAGTTCTTTAATAATTATTTTATAAGACTCGAAACATCACCTGTTAAATGCAATATTATAGTAGTGCAAATCTACCTACGCGCCGATCAGTACGGCAGCGGCGCAATTTTGTAAAAGGGCTCCTAACACTGAGCCATCAACCGCCTCCATTTAATATCCAAACTCAGTTTGAATGAGCTAAGATTCATATATTTTACATTTACCTGTGCATTATATATATATGAGAATTTGTGTCCTTTCCAAAGTAGGACAGAGATGAAATATAAATAATCTGTAGTTGGCCGACATTTTAGTTCCGCCAAATAGACAAAAAGGTCGAGTTTTTTAAAAATTTATGCTTACTCGCGGTTCAAGATCTTGCGCGGGGGTCGGACTTGCCTTACAAAAAATACTAATAAATAATTCTCTTTTGTAATATCTGTTATATACAAGTAAGGGGAGAGATATTTTTTTCGACACTTTATTAGCGTCAAAGAGACCGTTTTTAAAAAAATCTATATGATTTAATTAGCGTTTATGTATTTCAAATGTACCTACTCAGTTACATAATTTTGTAACTCACCAAATCGGTTAATATTTTTTTATTATTAATGTTTATGTATCCCAGCCAACGATATTTAATAGTTATATTTAATAGTTCCCAGATGATTCAGCAAAACATCTAGCTTAAATTCTTAAAAAAAAACGGGTTAGAAGCACTGATTTTATTTTTTTATTGATCATCATTTGCAGGAATGTGTAATTAGAATTATTTATTGTTTTAAACTTTCATGGTCACTAACATTATAGTAATACTAGCTGTCCCAGCGAACTTCGTACCGCCATAAAAAAATAGGGGTTGGTGGTAGAAGGGCGAAAATTTTGGATTATATTTATTTTTGTATGATGTATCATAAAAAAATTAAAAAAAAATGTCTAAAATTGAAAAAAAAAGTAGGAGTGGATTACCCTTAACATTTAGGGGGATGAAAAATAGATGTTGTCCGATTCTCAGACCTATTGTATATGCAAATTCACAAAAATCGGTCGAGCCGTTTCGGAGGAGTTTAACCACAAACACCGCAACACGAGAATTTTATATATTAGATAAGTTATTTACGGGATTGTTACCATGTACCTTGTTTTTAGCGAGTTTCCTATATTTCGGCACTGTTGCAAGCGCCATGATCACGGAGTTACATGGTAACAATCCCGTAAATCTATATATATAAAAATGTTATGTTGGTTTGTGTACGCTTCAAAAACTCAAAAAGTTCTGCACCGATTGAGTTGAAATTTTAACATGATATAAAATCCGCATCAAGGATTGTTTTTATCTATTTTTTGCATCAGTCACATATCTGCGACCACGAGAAAACAGTTTTTTTAACGATCAGCTGTGTACCAATAACAGTAATAATTAATAATTTTTGGTGAATGATAATAATATATATAGTTATATTATAATAATTTAACATTAATAATTTAATAATCTTTTTAATTAATAATAATAATAACAACAGTAATAATAACAATTATAATTAATAATTTTTGGTGAATGATAATAATATATATAGTTATATTATAATAATTTAACAATAATAATTTAATAATCTTTTTAATTTAATAATAATATAATCTAATTTAATTCTCTTAATAATAAATTAATCACGTCACGTCGATGTCGTTTCGCGTTACGCGCTTTCTAGGCAGAACTGAAAACCAGTGCTTTGCTCTCAGAGCAAAGGTATCGCTGTGTTTTTGCCTTTTTCTGTCGTTCCGGCACACAGTAATTAATTGTTCTATTTGTTTACTTGAATTTGTGTGCTGTACTGATGGGAATAAATGATTTATCTATCTATCTACAATAAAATGTCCTGGTGTCCTTTAAAAGAGGTGTGAAGAAGCATATCTACAGGTCGGCAAGGTGAGGATAGTTGGTGTGGCAGTTTATAACTATTGCACCAGCTATCTTCGCACATCAAGTGGGGTAGAGACATTTGCCTACCTTGCTATAAGTACCTTTTGATGGTTTTGTGTTTCTAATGATGAGTAAGGTTTAAGTGTTCTACGAGTAGAGGGTAAGGTCAGGGTAGGCAATGCATGAGTGATGTCCTTGTATAGCAAGCGTTGAACAATAGGGATGATGACTAATTTTTTTCTTCGTTTATCAGGTAGATTATCAAAAAGTATTGGACACGTATTTTTTCTTTTTTCACATAATTACATACAATAAACATTTCAAATCAATATATTTCTGCAAAGTTGCATGACTTCAAGTTTGAGTACACTTATAAGTGAAAATTCACTCAAAAGTGACGTCACGAGCCGCTACTCCCAAACTTTGACGCGCTATAACTTTGACATTTTTTATTTGATTGCCCAAAGAAAAAATACATTTCAGTGTCCATTATTTTTTGATCATCGAACTGACTGACTAAATAGAATTTCGTTTACTGTAGCCCGTCATCACCCCTATTATGGAAGCTCCTTACCATTAGGGGATCATACGTTTGTTTAAACCACCCTTTTTGGATAAACAAAATAATGCAGTCGTAGCTTTAGAAACTTAATAGGAACCCTTAGATTAAAACAAAAAGGGTAGATACGGCACTAGCCTCACAAAAGTGATCCACACAAATTGTGGTCAACGACCCTAATCGCTTTAGTCACAACTTGACATGCAAACGACGTATATGTGACGCCAAAAAGAAATATTGATAATATTTTGTGTTTATATGATAAAACAATGCCTAAGTATGTTTTTAAAAAGTGCTCAAATTGCTCAAGAACTAAAAATAAAACCCACGGCATCACTTCTCATTCGTAAGTACTATAAAATATATTTTTTTCATAAAAATCTTATTCGGTAGTGACGTCGAGTACTGGTCACGTGATTGGTCGGTAGTGCAGTGACGGGGATCTCGCCGTCTCGTTCGCGCTGCCGTTGAAACTTAACGTGCTGTTTCGTTCAGGTCGGTAATGCAGTGACGCGGATCTCGCCGTCCCGTTCGCGCTGCCGTGGGATCAGTTTTTGTTTGATGCAAGTATGAGCGTACCGTATCTACCCTTTTCGTTTTAATCTAAGTAGGAACTTATCTTAATAACTAAAAAAAAGTTTTGTGAAAAGTACATAAAGCATGTATGGACGTTTTGCCTTCATAGATGAGGCGATGCCAGCGCTTCGTGCAGCTGAGAAAGCACTACAAGAACTAAATCGTAACGATATCGTTGAAGTGAAGGCGATGAAGAAGCCACCAGCTGGAGTTGTGCTCGTCATCGAATCGCTTTGTGTCGTCTTTGATATTAAACCGATTAAGGTAAAATTAAAAAAGGTAGCCGTCGTCAATGTAATCAAAAAGTGCGTATCACACAATACTAATAAAACAGTCAATAGGTATAATCAAATCAAATTGTCGCCCGAAATATATTTTATAGCACAGTGTGACCTAAACCCGCACTTTACGCACGCTTTTCCGTGACCTAAGTTGTCTATTTCTGCACGGTGTGTAAATGAATTGACCAACTTCACTCATGTAGAAAAAATAAAAGGAAACACATTTAAATGTCATTTGGAGCTTAAAAACTCACAGCAAACAAATGTCAAATTAGCGATAGGTTAGGTTATTTTGTTGTAATGATATTTGATTTTTTCATTTTGAAATATACTTTCAAAATGGTAATATGAACCGGAATTCTTTCTTTTCAGAGTTTGACTTGCAGTCTGTATTGCTTGCAATACATGAATTTTACTTTCAAAACACTAATCGCATCTCTCGAACCGCCGCCTTGCCCGCGCCCGGGGCGGGTTTATGTCACACTTGCTATAAAATAGTATACGATACTTGTGGCCTAAGTTGTCTATTACTGCACGGCGTGAAGTTAGCGCCCGAGCGGAGCGAGGTCACGCGTATCGTAATGTACTATAAAATATGTGTTGCTCGAAAATATGTTTGAAGAAATACATGTTACTGTGGCCGTGTTGTTTCATCTATAGTTAAATTTGACTATAATCATCATCAGCCTATTTAAGTCCCCACTGCTAGGGCACATGCCTTCCCTATGGATGGAATAGGGAGATTGGGCCGTGACCCACCACGCGGGCCCAGTGCGGATTGGCGGGTGCTAACGACTGCAGATGCAACCGGGACCAACGGCTTAACGTGCCTTCCGAAGCACGGAGGAACTCAAGATATTAAATTTTTGGTCACCCATCCGATGACCGACCACTGCAAAAGTTGCTTTACTTCAACGATCGCAGCCGAACGCGTTAACCAGTTGCGCCATCGAGCTCCTCATAAAGGATTTAACTAAAGTAAAAATTTAGTGTCGATGAATCCCTAATAGGCTAGTTGACCCTTTTTGGAAAAAAGGTTTTAAATGGTTAATAAATGTTCTATTAGACCGAAAAAAATGTATTGTATTTTTTGAGACCTAGAAAGCTACAAATCTTTAATTTTAAAATAGACTCGGCCATTTTAGTCTATAGATTATCTATGCTATGACGTCAACTGTAGTAAACAAAAACTCGTAAGAACGTAGAAAATAACTTATCTGAGTTTATAATAAAAAAAACATGATTTCTAATAAATACCACGAAAAATAAATAGTTATCATTATTGTATTGTACGAGAATATAAAAACACATCCTTGAAGACTTTAAGAAATAAACATTTATTTAAATACAATTCGACATACGAGTAAGTCAACTAGCCTACTCGTATTGTGTTCCGGAAGACTCAATAAAAAGTGAACGACAATCTTGTATTACTTCCAATTTAATGAAGAATTTTGGAGTTTACTCCTTAAGAATCGATTTGCATATATAAGGGGCCCGGTATGAGAAAAATGTGAGGAGTGAAATCTATCGATTAATGACCTCGTTACGTTTTTACTGTCTACGCTGTAGCAGCCGTAGTGGTACACCGTAGCACAGTATCGGAGCGTACCTTTATTTATGCACATCTGAAATTGACTATTGTAAAAAGTTTAATGTAAAATATTTCGTCGATTAGTTATAATAAATGTATATGAAATGAATAAATATATATTTATATATGTATATTATTTTCATTAATTTGTTAATTTACCCTTTCATACAGTATCAATCTTTTTTAAGTTAAATAAACTCTTTTTGCGTCTGGTTAGGCTATCGAACTTAAGAAGTAAACTTCAGTCGTGCATCGGAGCTGACACACACATTTTTTTTTAACATTTCTGTTTTTCTTTTTATAATATCTTAGGAACCTGGGCCATCCTTCGGTGAGAAGATACTGAACTACTGGAAGCCAGGATCGCAAATGTTAGCAGACCCCACCGCATTTCTAGACTCGCTAATGAAGTTCGACAAAGACACCATAACCGAAGACATGATCAAGAAGCTTAAGAGATTTATACAGAACCCGGACTATGAACCAATGAAGATCCTCAAGGTACGGTGATTTCTTTTTATCTTATTTTCAGAAAACCTCCGTGGCCGAATGTTTCAAGGTGTCACTTACTTGAGAGGTTCCGCGTTCAAATCCCGGTGGAGGCAGATGTTTGTGTGATGAATACGAGTATTTGTACTGTAGTCATGGATGTTTATTATGTATTTATTTATATCTAAAGAAAATATAACTAGAAAAAATTCCACGCGGACCAGGCAGCAGACGGGACTCGAACCCGCACCCTTCGCAATCCGGGCGAATGCACTGACCAATTATGCTACCGCGGCCCTCACGGACCGCGTCGAAATTCTTTCTAGCTATTCTTAAGCTGCAAGGCAGCGCCATCTCTTCGCATTATAGGTAAACCCACAATGTCAAATGAATACTTTTACAAGTATTAAACATTTGAAAGAAGAAATAGCAATTATAGTTATAATTTTTATTATTTTTAAAGCATGTAACTGCTTGATGTTTAAATCTAAAGAAAATATAACTAGAAAAAATTCCACGCGGACCAGGCAGCAGACGGGACTCGAACCCGCACCCTTCGCAATCCGGGCGAATGCACTGACCAATTATGTTACCGCGGCCCTCACGGACCGCGTCGAAATTCTTTCTAGCTATTCTTAAGCTGCAAGGCAGCGCCATCTCTTCGCATTATAGGTAAACCCACAATGTCAAATGAATACTTTTACAAGTATTAAACATTTGAAAGAAGAAATAGCAATTATAGTTATAATTTTTATTATTTTTAAAGCATGTAACTGCTTGATGTTTAAATCTAAAGAAAATATAACTAGAAAAAATTCCACGCGGACCAGGCAGCAGACGGGACTCGAACCCGCACCCTTCGCAATCCGGGCGAATGCACTGACCAATTATGCTACCGCGGCCCTCACGGACCGCGTCGAAATTCTTTCTAGCTATTCTTAAGCTGCAAGGCAGCGCCATCTCTTCGCATTATAGGTAAACCCACAATGTCAAATGAATACTTTTACAAGTATTAAACATTTGAAAGAAGAAATAGCAATTATAGTTATAATTTTTATTATTTTTAAAGCATGTAACTGCTTGATGTTTAAATCTAAAGAAAATATAACTAGAAAAAATTCCACGCGGACCAGGCAGCAGACGGGACTCGAACCCGCACCCTTCGCAATCCGGGCGAATGCACTGACCAATTATGCTACCGCGGCCCTCACGGACCGCGTCGAAATTCTTTCTAGCTATTCTTAAGCTGCAAGGCAGCGCCATCTCTTCGCATTATAGGTAAACCCACAATGTCAAATGAATACTTTTACAAGTATTAAACATTTGAAAGAAGAAATAGCAATTATAGTTATAATTTTTATTATTTTTAAAGCATGTAACTGCTTGATGTTTAAATCTAAAGAAAATATAACTAGAAAAAATTCCACGCGGACCAGGCAGCAGACGGGACTCGAACCCGCACCCTTCGCAATCCGGGCGAATGCACTGACCAATTATGCTACCGCGGCCCTCACGGACCGCGTCGAAATTCTTTCTAGCTATTCTTAAGCTGCAAGGTAGCGTCATCTCTTCGCATTATAGGTAAACCCACAATGTCAAATGAATACTTTTACAAGTATTAAACATTTGAAAGAAGAAATAGCAATTATAGTTATAATTTTTATTATTTTTAAAGCATGTAACTGCTTGATGTTTAAATCTAAAGAAAATATAACTAGAAAAAATTCCACGCGGACCAGGCAGCAGACGGGACTCGAACCCGCACCCTTCGCAATCCGGGCGAATGCACTGACCAATTATGCTACCGCGGCCCTCACGGACCGCGTCGAAATTCTTTCTAGCTATTCTTAAGCTGCAAGGCAGCGCCATCTCTTCGCATTATAGGTAAACCCACAATGTCAAATGAATACTTTTACAAGTATTAAACATTTGAAAGAAGAAATAGCAATTATAGTTATAATTTTTATTATTTTTAAAGCATGTAACTGCTTGATGTTTAAATCTAAAGAAAATATAACTAGAAAAAATTCCACGCGGACCAGGCAGCAGACGGGACTCGAACCCGCACCCTTCGCAATCCGGGCGAATGCACTGACCAATTATGCTACCGCGGCCCTCACGGACCGCGTCGAAATTCTTTCTAGCTATTCTTAAGCTGCAAGGCAGCGCCATCTCTTCGCATTATAGGTAAACCCACAATGTCAAATGAATACTTTTACAAGTATTAAACATTTGACATTGTGGGTTTACCTATAATGCGAAGAGATGGCGCTGCCTTGCAGCTTAAGAATAGCTAGAAAGAATTTCGACGCGGTCCGTGAGGGCCGCGGTAGCATAATTGGTCAGTGCATTCGCCCGGATTGCGAAGGGTGCGGGTTCGAGTCCCGTCTGCTGCCTGGTCCGCGTGGAATTTTTTCTAGTTATATTTTCTTTAGATTTAAACATCAAGCAGTTACATGCTTTAAAAATAATAAAAATTATAACTATAATTGCTATTTCTTCTTTCAAATGTTTAATACTTGTAAAAGTATTCATTTGACATTGTGGGTTTACCTATAATGCGAAGAGATGGCGCTGCCTTGCAGCTTAAGAATAGCTAGAAAGAATTTCGACGCGGTCCGTGAGGACCGCGGTAGCATAATTGGTCAGTGCATTCGCCCGGATTGCGAAGGGTGCGGGTTCGAGTCCCGTCTGCTGCCTGGTCCGCGTGGAATTTTTTCTAGTTATATTTTCTTTAGATTTAAACATCAAGCAGTTACATGCTTTAAAAATAATAAAAATTATAACTATAATTGCTATTTCTTCTTTCAAATGTTTAATACTTGTAAAAGTATTCATTTGACATTGTGGGTTTACCTATAATGCGAAGAGATGGCGCTGCCTTGCAGCTTAAGAATAGCTAGAAAGAATTTCGACGCGGTCCGTGAGGGCCGCGGTAGCATAATTGGTCAGTGCATTCGCCCGGATTGCGAAGGGTGCGGGTTCGAGTCCCGTCTGCTGCCTGGTCCGCGTGGAATTTTTTCTAGTTATATTTTCTTTAGATTTAAACATCAAGGAGTTACATGCTTTAAAAATAATAAAAATTATATTTATTTATAAATATAATTTTATATAATATATGTATCAGTATATGTAATCTATCAGTTACCCTAGTATCCCATAACACAAGCCTACAGTGCTTACTTTGGGGCTGGGCTAATAGGGATGATGACTATTTTTTTTTTCTTTTAGCAGGTAGATTATCAAAAGGTATTGGACACGTATTTTTTCTTTTTTCACATAATATAAACATTGCAGAGATATATTGATTTGAAAAGTCGCATGACGTCACGTTTGAGTACACTTATAAGTAAAAATTCACTCAAAAGTGACGTCACGAGCCCCTACTCCCAAACTTTGACGCGCTATAACTTTGTCATTTTTTGGTTGATTACCCAAAGAAAAAAATACGTGTCCATTATTTTTGATCATCTAACTGACGGACTTAATAGAATTTCATTTACTGTACCCCGTCATCACCCCTATTGGTGTGAAATAAAAAAAAACCCTGATTGTACCATATTTTGATTTATTTTCAACTACCTACTGACTTATTTTCTACCCATTATAGCCTTATTTTCTATTTCGACTTATTTCCTACCACGTCTTGATTTTTCCTTAAATCTACCATATTTTTCACAAAACTTTATTTTTTCTAATTATTCCTACTATCATTCTACTACTAATAATTTTTATACTTAATACTACCCCAGACCCGAGACAATACCCAAAGTTCCATTTTCCTATATTGACCCGACCGGGATTCGAACCCGGGACCCCCAGAGATGCGAACACCAAAACCGGCATCATAGCCGTCAACACCACGGATTGTATTCATGGTGATGTTTCTCCTGGGCTTTCTGCGCCAGAAAGATTATTAGTTATACCAAATTTTATTCATTCATCATAGGCGATGAGGAGGTGACTAAACACCTTGAGCCTCTTCAATTACGCCGTGACGTGGCGTCACTAAGCGCGTTCTATCGTCTGTACCACGGCGAGTGTTCTGAGGAGTTATTGTCTCTTATCCCACCTCCCCCTTTCCTTCAGAGGACCACGCGCGCTGACTTAAGTTGTCACCGTCTAACTGTGGCCACAATTCCAACTTGTACAAAGAAATTTGGTGACTCATTTCTTTGTCGCACCATCCGTAAATGGAATGCTCTGCCCGCTCACGTGTTCCCTCCCTCTTACAACCTGGGACCCTTTAAAAGAGGCGTAAAGAAGCAACATGCATGCCGGCAGGGTGAGGATGGCTGGTGTGGCAGGTAGAACTGCCGTATTAGCTATCTTCGCGTCTGGACTTCACCTTCACTTAACATCAGGTGGGGTGAAGTCATTTAACGGAGACGGACCTATATATATATATTCAGATTCAGATTCATTTATTCATTGTTTAAACTGGGTACAATAAGATGGTAACATTATGTATCAAAATACAGATCCAAACAGTCTGCCCATTTCGGACGTACAATGTCAATAGTTAATTAAAATTATTTTACAATGTCAAAAATTCAAATTAAAGTACCTAAATAATAATATTCAATTAAAATTAATTTCATAAGTTAAAATTATAATTTGCATTCAATGAATATAAAATAAAATTATCATCTATAATAATTAATTAAAAATAAAATCATTAAGATTTACAGTTATAAAATTCCTTAAGATTGTAAAAACTGTTTTTCAATTAGCAATTTTTTTATTTTATTTTTGAAATTTTATAAAAAATAAAAATAAAAAGAAAACGATTACTGGGTATGCATTTTAAACATACTCCTAAGTGAAACAGAGCCCATCGATTCCTAGTACGTAACAGATTTGTTTCAATATTTCTTTACAATGTCATCCTTTTTTGGAACGAAGTTCCTTACGGCAGGCTTGGAGGGGATAGGGATTTTGCTGCGCGACCGAACTGAAAAAAATGTGATAGTAAAACCGTAAGAAAAAATCCGTGGAAAAAAGTGCGTGGAATAAAACCGTTAAATGAGACGTGCGCAGGCGCGACAGTCGCATACACAAGCGAGTTTGCAATTTGTGTCGATTCTACATTAGCCGAAGGAACTTCGTTCCTACCTGATGTCCCACGACACCACATCATTTCTTTTTAATATATTCACTACCCATGCTTTAGTAGTCTACATTTTTGGCATTGTTATCCAGGGAAATTCATGTCTGTTATGAAATCATCTTTCATTCAAACACAGCATTGACAAAAACTATGATTGCTTAAGCAATAGCAGTGTTTTACTTAGCTTTTGCCAAAGCGCAGTCCTTTAAGAATACGTGGTTTTCGTCAGCGTTCCTCTGTATAAAGTCATAATGTAACTCTCAAAACCACTATCATCATTCTCTTCAGCCTATTAATGTCCCCACTGCTGGGCCACAGGTCTTCCCTATGGATGGAATAGGGAGATAGGGCCGTGACCCAGCACGCGGGCCCAATGCGTATTGGTGGGTGTTAACGACTGCAAATGCAGCCGAGACTAACGGCTAAACGTGCCTTTCGAAGTACGGTACTCGGGATAATAAGTTTTCGGTCACCCATCCAATAACTGACCATTGCGAAAGTTGCTTAACTTCCGCAATCGCAGGTCGAACGCGTTAATCACCTGCGCCATCATGCTCTTCAACCACAACCACTTATTTCTGCCAAAAGAGATACCTAACGAATAATTGTTAAATTCTTACTTTCATATACTACTGACATTAGGTTTCCAAAGCCTGCCAGTCGCTTTGCATGTGGGTACACGCCATGTATAAGTTCTACCACGTGAATAAAGCGGTTGCGCCCAAGAAGGAAGCTTTGGATCGCGCCACTAAAGAATTGGCCGCTGTCGAAGGTAGGTCATCATCACCACCCTATTAAAGACTGCTGGGGCACAGCCCTTCCCTTTAAATGGAATAGGGAGGTTGGGCTATGACCCACAGACTGCAGATGCAGCCGGGACCAACGGCTTAACATGCCAGTCGGAGGAGCTCGAGATAGTAGCGCTGGCGATTCTTTCCAATAAAGATCGATTTTTAAATCGATTCGAATCGTGACCTAATGAAACGATCCACAAAAAATCGAGGCTCATTAAGATCGATTTCTGAAAAATCGTTTTTTGTTTCAAGTTTTTGTTTATAATGTAATATAAATCTATTGTATTAAAAGCGAGATACATTTTATAATAAAACTATCTCTTATCAGGAAAATCAGGTAATTCGATGATTAAAAATATTTTTATTCAAAGATTACAAACAAACGTACTTTTATTATTAAAGAGGGGCGAAGGAATCCAAACATACAGCCAACTCGCGAGTTTTTGAATATTTACCCCTTTAACCGGCAGCACTCTTATAATACGGGTATAAATTGTAAATACTTTTTTGGTTTATACCAAAAAATAAAATAAATTCGACTGTCTATTTGCAAGGGTGAAATATTGATTCACTGAATCGATTCAGAACTACATATCGCTTTATAAAATTGATCTTTTTGGCTCCAAAAATAGATTCTTTGATTAATCGACCTCAGATCGCCATCCCTACGAGATAGTGAATTAAGTAGGTAGAAGGCAAGTAAACGATTAGTAATTGTGAATCCTTCCAACTCAATTGTCATTTTACTAGCGATATCAGAATTAATGATACAATTAAAAAAATCTGTGACTCCCTATTTTATTGATAGATAACTAAAAATCTGTATGTTATTGACCAAATAGAAAAAAGGAATTTATCATTAAAGCCAGGCATTACGGATAAGCAAAGTGAATAATTTTAATTTGTACTAAGACAGTACAAATTATATATATGTAGTAGACATTTGTATACAACAACAGTATTTTGATTAACAATGTTGATTTGTTGTTATATCGTTTGCGTAGGATTCAATTAATGCATTATATTATATGATTTGCGTTCTTATTTTGATATAACGATATCGTTGATTTGAGGTAAATAGATTTAAAATTAAAATATGATTTTCAATAGTAGGATCTAATATCTCAGGGCTTTTATCTACTATTGCAAACTGAGTTGAAAAGTCTGAGTTTCTTGCCGGTTTTACTCAGTACAAGGTCTCCCGTAGATTTGAGAACCGATGGCGTAGCTTTTCGACATTCACAAGTGCTTGTAACAGCCTAGACTGAATAAACGATATTGCATTTTAAAATAACAGAACGCAGTATTAAACAGTTAAATAATACCGATAGCGATGTTGGCAAACGCAAAGGCGAAGATGCAAGCATTGTTGGAAGGCATAGCAAAGTTGAACGCTTACCTTCAGGAGAAGGAGGAGGAGAAACGGAAGATGGAGGAAGACATCAATCTGTGTCTCGCACGAATGGACCGCGCTAATAGGTAATATTATACAGGGTGTTACAAAAATACAAATAAAGCTTGAAGGGCGTTGGAAGTACATCATATACGGTATTTTCTTAAAATATTTGCATGAAGTTCTAACTTTTATAAAAACAGTTATTTTTAATGATCCTCGTACTAGTGAAGTGTCTTAAAATGATCGATATTTTTATTAATCATTAAAAATAACTGTTTTTATAAAAAGTTAAAAGTTCATGCAAATATTTAAAGAAAATTAGAGAAGACTCCTTATATGATGTACTTCAACGCCCTTCAAGCTTTATTTGTATTTTTGTAACACCCTGTATAGCAGAACAATCATTTATTATCTGCCTATTAATGTCCCTTGTGCTGGGGCACAGGCCTTCCCCAGAGATGGAATAAACAGACTAGGCTATGACCCACCACGCGGGCCCAGTGCTAACGATTGCCGATGCAGACGGCTTATCGTGTCTTTCAAAGAATGGAGGAGCTCGAGATAATAAGGTTTTAGTCATGCATCCAATGTGTGGCCATTGCGAAAGTTACTTGCGCCATTAAGTTTCTCATGGCATCATTATCATCTAATAAGATTTTTTTAAATCTGGTAAATATGACATCTGACCTCATGAATCATCTCTTAAAGAAGTCATTTATCAACTTGACGTCTCTGTATCTAACCTTGAAAACATTACCCTCTTTTTTTAGACAGTCGTGTAAAAAACAGCCCTTGCTGAGTTTATTGCTGGTATTTCCCAAACACAAGGTTACCCACCGTAGATTTGCAAACCGATGGCGAAATGAAATTCATTACAGCTTCTGGATTTGAATTAAAACAAGGGTAGTGGATAAAAAATTACTGATACACTTTGTGGCATAATGATTCATGCGCCAATAATCAATACCTAGTAAAATTTTGTTAAAATGTAAATGCAGAGACGTTCGTTTCGTTTTCTAATATTTTTTTTCAAAAAAAGACATTTAAAAACCATTGAATTGGGATAAAAGTTCAATAATAAATATAAACGTTAATTATTTACATTATTTCCAGTCATGTATGTTGCTACGATTGAAATCCATTGGCTAATTTGTTTCTTAGGTTTTCACGCACATCACTCATTAAATAAAACTAGTTTTTACGGGTTAATGCACGAAACTTTATTTATTTATTGACGTTTCGTAGCCTTTACAGGCTACGTCGTCAGAATCAAACTTTTATTTAATTTGTCGAGCTACCTTCGAAAGACTTATTGAGCGTTCAGTTATTTCATTCTACTAGTTTTATCCATTGGCTAACTTTTTGGCAGTCTTTAATTTAGAACTTGCATTGGTAATGTTATTTTTTTTTGTCTACTATATATATATATTAAAATTATAATTGGCAGGCTATTGAATGGTTTGTCGAGTGAGCGTGTCCGCTGGATCAGCACAATCAAGAAGTTGGACGTGGATATAGTCAATTTGATCGGAGATATTCTTATTAGCGCCTGTAAGTTGTAAAGGACAATGGGCAAAATTGCATGGACACTGCACCCACGTCCGCCACGGCTTAAACTACATTTGTTTGAAAGGTATCATAGTCATGATCATTTGTGCCAAAGCGCATCAAATTCCATCCCGGGAGTCTTTAGTTATTTTAAGTTAAATAGGTACAATCCCATAGGTAAAAGTAACTATAACGAACATAATATTTAAAGATACAAGGACGAGTATATAGAACGGATATATTAATTGACGACCACGGAGGTCGTCAATTAATATATCCGAGTCGAGTGGTTTGTACGCCGGGTTTCATGGTGTCGCTGGCTCGAGAGGTCCCGGGTTCGAATCCTGGTGGGGGCAGATGTTTGTGTGCTGAGTACGAGCATTTAAATTGATCCATAGATTTTTTATTAGCTCGTACGATTATAATGACGTACGCGATGATAATCGTGTTCCTATTTCTAAAGCGTGTTAGTTAAATATTAATGAAATAACAGGGAGCGCACAAAATGTAAGACATAGGACTGCATACGAGTAGACTAGTTGCAACGGCAACTGCAATATCACATCCTTCAACCCCCTGTTAGACGTTTTAAGGAGTCTCAGTAAGTGCAAGCAGCAAGCAAGCAGGATAGTTGGTAGGCTTTGTTGTTTAGTATTTTGTATCTGGTTGTACAGTAAGATATGATTCACTCACTTATTATTGCTAATATTATAAAACGAAAGTACTATTGATATTGAATGAATTTCTTTAGCTATTTAAATATCATCATCATCAGCCTATTAATGTCCCCACTGCTGGGGCACAGGCCTTCCCTATGGATGAAATAGGGAGATTGGGCCATGACCCACCACGCGGGCCCAGTGCGGATTGGCGGGTGCTAACGACTGCAGATGCAGCCGGGACCAACGGCTTAACGTGCCTTCCGAAGCACGGAGGAACTCGAGATAGATGTTTTTGGTCACCCATCCAATGACCGACCACTGCGGAAGTTGCTTAACTTCAACGATCGCAACCGAACGCGCTAACCACCTGCGCCATCGAGCTTCTCTATAAGGAGCTATTTAAATATGCCCGAGTGTAACCGGTCCCCATGACTTACACACAAAGGTCGTCTATAAGGACTATGTGCGGAAACCTTAACCCCTAATATAGAACATACCCAGGTGTATATCTTTCGACCTCCAGGTTATTTTTTTTTGGTGCCATAATAAAAAAGGCTAGTTTTTCAAAGATCTATCGATTCATACTAATTACATTGTTGGCGGAGCTGGGTGCGTTTTGCCCATTGTCCTTTAATTTTCAAAACACGCGTTGGATTAATTTATTCTCCGAATCAAACGAAGTTCTGATTCCAAGAGAACGGACTTTTAGATCGGTGCCAAGTAATTTCTCTTTGTTTACCTACTTGTTTCATTTGTTGATTCACCAAGCAGAAGTAATTAAGTAATAAATTTGCAAAATCTGTTTTGATTTATGAAATTTTCAAGTTTGCTTCAAATTGTTCTGCTTTGGATTGTGTTGTTGGTTTAAAAAACTTTAGATACAGCGTAAAATTGTTTGATTCTATGTTTTTTTGTTTAGATAATAGGGTATTTGACAAGTTTTAGAAAACGATCTCACGTTATTGACGAATGTTTATGGAGTCCGTAAAAAGTAGATATTCATCTTTCTGTTGTGTATTTCAGTAAAAATAACCAAATCAAAAACTTCATTTTCACGTTGCCGCGAAAACGTTTTTCTGGACAATATGGCGTCTTACTAGTGTGTGACGTCACACGACTGTTATTAAAACGTCAAACGATACAATGTAATGTCACTTTAACCGGAAGTTTACTTGCGTGTGACGTCATTTTAAGCTCCTCCAATCCCAAGCGTTTTGGGTCACGTGACAGTAGATAAGAAAACTATTATCTTTTTCGTGGGTTTTTAGTAAAATTATGAATATTTTTTTTGTAAAAATAGTAATAACTGCCAATATTCATTCTAAACACAGATGCTAACAATTGGCACTTTATTTTTAATACTGTCAAATACCCTATTGTCCTACTTTTGACTGATGATTCTCTTAAAAACTTAAAAGTCTATTTGACATCAGTCTCTCCTTTTCATAATTTATAGAGCAAGATAAAGACATACGTTTGACAAAATTTGTAAAGTTTATGTTAGAATCAGACCCAAAACATCTTTATAAAGGTAACATTCTTAAACTTTTTCTGCACCGATAATATTATTTTCATTTCTCATTCTCGGAAAGTGGTGTTGTTTTGATCTGTTTGTTGGGTGGAAAATGCTGCTTCCCTCCCTAGAGATGGAAAAACTCATACAAATTACTTCCCGCCTAAGGGCCAGAATGAACTTTAAAAATAAAACTACTGTCAATATTATTGATAAACAACTAGTTTTATTTTCCTCATATTCGAAATGAAAAGTACAGTGTTTAACTCGGGTAAAAGAATCAATTCCTACTCCGCGTCTAAATACCTCGGGAATTGATTCTTTCCACCCTCGGTTAACAATCTACTATTTTTATAGAATATAAGAAATTCTTTTTCATTAAGGTGCTGTTGGCTATATTACACCATTTACTGACGAGTTCAGGAGGGAATTGCTCTCTCAGTGGATGACCCATATGGAGGTATAGTATCTAAGAGTCTTCGCTTGAGAGTCAGAGTTTAAGCTTTGTTTTGATTACAATGAAGATCAAATACCTAATTAACTGTAATTACAATATACTGTAATATAATATCCAGTTGAATATTGAGTTAAGTTAAATATTATGATTTCTGTGAAGAACATTAACATTTATATTTCATTAATAAGTCTAGTTTTCATTAACCTAACAAACTCCATAATTTCCAAATCGTATACAATTAAAACTGGAAAAGTTGTAGTACTTACTTTTGCAAATTCTTTATTATAGGAAGTTGCGGTGCCTCATACTAGTGGTGCTACGCCTTTGTCCATTCTTGGTGATGCTGTGTTAATTAGGTGCGTAAAAAAATATATATAACCTCGGAATCTGAGCAATGTACGTGGTAGTGTCCAATATTTTAAATTACTCATGAAAAGTGTACGTGGATTAAAAACGGTTTTTATATTTTATTTCAACATCACCAGTCTATTAATGTCCCCACTGCTGGGGCACAGGCGTTCCCTATGGATGGAATAGGGAGATTGGGCCACATCTAATGTCCAATCGCGGGCTGAACCTGCTATCCACCTGCGCCATTGTGCTTCTCAATCGTGCTTTTATATTAATTAATTAAAAATTAATTCTATTTACTTATTATTTTCTTTTATATTAATTAATTCCTTATATTGATAAAAATATACATTGCGTTCTTCGCCTGAACTCATTAATTCTCCACCTTTCACTTCATTGAGCTGTCGAACATGATTAATATTATTTTGATGTGTTCAAAACATTGGTAACATACTTTATCAAGTATTTGTTATTTGGGGTAAATTACCAAGTTTGTTTACAGCATTAGTAGTATAACTACGATGGTGGATAATAAAAACAACGATGATTATGTCACCATAACACTTAAAAATAGCAATAACATTATTATAACAAATACAATGAGTGAAACTGTTTTTATGTGAAAAGGGTGCAAAAAAGCATATGGTCCGCCTGATAGAGAGCGGCCACCATAGCCAATAGACGCTTTATCGCAAGCTATCATTCTTGCAGTTGTCTACCCTGTACCCATCCCCTAGCCAATTGAGAATGATTGGAAACTAAGTAAGTAATATAATCTGTTGTAACCATTCTTTTTATCCGTAAATAAATTATGGTTATTACCTATTATAGGAATTGGCAAATGTACGGTCTACCTCGGGACCCTCTCTCTGTGGAGTCAGCTGTACTGATGTCGAATTCCAGACGTTGGCCGCTCATTATCGATCCTCAGACTCAAGCAAATAAATGGATTCGAGCTATGGTGATAAGATAACTAACATTTATAGAAATAATACAGGGCAGAATGGCCGCTTTCCATTTTATTTAATGTTCCATCTTCGATTGCTCCTTTTCGAGTTATGTTTTTGCTACAAAATTAGTAAAAGCCTAACAGATATTCGGTTATATTTGGATTTATAAATTAGTATGAAAATTACACGGATAAACATAATTTTAAACATTCAATTAATTGACTTAACTGGTTTCAAATTCAGTTAAATCCACATATCAATATTTTCAAACCGAGTATGCAGCTAGCTTCATTTTCTAGTAAACAACAAATGAGGGCTATCGCGTATGAATCCGCCGCTAGAGGCGCTAGTGTAGCGTGAGGTCTCCGAAATGTCAAATGTTATTGCTTGTTGGTTGACTACGCGGGTTTATTTCTTATTAAAATAATGTTGTGAATAATTGGTAACAATTCGGCTTAATTATGGCAAATATGAGTTATGTGGCAATGAATGTCAGTTATTAAAAATTTGAGCTTAGAAAAATGATTATGTTACCATTTTTTCCGAATAAAACGGAACTGCGCGTCACTGTGGCATGGCCTATTATGTTTAGGATATGGTTCTTTTGTGTTAAAATACGATCTAAATGTAACCTTTGATTTCATGTGCGTATTAATAAACTTTAAAAGTTACAATTTAGGACCTCACTCAACAGTGGCGCCATCTGGTGAGACAGAAAACGGTAGCCCTCATTAGTTGCGTTCAAAATCATCGATATCGCAGCATTTTGCCTTTAAAATCACTTCGAAAAGTCACATTGGTGTCAGATCCACAAGAACTAATGGAACTAACAGTGCCAGATCCGAGCAACGAATCAGAGTCATGTATTTAGTATGAGCCGTCATGTTGAGCAGCCATTTTGTTCTTGTTGTGAGCTGCTTCTCACAGATGTCTTATTTAAAAAACAGCCAGATTCTTAAAATTTTCGTTATGCACTAACAATCAAAGCCAAATACAGACTTCACTTTCAAATTCAGTCAGATCCAAAATCAAAATGCCATTATTTGTATTGGGACAAAAAATACTTTTCAATGGAGCATTCTGAAAGGCCTGTTTAAATCTCACACCGAAATTTTGAATATCACCGGTGCTGCCATAATAGTAACAGAAATCGTATCCTACTGAAAAAAAAGGTGTCCGTGATGCTAGCGTACCCAGGATTAATATACGGTTTTTCGTTATGCCATTAAATACTGCATAAATAGTGCCAAATTAGTGTAAAAATCAAAAAAATAGTGCCTCTTTAAATTAAGAAATAAAGACCATTTTTAATGTGTACGCTACCATGACGTCAAGCTAGCGTACCCATGGCCGACCCCAAGAACGGCATATATTTAAGCAACGAAATCGGCACACAAAAATAGTGCTCAAATAGTGCCCTGGCTTTACAAAATTTCATAATCAATAGTCTTAAAGGACCAAAGATATTGAAGTAAACATTCTTAGCTGGCGTCAACCTGGCGTACCCATAATAGTTCTCATAGAAAATGAACTTTTCTCGTTATCAATTCGATATGTATAAATAGTGTGTCAAATAGTGCCTCCAACAGTAAAAGTATTTTATGTGAATTCGCAGTAAAACAATATAAAAAAAGCAATTAAATTATTTTTTATATATGAAGTACAGTCATGTACAGAAGTGATAATATTTTCGTAGTATAGTAGGTAAGTAAGGTACTTAGTAGGTAGGTAGAAATTCTTAAATGAATTTATGATTGGTGAATTCGAATTGAAATAAAATATCTTTTAAAAAAAGTACCTATTTATTTTAGTAAAAATACATATAAAGATAATCTCTTAGTGTATAAATTAATTTTGTGTGCAACTGTACTACAATACATTTGTTCCTAGAATTTAACATCCTCCTTATGTATTGTTGTGATGCGGAGTCACATAAAATACTTTTACTGTTAGAGGCACTATTTGACACACTATTTATACATATAGAATTGATAACGAGAAAAGTTCATTTTCTATGAGAACTATTATGTGTACGCCAGGTTGACGCCAGCTAAGAATGTTTAGTTCAATATCTTTGGTCCTTTAAGAGTATTGATTATGAAATTTTGTAAAGCCAGGGCACTATTTGCGAACTATTTTTGTGTGTCAATTTCGTTGCTTAAATATATGCGGTTCTTGGGGTCGGCCATGGGTACGCTAGCTTGACGTCATGGTAGCGTACACAGTAAAAATGGTCTTTATTTCTTAAATTAAAGAGGCACTATTTTTTTGATTTTTACACTAATTTGGCACTATTTACGCAGTATTTAATGGCATAACGAAAAACCGTATATTGATCGTGGGTACGCTAGCATCACGGACACAAAAAAAAGTAAGAAGTGGATTTGGCTGAATTTGAAATCAGTCAATTCCTTCAGCGAGACCAGTGGGTATTAGTAAATATGCACGTGGTGGGCTATGGATGGCCCAATATTCTCATTCTAGCTATCGGCTGATGATGATGAGCTAGATTGATTAACTAGAACTGATATGTTTTTCTGTAAACTGTAAAATAACCTAATATGTATATTGTAATTATTCTGAATATCAGGGTAAAATCGAAGGTCTGGTGGTATGTAAGCCTAACGACAGAGATTTATTGAGGAACTTTGAGTCGGCGCTTCGTTTCGGTAAACCGATTTTGTTGGAGAACGTTGGACAAGAGCTGGACCCTGCCTTGGATCCTGTGTTGAAGGTTCGATTTGTATAGTACTGTAGGTGCATTACTTTGAATAGCTATATCTCAAAAGAGTAATATTCAGTAGTGAATCTTCTTCCATCTTACTCTAACTTACATAATACTTTTTAAGGCAGAGTAGGACACAATACGACGAAGTTCAGGATACATCTTTTTAGGAGTATCTGTTTCGTTATTTTATCATATATTATTTAGTAGGAATCTTTAGTAGTGTTTACAAATCTTTGTTTTTTTCCTAGCGGCAATACTTTCGTCAAGCCGGGCAGTTAGTATTGAAACTGGGCGACTCGCTGATTCCATATATGGCTGGCTTTAGACTATACATTACCACCAAGTTGCCCAATCCAAAATATACCCCCGAAGCTTCTGTCAAAGTGCAAATCGTTAACTTTGCGCTCGTACCAAGGTATTTGGATAATGGATTTTTAAAGTTTAACATAAATTAAGTAAGATAAGCACTAGTAATATTTTGGGGTTGATCTTAGGCTGTCGAGGTCGCAGCGTGACTAGCCTACATATCGTAAAATGGCTAGATATCATTTAGTCTAGACCTTTAATTGACTACATCGCATAAGGACTCGATTTTTATTTGACCACATCACATAATGGTTACATCGCAGAATTACGAAATCTTTTTTTTATCACATCACAGCATAATGACTAGGTCGCAAAATGTCTAGATAAGTTTATTGACTAAACTGATACACGTATGCAAATAATATATTTTTCGATGTAGTCATTATGTGATGAGGTCAAACCACGATCTAGACGAAATGATATCTAGCCATTTTGCGATATAGTCATTAATGGAGGCTAGACACACTGCAACCTAGACAAATTGAGATCAACCCATATTTTGAATAAATAAATAGGTGATAATTTAGTAAAAAACATAGGATGACGTATCATCAACATGTTTACCAATATGCCACATCACATAAACAACGTTCCATAATTTGAATAAGATGCTAAAACATAAAACATGACTTTAAGTAAAAAAAAGTAATTATAATTTGGTAACTCCAGTGGTCTAGCCGAACAGTTGCTCTCCATCGTGGTAGCTCAAGAGCGCCCTGATTTGGAAGAGTTGCGTGGTCAGCTAATCGTGTCGAGAGCCCAAATGGCTTCTCAATTGGCGGAAATGCAAGCGGACATATTGTACGGTCTATCGAATAGTGAAGGATCGCCGGTGGACGATCTACCCCTCATCCTGACCTTGGAAGCCATCAAGATAAAGAGCGCGGAGATCCTTGTGAGTTTTATAAAACTAATTTACTACCAGAACAGGAACTAAAGCATATAAATAGTAATGCTGTGACGTTTGTGGTTTGAGCGTACTCTCCCAAAAACAATAGATAAAGGAACATATTTCCAAACAAAGTATTATTACCCAACTTAAAAGTACTAGTGGCGTGTTAGCAGGTTGCATTTGACATTGGATCACTTTTTGATTCGATATAGTAAAGACAAATAAAGTATCCAATTTGACGTAACAGGCCATACAGGGAATAAAAATAGTATTATTAACATCTTTCCACTATTTAATATGCAATATGCTATTATTTTCTGGTTTACTGATGATATTTTTTTTCAAAACACCACCTTGTAAAAGGTTTATGATAAAAGTTTGGGCATTTGTAGCATTATTCATTGGCTTGTTCATTTCGTCTTTATCAATGCCTGTTTTTTTTATTGTGTATGTCAAATTAAACGTAGTTTTCATTGTACATCAGGTAAAAGTAGAAGATATTGAGAAAACAACTACAGAAATAGAGATTGCTCGTGAAGACTATATCCCTGTCGCCAATCGCGGGCAGATTCTGTTCTTTTGCCTATCGGGCATGGCCAACGTCGACCCAATGTATCAATACTCTTTGGAATGGTTTGTCAAGTTGTTCATAAGGAGTATGGCAGAGACGGAACCTAATGGTAAGTTTTGTAAACTAAGTGATGCTTTTTCTTTACATAAGTTAGTCAAGTTGTTGCTTCTTCATCTCATAGTCATGGTACTCATATAAAGTCAATTCATAATTAAAGATGAAATGTTGTCAGTATATGTTCACTTATCCTTCATATAAGAATTCTCTTTATACCACCCAATAGGGATGATGACAATTTTTTTTTCTTCGTTTATCAGGTAGATTATCAAAAAGTATTGGACACGTTTTTTTTTCTTTTTTCACATAATATAAACATTGCAGAGATATTTAAATCTAAAGAAAATATAACTAGAAAAAATTCCACGCGGACCAGGCAGCAGACGGGACTCGAACCCGCACCCTTCGCAATCCGGGCGAATGCACTGACCAATTATGCTACCGCGGCCCTCACGGACCGCGTCGAAATTCCTTCTAGCTATTCTTAAGCTGCAAGGCAGCGCCATCTCTTCGCATTATAGGTAAACCCACAATGTCAAATGAATACTTTTACAAGTATTAAACATTTGAAAGAAGAAATAGCAATTATAGTTATAATTTTTATTATTTTTAAAGCATGTAACTGCTTGATGTTTAAATCTAAAGAAAATATAACTAGAAAAAATTCCACGCGGACCAGGCAGCAGACGGGACTCGAACCCGCACCCTTCGCAATCCGGGCGAATGCACTGACCAATTATGCTACCGCGGCCCTCACGGACCGCGTCGAAATTCCTTCTAGCTATTCTTAAGCTGCAAGGCAGCGCCATCTCTTCGCATTATAGGTAAACCCACAATGTCAAACGAATACTTTTACAAGTATTAAACATTTGAAAGAAGAAATAGCAATTATAGTTATAATTTTTATTATTTTTAAAGCATGTAACTGCTTGATGTTTAAATCTAAAGAAAATATAACTAGAAAAAATTCCACGCGGACCAGGCAGCAGACGGGACTCGAACCCGCACCCTTCGCAATCCGGGCGAATGCACTGACCAATTATGCTACCGCGGCCCTCACGGACCGCGTCGAAATTCCTTCTAGCTATTCTTAAGCTGCAAGGCAGCGCCATCTCTTCGCATTATAGGTAGGAATTTTTTCTAGTTATATTTTCTTTAGATTTAAACATCAAGCAGTTACATGCTTTAAAAATAATAAAAATTATAACTATAATTGCTATTTCTTCTTTCAAATGTTTAATACTTGTAAAAGTATTCATTTGACATTGTGGGTTTACCTATAATGCGAAGAGATGGCGCTGCCTTGCAGCTTAAGAATAGCTAGAAGGAATTTCGACGCGGTCCGTGAGGGCCGCGGTAGCATAATTGGTCAGTGCATTCGCCCGGATTGCGAAGGGTGCGGGTTCGAGTCCCGTCTGCTGCCTGGTCCGCGTGGAATTTTTTCTAGTTATATTTTCTTTAGATTTAAACATCAAGCAGTTACATGCTTTAAAAATAATAAAAATTATAACTATAATTGCTATTTCTTCTTTCAAATGTTTAATACTTGTAAAAGTATTCATTTGACATTGTGGGTTTACCTATAATGCGAAGAGATGGCGCTGCCTTGCAGCTTAAGAATAGCTAGAAGGAATTTCGACGCGGTCCGTGAGGGCCGCGGTAGCATAATTGGTCAGTGCATTCGCCCGGATTGCGAAGGGTGCGGGTTCGAGTCCCGTCTGCTGCCTGGTCCGCGTGGAATTTTTTCTAGTTATATTTTCTTTAGATTTAAACATCAAGCAGTTACATGCTTTAAAAATAATAAAAATTATAACTATAATTGCTATTTCTTCTTTCAAATGTTTAATACTTGTAAAAGTATTCATTTGACATTGTGGGTTTACCTATAATGCGAAGAGATGGCGCTGCCTTGCAGCTTAAGAATAGCTAGAAGGAATTTCGACGCGGTCCGTGAGGGCCGCGGTAGCATAATTGGTCAGTGCATTCGCCCGGATTGCGAAGGGTGCGGGTTCGAGTCCCGTCTGCTGCCTGGTCCGCGTGGAATTTTTTCTAGTTATATTTTCTTTAGATTTAAACATCAAGCAGTTACATGCTTTAAAAATAATAAAAATTATTGCAGAGATATATTGATTTGAAAAGTCGCATGACGTCACGTTTGAGTACACTTTTAAGCGAATATTCACTAAAATGTGACGTCACGAGCCCCTACTCCCAAACTTTGACGCGCTATAACTTTGTCATTTTTTGGTTGATTGCCCAAAGAAAAAATACGTGTCCATTATTTTTTGATCATCTAGCTGACGGACTAAATAGAATTTCGTTTACTGTACCCCGTCATCACCCCTATATACAAGAGACGACGAAGATCTTATCGGCACATCATTTATTTTAACGGACTCCATAATTATAACACAACCATAGTATATAAATTGACTTAGATTGAAGCTACCTGATGCTTCCGACTTAACCAAAAAATTTGATAAGCGTTAGCTAAGCATTTCTCTTATACAGAGGCAATAATGGAACGCGTGGAGACTATCATTGACCATTTCACATTTTTGCTGTATACGAATGTGTGTCGGAGTCTATTTGAACGTCACAAACTATTGTTTGCGTTCTTATTGTGTGCTCGAATACTGCTTGACCGTCATATTATACGGCAACAGGAGTTTGACTTTCTGTTAAACGGCGCGAAGATTGAAGAGGTGAGTTTATAATACAATTATTCTATACTAATATTATAAAGCTGCAGAGTTTGTTTGTTTGAACGCGCTAATCTCTGGAACTACTGGTCCGATTTGAATGATTCTTTCAGTGTTGGGTAGTCCATTTATTGAGGAAGGCTATATTTTTTTTTTCAAAATTAGGGATACGTAATAAAATTGATATTTTGTAACACAAGGTGTAAAATCGAAAACCTATTTTTGCGTGCGCTGCAAAAACTATTGACAATAGAACAAAATGACTATCTGATCTACGGGTTTGTAGATCCCATTAAGACCTACAAAAAAGTCCGCGAGAACATATATCTAGCTATCATGGTTTAATCGCAATAACCGATTTTGTGTTCAAAATAATTATTAAAACGTCTGAAGAAAAAAAAAGAGCTCGATGGCGCAGGTGGTTAGCGCGTTCAGCTGCGATCGTTGTAGTTAAGCAACTTTCGCAGTGGTCGGTCGTTGGATGGGTGACCAAAAATTTCTATCTCGAGTTCCTCCGTGCTTCGGAAGGCACGCTAAGCCGTTGGTCCCGGTTGCATCTGCAGTCGTTAGCACCCGCCAATCCGCACTGGGCCCGCGTGGTGGGTCATGGCCCAATCTCCCTATTCCATCCATAGGGAAGGACTGTGACCCAGCAGTGGGGACATTAAGAGGCTGATGATGATGATGAGCGTTACCAATTACCTAATCTTGAACCATGATAATTTAATATCTAAAGTCCTGTAGAATAAACAAACAAGATTTTTGTTTCCTATCTATTTTGTTATTAATACAAGTAACTGTCATTATAGATTTGGTTAAAAAAATATGTCGTAGGAGGATTGGTCAAATGTTTTTAACATGGTGAAATGTGGTTATCTTTACAAATAAATTCTTATAAAATAAGTTAAAATTAGAGAATTCGTTCGAAAGTTAGTATTTATTTTGTTTCTTTCATTTTACTGGATTTTTTCTACGAAAGATCATGATTTAAAGTCCTTTCCAACTATTTATTAATCAGGAATTAGAGAACCCCGAACCCAAATGGATATCGCCACGTATGTGGCTGGATATGCAGCAGCTAGCTTCACTGCAAACTATGAAACAATTCGTCTTAGATGACTTTCTACAGCAAATCAAGTTCTTCAAGACTTACTACGATTCTTACAATCCGCAAAGGTAAGGTCGACGAACTAATAATCCCAAAAAAATATCCTAGGTAAGAGATACACTTACCTGGCTGCCTAGAGTTACTTACGGTGTTATAGAAAACCACAATCCGCAAAGGTAAGTTCGACGAACTAATAATCCCAAAAAAATATCCTAGTTAAGAGATACATTTACCTGGCTGCCTAGAGTTACTTAAGGTGTTATAGAAAACCACAATCCGCAAAGGTAAGTTCGACGAACTAATAATCCCCAAAAAAATATCCTAGGTAAGAGATACACTTACCTGGCTGCCTAGAGTTACTTAAGGTGTTATAGAAAACCACAATCCGCAAAGGTAAGGTCGACGAACTAATAATCCCAACAAAAATATCCTAGGTAAGAGATACACTTACCTGGCTGCCTAGAGTTACTTAAGGTGTTATAGAAAACCACAATCCGCAAAGGTAAGGTCGACGAATTAATAATCCCAACAAAAATATCCTAGGTAAAAGATACGCTTACCTGGCTGCTTAGAGTTACTTACGGTGTTATAGAAAACCACAATCCGCAAAGGTAAGTTCGACGAACTAATAATCCTAAAAAAATATCCTAGGTAAGAGATACATTTACCTGGCTGCCTAGAGTTACTTAAGGTGTTATAGAAAACCACAATCCGCAAAGGTAAGTTCGACGAACTAATAATCCCAAAAAAAATATCCTAGGTAAGAGATACACTTACCTGGCTGCCTAGAGTTAAATAAGGTGCTATAGAAAACCACAATCCGCAAAGGTAAGTTCGATGAACTAATAATCCCAAAAAAATATCCTAGGTAAGAGATACACTTACCTGGCTGCCTAGAATTACTTAAGGTGTTATAGAAAACCACAATCCGCAAAGGTAAGGTCGACGAACTAATAATCCCAACAAAAATATCCTAGGTAAGAGCTACGCTTACCTGGCTGCTTAGAGTTACTTATGGTGTTATAGAAAAACATATTTACAGTTAACTTTTGTTACTGTATAAGTGTGTCACACACTCACACAGGCCGGCAAATGCGAGCGATTAAAAAGGCACAAAAATAGTTTAATTACAACTATTTTTAGGTAGCATTCGCAATTTTGTTTTGTGGCTCAATTACACTTGCTTATGGAATTCGGACAAAAGACTAAGTGTAAATGAACGGAGTCGAGTAAACCCATATTCGGACAGTTTTCGTTTTGGTTACCCGACGCCGTGATGCGAATGCCGTGATCCGAGCAAATGTAATTGCGGCATAAGGAATTTTAAGATTAATTTTAATGCGAATGCATTTTCAATAACTTTCTCAGAAAATTTGATTCGGACGGGAGAAATGTATTTTATTTGCTTGGAAATGAGTTTTAATGAAAGAATATCCTACAATAAGGCTCAAGGTCGCCCGGCGGGCAATGGAGAGAGCTATGCTTGGTGTTTCCCTACGTGATCGAGTCAGAAATGACGACATAGCTCGAAGAATAGCCCAGCTGAAGTGGCAGTGGGCGGGACACATAGCGAGGAGAACCGATGGCCGTTGGGGCGGGAAGGTTCTCGAATGGCGACCGCGTGCCGGACGACGCTCAGTGGGAAGACCCGCTACAAGGTGGACCGACGATCTGGTGAAGGTCGCGGGAAAACGCTGGATGCGGGCAGCGCAGGACCGATCGTTGTGGAGATCCTTGGGGGAGGCCTATGTCCAGCAGTGGGTGTCATACGGCTGATATGATGATGATGATCCTACAATAACTAATGCATTGGCTAGAATTTAAATTTATTGACAGTACAATATTATCAAAAAACCGTTTGGCTTTAATAGGCTCCTTCCAATGTGATTTGGCGTTTGCGTAAATGAACATTTTCCTAAATTAGAAATGTCTTGGTACCTCTTTTGGAATGAGTTTTGCTATCTGTAATTAATCAAATGTTGGGACTCGTGCAACCATGTCTATGTCAATTTTAGTTCAAATATTTTTAAACCTAACCTAAAACCAAGCTTATGATGCATATTTTGTAGATTACCTTTCCCGAAACCTTTGGATTCGCAACTGGATGCCTTTCAAAAATTACTTGTGCTCAAGTGTCTACGACCAGATAAATTAGTACCTGGGTTGCAGGTATGATATTGGATTCAATTTTACAATAATAGTCTTCTTATGGCATCATTGATTTAGTGTAGCTAAGATAGAAGCCATGAAAACTTTATTTTTTCCTGTGCTACCGTAGAAAGGCTTGTAACGTTCCTGTAACTATTCGGAGTATTTTTAAAATTACCTCTTTCATTTTCTTTGCGTCAGCGTCGTTCGGAATATCAATGCATTATCATTTCTATTGTAAATTGCGTTTAGCGTAATATCAGCTGTTGCTAAGGATTTATTTATTTCGTTGTACAAACGTAGTATGTATAAGCACCAATGCCACAATATTAGTTAAGTGCAACACATTTCACATTTCTGGCATATACTCGTACATTTTAATACACAATACAATACTAAAAGGAGATCCGGCACTTTTCACAGAAAAAATGCTAAACTTGTATACAGTTGAATTTGGTTTCAAAATAAAGCCAAAATTATTTGCTACATAAAACTACTTTTACCTTATTTTTAGTGAATCGTAGAAAGAAGTTATATATATATTTTTTTTGTGTTACCGCTTTCTGCGATCAGTCTACACTATAAACAGAACATTTCAATGTCTTTTCGGGTGTGCGAGATGGCTTTTTCAACAAAAAGCTCTTCTCTCATTGTTCCACACTGATCTTCAGTTAATACCTGTTTTCCAGCTCTCCGATAGTACATCTTTTGAGTCTTTTGGTGTGTTTGCTAACATCAGTGAGAGCCACCGCAAGTTTATTGAAGTTATACTTCTTTAGGCGCGTTATGAAAAAATGATGAGAGTGAAATTTTAAGATGCGCGCGCATCACTGTAACACAAAATTTTAACAGCATGAAGTTGGTCGCTTTAGCCAACCAACTTCATGCGTTACTTTTGTGTTTACCGCACATTAAGAAAATCTACCAACAAAATAGAAATAGAATTTCTATTTAGTGGGTGCTAACGACTGCATTGTGACGGCCTATCAAAAGTATTTATTAATCTGGAACAACGGAACCAAAGTGCGATTCAGGAGACTACAGCGCCATCTCTTGACTATTGGTGTAGTAGAACCAAAAACCACATCTTTATTTTTTGTAATAAAGTAACAGTTATAGGTATTCATATTTATAATATTTATCCACATGTTTCTAGTTTGTATATTCGGATTACGTGTTTGAGTTTCATACAAGTGCAAATCACATATGTTCTAATAAATTATATTCAGTAGCGATTTTAATTGAATATTTTGATTATTTATTTATTTTTTCAAATTAAAACTGAACTTTATTGACTGTGTCCTTTTCCAGACTTTTTATTAATTTATTGTAATTAATTATTTGCATGCAATTAAAAACTAATTTTAAACGATGCCAAAGAAGGATAACTTCTCACGCGCCTACATAGGTACACGCACCCATTTTTTTATTCAAACTGAGACGCGCCCACGCCTTACGCCGCTTCTGCTAACAAAGTATGTTTAGAAACGAACCATGCTCTGAAATTATGGTAAAAACTTTAATATTATTTGAACTTTGTATTATTAAGCGTTCTTAATTATAAACCAACACTGTATATGCAAGCACATACTTAGTAAGTAGTAACTGTAGATCATACATTTGTCCTAGCGCGTGTACGTTTTGGTAACTTTCCACAGAGTATTTTGAGGAAAAATATTATGTTTTTATTTATTTTTAAGCATTTAACTGCTGGATGTTTAAATCTAAAGAAAAGTTTACTAGAAAAAAATCCACACGGACCAGGCAGCGGACGGGACTCGAACCCGCACCCTTCGCAATCCGGGCGAATGCACTGACCATTATGCTACCACGGCCCTATTGGCCGCGTCAAAATCTTCCTAGCCTTAAGCTGCAAGGCAGCGCCATCTCTTCGCATTGTAGGTAACCCACAATGTCAAATGCGGAAGGGTGCGGGTTCGAGTCCCGTCCGCTGCCTGGTCCGCGTGGATTTTTTTTAGTAAACTTTTATTTACATTTAAAAATATTATGTCTCAATTACTCTGGAGCCTTTGATTACAAATACGTGTTTTGTCATAGGACTATGTAGTGGCGGGTATGGGAGCTGGTTTCGTAGAGCCGCAACCGGCTGACCTGGCCGCTTTGTTTAGATTTAAAAATATTATGTTTCAATTACTCTGGAGCCTTTGATTACAAGTATGTGTTTTGTCATAGGACTATGTAGTGGCGGGTATGGGAGCTGGTTTCGTAGAGCCGCAACCGGCTGACCTGGCCGCTTTGTTTAGATTTAAAAATATTATGTTTCAATTACTCTGGAGCCTTTGATTACAAGTATGTGTTTTGTCATAGGACTATGTAGTGGCGGGTATGGGAGCTGGTTTTGTAGAGCCGCAACCGGCTGACCTGGCCGCTTTGTTTAGATTTAAAAATATTATGTTTCAATTACTCTGGAGCCTTTGATTACAAGTATGTGTTTTGTCATAGGACTATGTAGTGGCGGGTATGGGAGCTGGTTTCGTAGAGCCGCAACCGGCTGACCTGGCCGCTTTGTTTAGATTTAAAAATATTATGTTTCAATTACTCTGGAGCCTTTGATTACAAGTATGTGTTTTGTCATAGGACTATGTAGTGGCGGGTATGGGAGCTGGTTTCGTAGAGCCGCAACCGGCTGACCTGGCCGCTTTGTTTAGATTTAAAAATATTATGTTTCAATTACTCTGGAGCCTTTGATTACAAATACGTGTTTTGTCATAGGACTATGTAGTGGTGGGTATGGGAGCTGGTTTCGTAGAGCCGCAACCGGCTGACCTGGCCGCTTTGTTTAGATTTAAAAATATTATGTTTCAATTACTCTGGAGCCTTTGATTACAAATACGTGTTTTGTCATAGGACTATGTAGTGGCGGGTATGGGAGCTCGTTTCGTAGAGCCGCAACCGGCTGACCTGGCCGCTTTGTACGCAGAGTCTGATCCGTTGGCTCCAATCATCTTCGTACTCTCCACTGGCACCGACCCTGCCGCTGGTACTGTTCAAGATAATAATTTTATCTCTTATCTATTAGACAAGTCCGTCCGTCCGTCTGTCTGTGGTGCTGTTTCAGCGGCCAAACCGTAAGAGATAGATAAAGAGAATATGTAAGTTATAAGTTAAGAATAGTCTGATAAGACTACAAACCGGATTTGAGTAACGTAGCACTTCCGGTTTTCGAGAAATCACGTAATTTCTATTTCAGACGAAACCACACAAAATCTCCGAAGTTCTCAATTAATTAAATACATTTTTTTATTTTATTTTTTTTGGTGAACATTCGGTTCACTGGTTTGCTAATTTTCTTTAATCAAAGCTGAACGACTGTTACTCTTCTACAAGCAAATCTATCTGAGCCCTTATAATCCTTAAAAGTTCATGAAAAGCACTATTCATCATCATCAGCCTATTAATGTCCCCACTGCTGAGGCACAGGCCTTCCCTATGGATGGAATAGGGAGATTGGGCTATGACCCACCACGCGGGCCCAGTGCGGATTGGCGGGTGCTAACGACTGCAGATGCAGCCGAAACCAACGGCTTAACGTGCCTTCCGAAGCACGGAGAAGCTCGAGATTGTAAATTTTTGGCCACCCATCCAATGACCGACCACTGCGAAAGTTACTTAACTTCAACGATCGCAGCCGAACGCGCTAACCACTTGCGCCATCGAGCTCCTCTATTATCATTAATTATTACAGGTTTTTCAAGCCAATAGTTTAGCTTTGAGAGGAGAGGGGGGGAGGGAGTGCAACTGGAACAAAAATTTGCATTTTAAATTTCAAATGTTTCAAAAACTGATTCCTTAAACGAAAAGAAGTCTTAGGAACCCCTAAGTAATAAACAAACATCCCCAGCTTACATGTAGTGGAGCTACCCTAAAAAATTTTTTTTTTCAAAATTTTATTCTACTACTAGTGGCCCGCCCTCGCTTCGCTTCGGTGTAGAGCTGTAGTGTAAACTATAGTTTTTGTTCTCAGGCTTGTGCTATAAAAAATGACTTTATTTATATAATTACACGTGTTATTGTCAGTCAACCATAAAAGATAGTCATATGCTGTTGCGGGATATTTTTTACACAATTTTATGTAGAATATTTCCGTCATACATGATTTCTATGTAACTTTAACCATTAAGGCTGCACACGCGACGGAAGCTTAAAAAATGGAGTAACTTCTCCCGTTTTCCCAACATTTCCCTTCACTACTCTGCTCCTATTGATTGTAGCGTGATGAAAAGTATATTATAACCTGCCCAGGAGTATGAAGAATAATTGTACCAAGTTACTTTAACATCCGTCCAGTAGTTTTTGTTTCTATAAGGAACATACACACAGATAGACAGACAGACAGACAGACAAAAATTTTACTGATTGAATTTTTGGCATCAGTATCGATCACTAATCACCCCCTGATAGTTATTTTAAAAATATATTTCATGTACAGAATTGACATCTCTACACATTTATTATAAGTATAGATTTTGTCGGCGTAAATAGTAAACATAGGTCAGGACTACGGTACCCTAAATAGCTAATCTTATTTAAGGCTCAATCAACCTCGTATTTGATTTTAAATAATGGACAGGATAAAATGACGACGCAGTTAACAGGATTAAGCTTTAATTTGATTTAAATAATGTTAATAGCCCTAAGGATAAATTTGTTAAAGACTGGAAGGTCAATCCTATCTAATATTATAAATGCGAAAGTGAGTTTGTCAATCACGCAAAAACTACTAAACGGATTTGGATGAAATTTGGTACGCATATAGTTTAAGACCTGACTTGAGACTTTTTATCCCTGAAAAAATTGGGTTCCTGTGGGATTCCCAAACACTACAGTTAACATTGACGACCTCCGTGGTCGAGTGGTTTGTACGCCGGGTTTCATGGTGTCGCCGACTCGAGAGGTCCCAGGTTCGAATCCCGGTGGGGGCAGATGTTTGTGTGATGAATACGAGCATTTGTACTCCAGTCATGGATGTTTAATATGTATTTCTATATAAATATACTTATATATGTACAGTATATGTATTCTATCCGTTACCCTAGCATCCCATAACACAAGCCTTATAGTGCTTACTTTGGGGCTAGGCTAATTGGTGTGAGTGTTGGACATATTTATTTATATTTATTTATATAACATTGACGAAGTAGGAGGCGGCCGCTAGTATTAAAATAACTTGTTAATGAAGATAAATATAGTTACAATTAACAATTTGCTGTTACTCTTTATCGTCGGTCATACCTTAGACAGTTTTATAACAGAAACATAATTTATCAACGGGGTTTTCATATTTTGACACGACTTAATATTGTGTTCAACAATGTCTGTCTGTTACGAATACGTTACGGCACAATGTGTGTTATGAAGGGAACAGGCATGAGCCAGATACTGCACAAATACATTTAATCAATAGTATTGACAGGCCGCGTAGGTGTAGCTACGTAAGGCGTTGAGCAGACGACGGGGCGGGGCGGGCATTTTGATCGCGAAGCAATAAAGACCGCGTCTGCCCGTCGATGTCTGCGGCTGCCCGCGCCGCGTACACAAAGCACACGACGGGCAGAGGCGGTCAGTTCAGGACGTTCGTTCTAGTGAATAGATAAGCGCGTGGCGCGGACTGAGCTGACCGCCCCGCGCCGCCGTCTGCGTTACAGCATATAAACTGGTTTGTATGATCCACGGCGGGCAGCCGCGGACATGCCGCGCCGCCACTGCCCGCTGGGCACCTGCGGCGCGGTCTTTTTGCCCTCTGTGTGCGTTTGAAGTATAGGATTCACTTTGTGCTATTATTCGCGGCGAAATTGACCGGCCCGCCCCGCCCCGGCGTCTGCAAAGCGCCTAAAGGGGTTAATTGTTAAAGGCTGATAGATGCCTGCAGCATGTTTATAACAGTACTTAACTTATGCTTATTGCTATTATAAATAACTGCTATTTTTGGTTGGCTGTTGCGGTTGCGTTATCAATCATGTATATTTTGAATTTAAATGATTTTTTTTAGGCTGAAATGAATTTGTTTCTTAGGTTTTCACGCACATCACTCATTAAATAAAACTAGTTTTTACGGGTTAATGCACGAAACTTTATTTATTTATTGACGTTTCGCAGCTGCGAAACTGAAATGAATTGCTTCGCTTTGTTTTGCATTGCTTTGCTTGCTGTTATACTGTTTACTGTTGTGTTTTTTTCTGTTTTTGATTGACTTTTAATTATCTTAATTTTTTGTTACTTGAAAGCAAAGGATGTTAAGTCCATACATCCTTTCAAGTAATAAATTTTTTTTTCATGTCTTTTTTTGTGTCACTAAACAGACCCTGTCAGAATAACAGCGCTAATGCTGAGGCAGGGTCCTGGTTAGCCCTGAGTTTTTTTTTAATTTGTATCTGTAAATGTGTTATATCTGTAATATGAGGGTTAATAAAATTATATTCTATTCTATTCTATATATTTATATTCTTCATTGACACGTTCCTGTCAGCTGTACGCATTAACGACAAATTAACTTATTGCTTCTTTAAGTTACGCGATGTCTCATTATATTGTTATCGCAAATAAAGTGACACCATCAACTTAAGTCTAACCTAAAAGATAATTAACTTCTCTGAGTGTGGCCGTGTGACTGTTTGGAAACCCATAGACCACCTGTTAATTGAATAAGGAAATTGGAGGGAACATCAGGCACATGATTGGAATTTTAAGTATCAAATCAATTCTTTTATAACAGACCTACTGAAGTTTGCGGACAAGATGAAGATGGGGAAGCGATTTGAAAGCATCTCATTAGGACAAGGTCAGGGTCCACTAGCGGAGAACATGATGAGAATCGGTTGTGATTTTGGCAATTGGGTGTTTTTCCAGGTAAGAATAAGGAATTCGTGTAATAAAAATGAAACGATTTGAAAACCATAAATGGTAGCATTTAGTTTTATGTCATCATTGGATTACTATGAGATATGTTTTGGAATGAAATGAGGTTTAGTATATAGGTAGTACCTTTCCATCTAATCTTATGAGAGAGTGAAGTCCATAATAGCTATTAACGGGATTGTTACCATGTACCTTGTGACCAATGTGACCAATGGTAGGGGTATCGAGCGCAGTAAAAGACAACGTCAGAGGTAGACCGATATGTTTGCCAATAACATCTACCCGCAATTACTTCAGTTACCCCGTGATCATGGCGCTTGCAACAGTGCCGAGATATCGGAGACTCATAAAAAACAAGGTACATGGTAACAATCCCGTTAATAGCTATAATGTTAGTGACCATGAAAGTTTAAAACAATAGAGTGAAGTCCAGTTTTGTAGACAGCCTGAGCGATTACAACATCATTAACCTTTCCAATGCAAGTAATAGTGAGATTGGGCCATGCATGACCCAGCACGCAGGCCCAACGGGGAATTGTAGGTGCTAATGACTCCAGATACAGTCGAGACCAATGGCTTGACGTGCCTTCCAAACACGGAGGAGCATGATATAGTAAAGGACATGGTAAAGTTTTGTATGAGCGACTGCCCCGGCAATGTATAAATACTGTACTTAGTAATATTTAATGGTAAATGGCTGAATATTTATAATTTCTATGAAAAAAGGCTCGGGTACTTTTGATAAAGTCACAATCTTGAAAATTACGAAAAGTCATCAATTTCGCATTTTCTTAGAATTTTTCTTTCCATTTATCTGATTAACTCTTCACAAAAAGTTTTTTAAAGCAAAAATAAATACAAATAATTTGTGATCGTCGGCCTGACAGGCAAACTGTGAAGTTTTATTTTATCCATTTGCAAAAATTAAAGGATTAATTATCATACAGCCTTGTCTCAAGCCTGATCAGAATAATAAATGCTATTGTTTAAGCCCTACAGTAACTTGTTATAATAAAAATTAGGGTCAAATATGTCATAGTTTAAAGGAGTTTAGAAATTATATTGTTTATACCGATATACTTACACAAATATTTTTTGTGTACATTTATTGTTCATTTATTTTGTAAAACGGAACATTTTGCTTTTGAAACAGATATGAAGTCAATTTTTATACTTTTTAATACTTGATTATTTCACGAAAGTTCAATGTGAATAATAAACACGTCATAATTAAAAGAACAATATTGTAAAGTTACGGGCTAGTGCGAAATATTTATACACGTTAAGGGCAGTTTCTTAGCCATGTCCTTTGGTTACATCCTATGGCCTTCCATACCGAAAGAAGCTTAATTTCCACGACCGCAGTCAGAACGCGCCATCAGTTTGTTAGTCTGAATAAAATTTTGAGTTTCTATCTTCTGGCTTATGAAATGAAAAGTCATTTATTCAGTCTAGGCTGTTACAAGCACTTGTGAAGGTCAAGAAGCTTCACCATCGGTTCGCAAAACTACGGCGGGAGACCTTGTACTCAGAAGAACCGACAAGAAACTCAGCAAGGGCTGTTTTATTCTCCCTGTATTGTTATATACAGTGTCGTCAAGTTGAAAAATGACTTCAGAAATAGATCTGAAGTCACTTTCCATTACATCATTTAGAATATAAATATATAGTTACAATTAATTTTATAGTTAACATTATATTTAGTATATAGGAAGCGGCAGATAGGTACAATATTACTGTTATAAAAAATGACTAATACCCATTTAATAACAAATTATGAGAAACACTATGTCAATGCATTACGATCATTTAGATAATCATCAACTTTATAATAGCCCTTATTCATAAGAGTATTTTTGATCTGAGATTTAAATTTAGTCAGTGGAAGCTCAATCAGATCTAGGGGAACATTATTAAACAATGCAATCTATCTATCTTCTGGGTGTATCAGAATTGTCACCTGTCTCCATCTTGGATGCCCGTACTGGAGTTGAACGTGGAGCATATTCAACCGGAGTTAGTGCATAAGGACTTTCGTCTTTGGTTAACATCGACACCTTCACCGCAGTTTCCTGTCGCCTTACTGCAGAATGGTATATATAATTTAGTTATTGTAATTATTAAAGCTGTTAAAGCAAACTTAAACTTTGGTTGTACTATAATGAAAAGAGTAGTGAATCTACTTATGTGTAAGGTAAGTATGACAAAAATAAAAAATGCACTGTGAAAAACTTTATAACTTACATTGTAATGTGAACTCGTTTAGATAGAAAGATAGATAGATAGATAACACTTTATTGTGCACACCACATTAAATATTACACACAAGGACAAAACTTAAAATAGTGAACAATTGGCGGTCTTATCGCTATATTAATTAATAGCTAATTCCTCCCGCCCCTTTTTACTATCGGACGAGCAGGGAAACGGCAAGACGACATCGATTCACGGTGGCAGTTCCAAAGACTCGCACTAAGCGATTCGCGTCTAGCTTCATCGTGCGGACTGCCAAACTGTGGAATTCCTTGCCTGAGCCCTTGTTCCCCGAGCACTACAATCTAGCGGTCTTCAAAGCAAGAGTGAACCGGTTTTTATTAGGTAAGCGCGCTCCATCGTAGACCATAATATTGCTTTCCATCAGCTGAATTATGGTCAAGCGCTTACCTATCACCGAATAAAAATATAAAAAATATAGCAATTTCTGCCAGACAACCATAGGATGGAGAGATGAAATTTAATAAAAGAGGGGGTGTGCTAATATAACAAATAAAAATAATTACAGTAAAAGATTCACGATTAAACATACTCATAAATATCTACTATTATGTTACATTTTTTTTTTCATAATTTTTTTTTATTCGATTATTTACAATATGTCTTTTTAATTATGTTATTTTTAATCAAATTTCAACATGTTTAATAATATACTGTCCGTGCTCGAGGCTGCTATTTGATACAGCCAGGGGCACGGGCAGAAGTCTGAAAGAGGAAGCATAGAAGGATAGTAAAGATAAAAGTAGGTATACAAGAAAATAGGGAGGTGAAAAACAAAGTAAAGAAAAGTTGAATCACATTAGTGGCGTTAAAGACTACTCGTTTGCTTCAAGTTGGTCGTCGATGGCCAATCACAGGCACATCAACTGGTACCATCGTCCAATAAGGTCGACTAATAGGGACTGTCTAAGGCGCGGTATTCTGAAGCTGGGAGGGTGGAAGCAGCCAATTCGAAGCGAACGCGTAGTGCTTTGGTTATCAAAAGTATGCGTTATTAATAGAATACAGGGTTCACTCAACACATTCAAGCAAACTCATGCACACATACAGAGAGAGATACACACACACACGCAATCATACTCAAATGAGTCCTAAGGTAATTATTATATACACTTTTAAACTATTATATAATATAACGTAATTATAACATTCACAGAAAAAAAAAAAACTAAGAGCGTTATTAAATTAATTAATTTCTCTCGATTCCGTCTTTTCCATTTTTTCTCACGGTTTTCATTACGGTTTTATGCGTTATACCAATATTAACTTTATGCTTAACTTTTAAGGATACAAAATGACAGTTGAACCCCCCAGAGGGATCAAGGCGAATTTGCTAAAGGCCTACATGAATCAAGTTCCTGACTTCATGGATTATTTCAACTCTAATGACAGCAAAGTTCCTAATTTTAAGGTGCGCAAATCAATTACAAGACTTTTTTTTTTCTTATTTATCTTACTTACTGCATGTATGCAGTTTGATACTAAAAAGAATCCTTAAATTTGTTTAATTTAGCAAAGTAAAAACTATCCTCGGTAATAGGGGTGATGACGGGGTACATTAAACGAAATTCTATTTAGTCCGTCAGTTGGATGATCAAAAAATAATGGACACGTATTTTTCTTTGGCAATCATCCAACAAATGACAAAGTTATAGCGCGTCAAAGTTTGGGAGTAGGGGCTCGTGACGTCACTTTTGAGTGAATTTTCACTTATAAGTGTACTAAAACGTGACGTCATGCGACTGTTCAAATCAATATATCTCTGCAATGTTTATATTATGTGAAAAAAGAAGAAATACGTGTTCTATACTTTTTGATAATCTACCTGATAAACGAAGAAAAAAATAGTCATCATCCCTATTATGTACATCTAACGTAGTTTTTTTCCCACTTTAAATGATAAAAGAAATTCTTCAAAAGATTTCGATAGTTTTATAATTAAACTATCCCATATATTTCCAATGGTAGCGATATTCATGTGTTAACTTTATGTTATGTTAATCAATAATTATATTACTAATATAATTTTTAAGTTCGTGAATCTATAGTAAAAACTTTGTTAAGTTTCATTTACTACAAGAAATTGATCAAAATATATTGGTTTTTACAAGCTTTTGTTTAACTTGCAATGTATGTTTGTTCGGGTGAAATCTTACAACTCAATTTTAAGGCACTTGCTCTCAACGGATTGAGCTGAAATTTGGTATGCACGTTCAGTTCAAATGTCAATGCATGATTAACAGTGTGACGTCATTCTAAATCCAACATGGCTGCATACCCAAAATGGCGGACCAATCGTTTATAATGCATTCCTACAATATGGGTATCAAATTAAAGGGCTTGCTGAGAGTAACTCGAAAAAAATGTGAAGTCACACTTAATCCAATATGGCGGACTTCTAAAACTTGAAAATCAATTTTGAAACAGATATTTGTAACCGACTGAGCTGAAATTTTGCATACACGTTCAGTTTGGATGACAATGCATGGTTAACTGTGTGACGTCATTCTAAATATAACATGGCGTCATATCCAAAATGGCGGACCGATCATTTTTAATGTATTCCTACAATATGGGTAGCAAATTAAAGGGCTTTTAGCGCATTTAAATAAAAGCTTGTTAATAAAAAATAAAGGTATTTTTTTTATAAACTATTAACTTTCTTTCACCAGTGGCTACTGTTCTCTCTATGTCTGTTCCACGGAGTTGTTTTGGAACGACGCAAGTTTGGCCCCCTTGGGTTCAATATTCCGTATGAGTTTACCGATGGGGACCTAAGAATCTGCATTTCTCAGCTGCACATGTTCCTTACTGAATATACCGAGGTACCGCTCAAGGTGAGTTCAAAAGTTAAATTATGGTTTTATAAATGTATAAATAATTAGCACTCATTTAAACATGTGCAATAGTCATTAGCCCACGTTTTTATCAAGCAACATCTCTTATCTATTAGACAACGTCCGTCCGTCCGTCCGTCTGTGGTGCTGTTTCAGCGGCCAAATCGTAAGAGATAGATAAAGAGAATGTTTAAGTTATAAGTTAAGAATAGTCTGATAAGACTACAAACCGGATTTTAGTAACGTAGCACTTCCGGTTTTCGAGAAATCACGAATTTCAAACGAAACCACAGAAAATCTTCGAAGTTCTCAATTAATTAAATACATTTTTTTTTTTAAATCAGGTTTTGGTGAACATTTGGTTCACTGGTTTGCTAGTTTATTGATAAACTGTTTATGAAGTTAATTAAATGAGCCACAGCCGAAGTATCGAAGAATGATTTATTTCAAAATTTAAATTACAATAATTCTTACTACTAATTATAAACTATTGATCCTATCGATGCTGAAATAGAATTGAGCCTAAAGTGCGGCGGCCCGACGTTGACACGGTTCGCTGTATCCAGGGCTTGTTTACCGGTTAATTTTCAAACCTAAATCAGTGTCGAGTACATTAGGTGCGTTTTATTTAGGTTTGGCTCTACCTTAACCTTAAAAGAACCGGTTTTCCTAAAGAGCGAAGTCAAATAGGTTTTGAAAGGGTTTCACTTCGCTCTTACTGACGGCTGAAATAAATACACAACTACAAAATGAATAACTTGACTCACTAGACGCTAGCAAACGTGTCAATAAATGCATCAATCTCTGAGCATTAACAAGTTGTGACTTGATTAGTTCAAACAAAACAAACTTCAAGCGATGCCGACGCGTGCACGTGTCGCTCTGGATTAAACCGGTTTATTAAGGTTTCAGGTACCGCTTTCATTTCGGACGCGCTCCGAACGAAACCTTTACTAAAAACCGGTATTTATCTTTATTTACCGGTATTTTCGATACCGGTTACAAGCCCTGGTATCACCTCCTTGTGCCTGCGATCAATCGGTTATTTGTCGAAGTTAAATCTTGTTTCCGGTAGTGCATGACGGCGTAACAAGTGCATCACGTTGTTTATAAACAAGTTTACCGTAAACACTGTTCCAGAAACGTGGCCATCCACAATAGGGGTGATGACGGGGTACAGTAAACGAAATTCTATTTAGTCTGTCAGTTAGATGATGAAAAATAATGGACACGTAATTTTTCATTGGGCAATCAACCAAAAAATGACAAGTTTGGGAGTAGGGGCTCGTGACGTCACTTTTGAGTGAATTTTCACTTATAAGTGTACTCAAACGTGACGTCATGCGACTTTTCAAAACAATTTATCTCTGCAATGTTTATATTATGCGAAAAAAGAAAAAATACGTGTCCAAAATACTTTTTGGTAATCTACCTGATAAACGAAGAAAAAAAAATAGTCATCATCCCTTTTTTCAGTTGTTTCTAGGATGTCACCTGAGGAGGTAGTGTAGCTCTGCGCTGCTTACGTTTACTACGCAGGCAGTTCGTTTTTGCTCTTTATTAATAACGGCAACAATAAAATTCTTGAAATATTCACAGAATATTTAGTTGTATATTCACTATAAAAATGAATAATTAAAATAAAATGAATAATTAAGGGGAGCTCCCATCCAACAAACGTATATTTTAGTTATAATTTTTTTTTTATTATTTTTAAAGCATGTAACTGCTTGATGTTTAAATCTAAAGAAAATATAACTAGAAAAAATTCCACGCGGACCAGGCAGCAGACGGCCCTCACCGCGAGGGCCGCGGTAGCATAATTGGTCAGTGCATTCGCCCGGATTGCGAAGGGTGCGGGTTCGAGTCCCGTCTGCTGCCTGGTCCGCGTGGAATTTTTTCTAGTTATATTTTCTTTAGATTTAAACGTATATTTTGCTCGATATTTTAATATAATGTCCAATGCTAATTACAGCTAATGTTGAAAAGTTTTTTTTTTTTGCTTATATATTGTATTTATTTGTATATCAGAGGTATATTGTGTAATTTTTTTATTTTAAATTATATTTATACGGAACCACAGATCACAAAAGAGACCTCATTCTGTGTTCTGTGTACGCAACCCTTTGTGCCAACGTAGGCAGTTTCATGTTAATTCTAGAAAAAAAAAGGAAATGGTGGTGGGCTCGAAACAACCTCTTAAATAAAAGTTATGTATTGATATTGTGATAAAAATTTGCTAATCATACCACAGTTATTTGCATTTAATAACTTCGTTAGAACCGCTTTCACTCTTTCTAGGAAAACTAGATTTTTTTCGTATCCCTTGAAATTTGTGAGCGCAGGGTACACTCGCGGAAAGACCCGCTCTGTCACCCATAATGCCATAATCGCTTGCGGAAGCGGCGTAGTGAAAATTCATTCATAGACATGTAATTATCGCTGTCTTACTTTTTCGTATAGCGCTGTCGCGATCACGATGCGGATGACAAATTGCAACTAAAACAAATGCAATTCAATTCATTATTCAATCAATGAAATGCTCTCTGTCTTACTTTTGTGCGGCGGCCCGGCTGGCGCGTCCGTCGCGAAGGCGGGGCGTAGTAAAAACTACTGTAGAAAACCGTTCAAAGCATTTTGTTCGCCAAGTGACAGAGCGCAAAAGGAGACCCGGCACTTTTCATAGAAAAAATGCTAAACTTGTATACTGTTGAATGTGATCTCAAAATAAAGCCAAAATTATTTGCTACATAAAACTTTTGCCTTATTTTTAGTGAATCGTGGAAAGAACTTATTTAATGATTAATATTTTTTGATATAGAAACCCTTTTGATGACAAACCTACGTATTTGACATTGACAGCTAGCTGCTGATGACAAATATTGCCAGACTACGTTACCCAATTAAGAAACACAGATAAAAAAATTAAAAAAGTATACAACTTTGGCACAAATTGCCGGGTGTCCGTTCGCGATAGTACCTATGCTTTTTTGTTTTTATTTCCTTTTGTGAAATATTCAGTTCTACAGAAATGTCGTCTCAAGCACCTTTTCTATTTTATTTTATCCTTATAATCCTTATTTGAGGCACCCAAAGCAGTTTACGTAACCGAAAAACCTCTTTAAGCATTGAAACTTAGTCATTAGACGACCACACTACTTTCGTATATTGTTTTAAAATTTTCATGGTCACTAACATTGTAGATATTAACGGGATTGTTACCATGTACCTTGTTTTTTATGAGTCTCCGATATTTCGGCATTGTTGCAAGCGCCATGATCATGGAGTATGTCTAATATCGGAGACTCATAAAAAACAAGGTACATGGTAACAATCCCGATAATATCTATAAATCTACTTTCATGTTTTAATAAACTATAAACATCCCGCAACACACGTCCACACCTGTCAAATTTTGTTTATATACTAAACGTTTCGTCTTGCTCTCCATTCAAAGTGGAGAACACGGCACCATGTATCTGAAACAATGTTTCATCAACTTTGTTTATAAACTGTTTCTAAACTGTAAACAGAGATGATGTAACATTTATAAATGTTGCCTATCGAATACGCAGCTTTACTCAGAAATAAGACTTATCTTAAAGTTTCGTGTCACCATAGGAAAATTAGCAAATTTTTTTTTAAGAATTTTCATATTTAATTTATATAACATACAATACAGATTAATAATTATGATTAAATAATAAATTGTCTCGACTATAGTTCTCTCATACCCGTACTCAGAAACGTCAAATTATTTGACAACGATTCATTAAGTCCGGTGTTGTCCAATTCATTTGTTACCGCAAAAAAATTTAAAGCTTATTGGCTTCTCTAGTCCGGCCGACATATTGCTAGGGATTAGCTATTTAAAACAATACTTTTTTTTGTCTGGGAAATACATTTCGCTTCCTTCAACCACCGGGGTAGAAAGAAGTGTTGATTTTAATTAACGATTTGCAAAAATTAATCTCTTATACATAAGTTTATAGTATGCCTAATATTTCATTATGGTCAAGTCTAAGGCTGTTTATCTATGACTTTGTCTGTGGTATAAGCGCCATCTTTCTTTAGTGCATATAAATACTTCTCTTTGAGTGCAGCTCTCACTTTGTATCGGACAGTGTTAGGGAACAGACGTATACCTTCTTGGTGACGAAGTAAATATAAAACAGTTATTTTCATCAGTGAAATCAGTGTTTCAATTGCCCATAATCTCCTATAAGAAGAAGGTATGTGGGACTCCTCCTTGCACATTACAGCTAGCCCTTGGGCCGGGTGAAATGAGCAGGGCCCTACCTAACGCCCTGAACAGGGCCACTAAAAACCAGACAATACTCCTGAACCGGTCACGCCGCGTACATTCTGAGGACTGCAGTCCTCCCAATGCACGCCGGGAGTGGTCGCGGCAACAGTTGCCGACTGTCCCCGCACCTGCAAGATTCGTTCGCGAACGGAACCACCCCGATGAAGAAGCCGCGGAGTATTAAGGGCATCAACCTTAGATTAAAACAAAAAGGGTAGATACGGTACGCTCATACTTGCATCAAACAAAAACTGATCCCACGGCAGAGCGAACGGGACGGCGAGATCCGCGTCACTGCATTACCGGCCCGAGCGAAACAGCACGTTAAGTTTCAACGGCAGCGCGAACGAGACGGCGAGATCCGCGTCACTGCACTACCGACCAATCACGCGACCAGTACACGACGTCACTACCGAATAAGATTCAAAACAAACAGCAATTTTTATGAAAAAATATATTTTATAGTACTTACGAATGAAAAGTGATGCCGTGGGTTTTATTTTTAGTTCTTGAGCAATTTGAGCACTTTTCAAAAAAATACTTAGGCATTGTTTTATCATATAAGAACAAAATATTATCAATATTTCTTTTTGGCGTTCACATGTACATCTTTTGCATGTCAAGTTGTGACTAAAGCGATTAGGGTCGTGGACCACAATTTGTGCGGACCACTTTTATGAGACTAGTGCCGTATCTACCCTTTTTGTTTTAATCTAATAAGGCATCAACATCCAGAGAGCTTGTGCAATGCGGGCCAGTCCCCCTCCCAGGGCAGACCCGTGGCTCACAGGAGAGCGAAGTTTCCTCCGTCCCTCTCCCGCCCCCCTTGGCCCTAAGAACGGCCGTTTGTGTATTTATAACAATACAGATGTTAGGTACAATAAAAAAGGTTTTTATCCCTTAGATGTTAACTTACACCGCGGGCCACATTAACTATGGTGGACGCGTAACAGACGATTGGGATAGGCGCTGTCTGCTATGCCTTCTCGCCGACTATTACTCTACCAGTGTTCTCAGTGATCGCTTCATGTTCGACGAAAGTGGAGCCTATAAACAAGTAAGTAGTTATTGAAGACAGTGATTCGTTTGCAACTGGTATATCTTTGATTATATATACACCGTACCGTTTTAATTGCACGAAAGCGCCCCAAAATATGTAGGGCAGTGGCACCAATAAATGAACGACTTTGAATCCCTTTTTCTTCGGCCTTTTCGAACTATTGGCGCTTGATGATTCCAGATTATCCTCAAGATTTTAGTAATTTAGGAAAATAATTCTACCAGTTTTTTGATAAAATAACTATTTTTATAAATTTTGTGGTTTTACCCCTATACTTGAACGACGTGTCTTAATTGTGAACATTTAGAACCCAATAGTTGAACTAACATTTTGATAGGAATAACAATAGGATGCTACTTTATTTAATTTTACAATTTCTAAATAAAAAGCATTACTTGCAAATAAATTATTTTATCTCTTTATATCCATAAATCACATTCTGGCTATTAATAATTTTTTAGTCTTTGCGAGATCAATTGACTCGTTACATAAACTACTCAACTTTTAACAAAAACAAAATATTACTAGATAACAGTTATAAACATTACACAGTACTCTAGAAGTACCCATACTAATTTTATTTAAGTACAATATTATTTATCCACTTATCGAATTTATCATACTTGCATCAAACAAAAACTGATCCCACGACAGCGCGAACGGGACGGCGAGATCCGCGTCACTGCATTACACTCATCGAATTAATCAAAAAAGTAATAAAAGTAGAACCTAATAATTGAGATCACAGTCACAACCTTACTAGTAAACTAAACAATAGCTGGAGCTGACTAATAAATTTAACAATAGCAGGAGCCAGCTGTAAGCAAAACTAAGTTATTAAACTTACACCACTAATCAGGGTGAAACAAATGTATTTCCTATGTAATGTAATATATACAGATAGTTCTGTAATTCAGTTATTCACACAAATTGGAACAAACTGAGTGTTTTCAAATGTAATCAAGCCTCTTCTTCTAATTCCGGAAGACGGTAAAACATTTATGACAGCTGATATCGATACTTCTGTTAAATCAACAGTGCGGGCTCATTGAAATAGGTCAAATTGTTAAATGTGCTGGCCTTCTTCATTTCACTTCCCGTTTCATACAAAAATAAAAGACGTAAAAATAAACAAAAGCCTTTACAAATTATGTTCAACTTTTGGTAACTTCTTCTTAATATTATGGGCTTCATAATATTATTTAAAATCAATTTGAGTTGTTTTGGTTTGACTATACGAATCATTTTAAAGATTACTGATGTCTGCAAATATTTGCACTATTTGCAATAGTTGAACGCCGTTCATTTATTGGATTTTACTTACAAAATTTAATCCATTACTTGAACAGAGTATTTCTCTAAAATACAGTAAATTGTGCATAAATCTGACACTACGTAATCAAAGCCAAATAATGTTGATGTAATAACCAACAAAACAAAGCTATAATTATATGTTTAATTTGACGTTATACTGAAATGTGGAAGCTACTTACCTTACGTAGGTGTCCGTAGAAAACTGATTTTATGACTTGGCCTAGTGATTTGTACGCCGGGTTTCATGGTGTCGCCGACTCGAGAGGTCCCGGGTTCGAATCCCGGTGGGAGCAGATGTATGTGTGATGAACATGAGCATTTGTACTCCAGTCATGGATGTTTAATATGTATTTCTATATAAATATACTTATATTTGTACAGTATATGTATTCTATCCGTTACCCTAGCATCCCATAACACAAACCTTACAATGCTTACTTTGGGGCTAGGCTAATTGGTGTGAGTGTTGGAAATATTTATTTATTTATTGTTTTTGACGGGAAGAGCTTGCGCAGCGCGCGACCCTGAGCGCGTCGTTGGCGGTAATGTCAATATATTAATGGCGTCGAGCGGAAAAAGTGTTGCCATATTACATAAAAAATATTGCACAAAAGTAAGCGGCAGATTTTTTAATATCTTTTTTTCCGGACGAATGTTCATCTATTGGGGTCGTTCATGTTTTGGTGCCACTACCCTACTACACAATTGTAGATGCGCTTGTCGCTACACATGCATACATTGACTGCTTTCAAACAATCTGACATTAGAGATGCAAATATTGCGCGTAACATGGGCTGTTTTTAGGGTTTCGTAGTCCTGACAAGGAACCCTTATAGTTACGTTATATCCGTCCCCGGCTTTGCTTGGAGACTTTTAGCACTAGAGAGCTGTAATTTTGTGGAGATATATATCGATAAGATAATAAGATATCGATCACGCCGACAAAATAGTAGAATAAAATTTTGAAAAAAATTTTTTTAGGGTTCATGTAACCTGGGGTTAATTTTTTTTCATCATCTATCCCATCGAGTGAAATATCATTGAACAAGTCCTTTAAAAATACTTAGGGGCTCCCAAGACTATTTTTAAATTTAGGGATCCGTTTTCGAAATATTGAACTTTAAAGTGCTAATTTTTTTTCGAGTAGGCCCCCTCTAAAAGCTAAACTCCGTGACGACCTCCGTGGCCGAGTGGTTTGTACGCCGGGTTTCACGGTGTCTCCGACTCGAGAGGTCCTGGGTTCGAATCCCGGTGGGGGCAGATGTTTGTGTGATGAATTTGAGCATTTGTACTCCAGTCATGGACGTTTAATACGTATTTCTATATAAATATATTAATACTTATATATGTACAGTATATGTATTCTATCCGTTACCCTAGCATCCCATAACACAAGCCTTACAGTGCTTACTTTGGGGCTAGGCTAATTGGTTAAATAATAATAAAAAAAAACTATTGGCTTGAAAAACCTGGCTAAATTAATAATAATAGTGCTTTTCATGAACTTTTAAAGCCAAACTATAACGGTTTAGATAAATTTGTTAGTTTAAGAGTATTAGTCGTTCAACTTCGGTTAAAGAAAATTTCTTATCTATTGAACATTCCGTAGAAGAAAACTACAGACAAATACGGAACCTTACACTACGCGTAGCACGACACGCACTTGGCCGGTTTTTTTGCATGGTTTATTCAGATTGCTATTTATCATACTCTTTATTGAGGAGCTCGATGGCGCAAGTGGTTAGCGCGTTCGGCTGCGATCGTTGAAGTTAAGCAACTTTCGCAGTGGTCGGTCATTGGATGGGTGACCAAAAATTTACTATCTCGAGCTCCTCCGTGCTTCGGAAGGCACGTTAAGCCGTTGGTCCCGGCTGCATTTGCAGTCGTTAGCACCCACCAATCCGCACTGGGCCCGCGTGGTGGGTCATGGCCCAATCTCCCTATTCCATCCATAGGGAAGGCCTGTGCCCCAGCAGTGGGGACATTAATAGGCTGATGATGATGATGACTATACTTTCTATTTAGGATCAAAGAGGTATTGTAACCGTTGCTTAAGGCAGCAAGACAGCATATTTACATTAATCTAACCGTTAGATACATACAAACATTAATGGTGATATGTTATATATAATTTAATATGTATTGAAATAATATAATAAGAGATAAAAAAAAATCAGAGCTACCTAAGCTCGCCACTTATTTTTTCTAGGTAACATGGGTATTGACTACATTACGTCTTAGTATCAACGACTATGAAATCATATACCTCAATTGACACCATCTCCTTAGCAATAAGTAATAAACGCATTACCAAATGTTATCTATACTTATAATAAATCTGTAGAGAGGTCAATTCTGTACATGAAATATATTTTCAAAATAACTATCAGGGGGTGATTAGTGATCGATACTGATGCCAAAAATGCAATCAGTAAAAATTTTGTCTGTCTGTCTGTCTGTCTGTCTGTGTGTATGTTCCTTATAGAAACAAAAACTACTCGACGGATTTTAACGAAACTTGGTACAATTATCCTTCATACTCCTGGGCAGGTTATAGTATACTTTTCATCACGCTACAATCAATAGGAGCAGAGTAGTGAAGGGAAATGTTGGGAAAACGGGAGAAGTTACTCCATTTTTTCAGCTTCCGTCGCGTGTGCAGCCTTAATGGTTAAAGTTACATAGAAATTATGTATGACGGAAATATTCTACATAAAATTGTCTAAAAAATATCCCGCAACAGCATATGTCTATCTTTTATGGTTGACTCACAATAACACCTGATAGAGTGATGAAATGATTGATCAAAATCCTAAGAAAGGATTTTGATCAATTCTACCCCCAAGAGGATAAAATAGGGAATGAAAGTTTGTATGAAACTTTGTCAATTTTAAACCAATCGGGCTGAGACTTTGCATGCAGGTATAAGAGGAATCATAGATGAATGTCATTGTGTTTAATACAAGCCTGAGAAAAAAAACTATAGCGTACACTTCAGCTCTACACCGAAGCGAAGCGAGGGCGGGCCGCTAGTTCTCAATAAAACGAAAAAAGCTTCACCCTCTAAAGTTACCGATTTTGATGGCTATATAGATATAGAGCCCCCTGTAGAAGGCATAAGCGACTTTTTGTTGCGAACTTGGAAAGGGCGATTTTAAGTTAGATTGAGGTGATTATGTCATTAAATAAAGCAGTAAAGTTAAATTTGCATTATTGCAAAATACTTGGCCACTGGTTGGTCTCTTCACAGCTGAGCATTTGAGCATCAATCAAATAGTAGGTATACTAAGTTAACAGCAATCATCATCAGCCTATTAAAGTCCCCATTGCTGGGGCTCAGGCCTTCCTTATGCATGGAATAGGGATATTGGGCCGTGACCCATTACGCGGGCCCAGTGTGGATCGATGGGTGCTAACGACTGCAGATGCAGCCGGGACCAACGGCCTAATGTGCCTTTTGAAGCTCGGACCAGAGCACGATATAATCTATATACCTATATAAAACACAAAGGTGACTGACTAACATAGTGATCTATCAACGCACAGCCCAAACCACTGGACGGATCGGGCTGAAATTTGGCATGCGGGTAGATGTTATGACGTAGGCATCCGCTAAGAAAGGATTTTGATCAATTCTACCCCCAAGGGGATAAAATAGGGAATGAATGTTTGTATGAAACTTTGTCAATTTTAAACCGATCGGGCTTTAACTTTGCATACAGGTATAAGAAGAATCATAGATGAATGTCATTGTGTATAATACAAGCCTGAGAACAAAAACTGTAGTCTGCACTTCAGCTCTACACCGAAGCGAAGCGAGGGCGGGCCGCTAGTTATTTTATATAAACATTTACTGTCCCAGTGAATTTCGTACCGCCATAAAAAAATAGGGGTTGGTGGTCGAAGGGTGATAATTTAGGGTTGTATGTATTTTTGTATGATGTATCATAAAAGAATAATAACAAAAAGGCTTTTCCAGAGGAAAAATTAAGGGTGGACCACCCTTAACACTAAGGGGGATGAAAAATAGATGTCCGATTTTCAGACCTACTGAATATGCATATAAAATTTCACGAAAACCGGTTGAGCCGTTTCGGAGTAGTTCAATAGGGTATTTGACAAGTTTTAGAAAACGATCTCACGTTATTGACTAATGTTTATGGAGTCCGTAAAAAGTGGATATTCATCATTCTGTTGTATATTTCAGTAAAAATAACCAAATCAAAAACTCCATTTTGAAGTTGCCGCGAAAACGTTTCTCTGGGCAATATGGCGCCTTACTAGTGTGTGACGTCACACGACTGTTATTAAAACGTCAAACGATACAATGTAATGTCACTGTAACCGGAAGTTTACTTGCGTGTGACGTCATTTTAGGCTCTGCCAATCCGAAGCGTTTTGGGTCACGTGACAATAGATAAAAAAACTATTATCTTTTTCGTTAGTTTTTAGTAAAATTATGAATATTTTATTTATAAAAATAGTAATAACCATTGGCAATATTCATTCCAAACACAGATGCTAACAATGGAGAAGTATACGCAAAGCTTGACATAGATGGCGCTGCAAATGCTTGACCCTAACCACAGCCGAATATTGCAGCTGTCATATATTAAACTTGTTTTTTTGTTGTGAAAAATATTAAATAGGTGGTGAAAATGTATTCAACATGGTCTGTAATACAGCTGAAAACAGAGTTGAAAAGGAGAAGCAAGGCACAAAAGCTAATCTAGTAGATAGGTACTCCTTCTATTATTATGCTAGAATGCTCATTCTCGATACATAGATGCATTTTCCATGATTATTTTAATAGTTCATGGATCTCAGTAACTTTTAGCAGGCTCATTAGTCAAATCTATCTCATTTTTGCATCTGTCAGATATCTCATATAGTAAGGTTACCTCTGGCTAAAATAGGAATTATAATATTGGGTTTTATTTACAGACTTGAGATATATGACCGCAATTTTAATTTTGGTGCAGTTTTTTCTGATCAAAATGAAGACATTCAGATGCAATTACCTGCCCCAGATACATACAATGATGTAAACATCAGCTCAGTTTTACCCCCCCTTTCAAAGCAACATATAAAATTATATTTTAGTCAATAAGCATGCGGTATTCTCACAAAAACCAGGAACTGCACAACGCGGCATTTGTAAAAGCTTCAAAATGAATAGAAGCTAATAGGTATGTATTTGATAGAAGTTTTGGGTCAAGCGATAACAGCGCCCCTAGCGGTCAAATTTTGCAGATTTCTTGTCCATTGGCACTTTATTTTTAACACTGACAAATATCCTACGTGACACGAGAATGTTATTTATTAGAAGATTTACGTAAAAGTCGCCTGATTTCCAAGATCGCAGGCCGAATGAGCTAGCCACCAACGCCTTCGAACTGCTCATAACCACATCAATATGAATGCTTAATTCACTTGAGATTTATGAATAATTTCTAGCAACCATCTGCGGCTAACATAGAAGACTATACGAAGTACATCCGAACTTTGCCCTTGAACGATGACCCTTCACTTTTCGGTCTTCACAGCAACGCCAACATCAGCTACGCCATGTCTGAAACTAATACTTGCATCAGTGAGTTTGCATTTGGTTTTATTCATCATTCATCATCATCATCATCAGCCTATTAATGTCCCCACTGCTGGGGCACAGACCTTCCCTATGGATGGAATAGGGAGATTGGACAGACCCACCACGCGGGCCCAGTGCGGATTGGTGGGTGCTAACGACTGCAGATGCAGCCGGGACCAACGGCTTAACGTGCCTTCCTAAGCAGGCAACTCGGCAGGAGGAACTCGAGATAAAAGATTTTTGGTCATCCATCCAATGACCGACCACTGCGAAAGTTTCTTAACTTCAACGATCACAGCCGAGCGCGCGAACCACCTGCGCCATCGAGCTCCTCTCAATATAATGTATTATGTACTAATTATTTAAAATGTATTGTGTCATTGTTTGTTTACCTTAATAAATTAAAAAAAAATGTGTGTGTCAGCTCCGACGCACGACTGGAGTTTACTCCTTAAGTTCGATAGTCTAACCAGACGCAAAAAGAGTTTATTAAACTTAAAAGAGATTGATACTGTATGAAAGGGTAAATTAATAAATTAATGAAAATAATATACATATATAAATATATATTTATTCATTTCATATACATTTATTATAACTAATCGACGAAATATTTTACATTAAACTTTTTACATTAGTCAATTTCAGATGTGCATAAATATATCATTAGGAATGTTGATAAATTTTTATTAAAGTCAATCCGTCATCTTCGTTTTCGTTTCATCTTTGTCAAAGTTGCGCGACATAGGATGCGCACCAAAAACGTAACGAGGTCATTCATCGATAGATTTTACTCCTCACATTTTTCTCATACCGGGCCCCTTATATATGCAAATCGATTCTTAAGGAGTAAACTACAAAAAAAAAATAAAGTATATCAGTCGGTAAATCTTTGGTTCTGTTTTTTTACTCTGTCCTGTGATTTTTAGATACACTGCGTAATCTTCAGCCAAAGGAAGTAGCTGGAGGCGGTGGTATGACCGCTGAAGAAATGACTGAGCAGGCGGCTAAAGAAATATTACAGGTTATTGTGATAGGATAGCCAAATATACTTACCCAATTTTATTATCGATCTTGCCCGTGCTGGGCATTGAGGAATAACTGTTCCGTTATGTAGTATCTGTCTGCGGAAATCACATTCGAGCAATCGAAATGTGGAATATACTATTTGTTATAATTGCTATTTTTCTTTCAAATGTTTAATACTTGAAAAAGTATTCATTTGACATTGTGGGTTACCTACAATGCGAAGAGATGGCGCTGCCTTGCAGCTTAAGGCTAGGAAAATTTCGACGCGGCTAATAGGGCCGTGGTAGCATAATGGTCAGTGCATTCGCCCGGATAGCGAAGGATGCGGGTTCGGGTCCCGTCCGCTGCCTGGTCCGCGTGGATTTTTTTTTCTAGTAAACTTTTCTTTATATTATTTGTTTCTTAGGTTTTCACGTACATCACTCATTAAATAAAACTAGTTTTTCACGGTTTAATGCACGAAATTTTTATTTATTTATTGACGTTTCGCAGCCTTTACAGGCTGCGTCGTCGGAGTCAATTTTTTATTTAATTTTGTCGAGCTACCTTCGAAAGACTTTTATTGAGCGTTCGGTTATTTCATTGTTCGATTTTTAAAGTTTTATTGTCCATGTATGAAATTATTACATAATTTAGTTAATAAAGTACTTTTTCTAAAAATCTTATTTGTAATTTTGAATTTATGTATTTGACCTTAACTACCTTTATTAGTTCTTTTTGTTTGTATAATTTAACATAAGAAGGAGATAGAAAGCCTCTCTTGAGTTTGTTTCGCCGGTTCTTCTCAGAAAGGTCTCCCAATTCTGGAACCGGTGGTAGTTTACGGTGGTTAGGGTCAAATAAATAAATTCAAAATTACAAAAAAGATTTTAAAAATAGTACTTTATTAACTAAATTAAATAATAATTTCATACATAGACAATAAAATTTAAAAAATCGAACAATGAAATAACCGAACGCTCAATAAAAGTCTTTCGAAGGTAACTCGACAAAATTAAATAAAAAATTGATTCCGACGACGCAGCCTGTAAAGGCTGCGAAACATCAATAAATAAATAGAGTTTCGTAGATTAACCCGTGAAAATCTGGAATATATTAGTAAATTCATCATAATCAGCCGATGAATTAATGCTGCTAGAGCTATTACCCTTTACGTCAGATGTACCATTGATCAGTACCGTTGTACCATCATTGGTACTTCAGCGAGTAAGAACGGCGGGAATATATTGTATTTTTTGAAGTTATACTTTTTAGGTGCGTTATGAAAAAATGATGAGAGTGAAATTTTAAGATGCGCGCGCATCACTGTAACACAAAATTTTAACAGCATGAAGTTGATCGCTTTAGCGACCAAGTTCATGCTGTTACTTTTGTGTTTACCGCACATTTAGAAAATCTACCAACAAAATAGAAATAGAATCTCTATTTAGTGGGTGCTAACGACTGCATTGTGAAGGCCTATCAAAAGTATTTATTAATCTGGAACAACGGAACCAAAGCGCGATTCAGGAGACTACAGCGCCATCTCTTGACCATTGGTGTAGTAGAACCAAAAACCACATCTTTATTTTTTGTAATAAAGTAACAGTTATAGGTATTCATATTTATAATATTTATCCACATGTTTCTAGTTTGTTTATTCGGAATACGTGTTTGAGTTACAAGTGCAAATCACATATGTTCTAATAAATTATATTCAGTAGCGATTTTAATTGAATATTTTGATTATTTATTTATTTTTTCAAATTAAAACTGAACTTTATTGACTGTGTCCTTTTCCAGACTTTTTATTAATTTATTGTAATTAATTATTTGCATGCAATTAAAAACTAATTTTAAACGATGCGAAAGAAGGATAACTTCTCACGCGCCTACTTAAGTACACGCACCCATTTTTTTTAATGGTGCAAGTGACGTAAAAGTGTGTCAGTGCTACTATTAATGGAACAGTACCCCTAGCACGAACCAAAATCGAATTCGTATCGTTTGCGAGTCCGAACTGTCATTGTCAAATGTGTACTGATTTTTAGTTCTCGTTATGTACTTTGTGCCGCTACTGTTCAAGTTTCCATACAAAAGGACATTGCTCGTTCCCCATACATTGAATGCCCTGGAACGCCCAGCAATGAGAAAATGCTAGTTGTGTTCGGAATCATTCATAAACTCTAATTAGGCATGTGTTGAGCTACGGACAACTTGAGGAACCGTGGCCTACTATAGAATGTATTAGATTTGGAGGTTATAATTATTATACTTAATCGTAAAAGATGTACACTTTATATTATATTCTGAATAGATTTAGTGTTTACCTCTATGTAAGCACTTAAATCTTATGCATTAAATGAACATAAAATGCAATTAATAATAATAATAAATGCTTATATTCATATTGATTTATGAGTGTTGGTAGTTGGCACCTATGATACCTATACCTACCTGTTGTAATAATAGATTTCTTTTCAAATGAAATGTTCAAAGTCTTTCCATTTACCTGTTTCTATATTTTACTATCGGTAATAAGGTATGTACCTGGTTATCATTGTGATTTTCATAACAATAAACAGGTATTATACGGGATGGTAGTATAAACTATCTTTGCATAATTTCAGATTTTTTTTTTAAAAATCTAATACTAATATAAATAGTGCTAAGTATTACTAAGCAAGGTGCCTAGTTCTATTCTTGTGTTGATAAATACCTATGATCGCCTATATTGCATTTATAAGGTTAACAATCTTGGCACAACTTTTTAAAAAAATCACCCATTTAAAAATTAAATAATAACGAAGCCAATAAACTATTAAAATATATCGTTATTATAGACTGAAACCTATTGAATCCAGTTATCAATTGATTTATAATGCAGTATTTCCAATAAAAAGGAGTGCTAAGATTGTTTACCAAATAGGACAAGTTAGGATGAACAGACTGTAGTATCTAGTAACAGAACTTTTAAATCTTAATTTTTTAAAGAGATTGTCCGTTAACTATGATTAATTGCTAATAAATTAAAATAATAATAGAAAAATAATAGTGAAGGACATTCTTTTGGGCATGCTAGGGCTGATTTCGTCGATGTCCTTTGACATTGACATTTCGGTTTGCAAACTATTCGAATTCGATAATGGTTCGTGGTAGGGGTACTGATCATAGGTACATCTGACTTATAGGGCTAATTAAGTATTGGACATTATTATATACCGTTATATAAAAAAGAGTACTTTTATCTTAATAGGCAGGTACTTTATAAAACAAAGTCTTCCGCCGCTTTTGTCTGTAGGTATGTACATTTTACGATGATATCAAAAAATACTGAATAGATTTTTATGCGGTTTTAACCATCCGTTTGATAATTTCACGGTAGGCTTATATGTATAGTACAAGTCTGAGAAATAACTTTAATCTACACTGAAACAAAAAGATATATATATACCGTGACGACCTCCGTGGCCGAGTGGTTAGTACGCCGGGTTTCATGGCGTCGCCGACTCGAGAGGTCCCGGGTTCGAATCCCGGTGGGGACAGATGTTTGTGTGATGAATACGAGCATTTGTACTCCAGTCATGGATGTTTAATATGTATTTCTATATAAATATACTTATATATGTACTGTATATGTATTCTATCCGTTACCCTAGTATCCTATAACACAAGCCTTACAGTGCTTACTTTGGGGCTAGGCTAACTGGTGTGAGTGTTGGAAATATTTATTTATTTATTATTTATTATATATATATAAAACTCAAAGGTGACTGACTGACATAGTGATCTATCAACGCACAGCCCAAACCACTGGACGAATCGGGCTGAAATTAGGCATGCAGGTAGATGTTATGACGTAGGCATCCGCTAAGAAAGGATTTTGATCTATTCTACCCTCAAGGGGAAAAAATAGGGAATGAATGTTTGTATGAAACTTTGTCAATTTTAAACCGATCGGGCTGAGACTTTGCATGCAGGTATAAGAAGAATCATAGATGAATGTCATTGTGTATAATACAAGCCTATGAGAACAAAAACTGTAGTCTACACTTCAGCTCTACACCGAAGCGAAGCGAGGGCGGGCCGCTAGTTTATTATAAAATAAAATGTTTTATTTTTACCTATAAAGTTTAACATCACACAGGTGCTGCCAGCAGAGCTAGATTTGAAGTACATCGCTTCAACGTAAGTTGTTTTGTTGTAGTTGAGAAGCTGACAAACAAAACGGTATAATAGGGGTGATGACTATTTTTTTTTTCTTCGTTTATCAGGTAGATTATCAAAAAGTGTTGGTCACGTATTTTTTCTTTTTTCACATAATATAAACATTGCAAAGATATATTGATTTGAAAAGTCGCATGACGTCACGTTTGAGTACACTTATAAGTGAAAATTCACTCAAAAGTGACGTCACGAGCCCCTACTCTCAAACTCTGACGCGCTTTAACTTTGTCATTTTTTGGTTGATTGCCCAAAGAAAAAATACGTGTCCATTATTTTTTGATCATCTAACTGACGGACTAAATAGAATTCCGTTTACTGTACCCCGTCATCACCCCTATTACGCATCAGGTCAAACTACTTTTTTTTACAGTCCGGAGTTTTCGGGCCCGTTGAATTTGAATCTCAAATAATTTTCACTCAAAACCGCCAAAACAGTGTTAAATTACTTAATTTATAAATTAAAAACCATCCCAAAATATGAAATATAGGCGCGAAAATAAGTCTGCAGTGTGTGAACATGCATTAGGGGGACCAAATTATTACATTAGATTTGATAAACCACAGATCCTTGCAACTGAGCAACGATTCATACCTAGAATGATACAAGTTTCAATAGGGAAGATGGTTGGTATATACCACCAGCTTGGGAACCCATTATACAGGAGATAAAATCCCAACCCCGAGCACACACTGCAAGACCAACAGATACTATTAATTCTTTTTGTTTGCATACTTAACATAAGAAGGAGCTAGAAAGCCTCTCTTGAGTTTGTTTCGCCGGTTCTTCTCAGAAAGGTCTCCCAATTTTGGAACCGGTGGTAGTTTACGGTAGTTAGGTTCAAATAAATAAATTCAAAATTACAAAAAAGTTTTTTTTAAATAAAGTACTTTATTAACTAAATTAAGTAATAAATTCATAAATAGACAATAAAACTTTAAAAAAGTTTCGGAGTAGTTCAATTACGCACACAGTGACACGAGAATTTTATAAATTAGATACCATTTTTTTCGCCATCTCCTCAGTTCTTTTACAATGTATTTTAGTAATTTTCTTGACGACCTCCGTGGCCGAGTGGTTTGTACGCCGGGTTTCATGGCTGTCGCCGACTCGAGAGGTCTCGAATCCCGGTGTCTGATTTTTATTGGCATTCTAATAACGCATGATTTCAGTTACCCAGTGTCGTATAAAGAGTCACTCAATACCGTGTTGATTCAAGAAGCAATACGATACAATCGCCTTTTGGTTGCAATCATGAATTCTCTCAGGTAAGTTCTGTAACAAATTTTATAAGTAATAATATTATTATTATTACTTATAAAATGAATGAATAATGAATGAATAATTCTATGATATTAATTACTTGTACATTATGGAAATAAAGAGGCTATATTATTATTAATAATAACCATGTACCTTGTTTTTAGCGAGTTTCCGATATTTCGGCACTGTTGCAAGCGCCATGATCACGGAGTAACTGAAGTAATTGCGGGTAGGCTGTTATTGGCAGACATATCGGTCTTCCCTCCGACGAAGTCTTTTATTGCGTTCGATACCCGTACCACTGTTCTTTTGTTAATTACTTGTACATTATGGAAATAAAGAGGCCTCTTTATTTCCATAATGTACAAGTAATTAATATCATAGAATTATTCATAAGTACATGCATGAAATAATAAATTATTACAACAATTAATACTATAAATTAGATTACAATTAGCAAATTTAAAATTTTCATTTCATACAATTGTCAAGTAATAATAATAATAATAAAATTCAAATTCTAAATGATAATTGAATGTCAAAGTAATTAATAATTGCATTATAGTAATATAAGTTATTTACGGGATTGTTCCGGTATTACACATACAAACCACAGGATGTCGAGTGTCTGGAATCCTGTGGTTCGTATGTGTAAAACCGGAAATAATCAAAAAAGTGTCGTGTCGCGATCCGATACTGTAAGTGTTGTGTGTCGAGAACAGTTTCGAGTGAATAGTGAGAATGTGAACAGTGGTATGGGTATCGAACGCAATAAAAGACTTCGTCGGAGGGTAGACCGATATGTCTGCCAATAACAGTCTACCCGCAATTACTTCAGTTACTCCGTGATCATGGCGCTTGCAACAGTGCCGAAATATCGGAAACTCGCTAAAAACAAGGTACATGGTAACAATCCCGTAAATAACTTATATTACTATAATGTTAGTAACCATGAAAGTTTAAAACAATATATTAATAATTGCATGTCATTATGGATCCCTCAACGAGTAAAGGCCTCCTCCATTTTGCTCCACGTCTGTCTGTCCTTTGCTTTTGTAGTCCAATTTTATAAGTAATCATGCTTATATTATCTAAAAATAGTCTTAAGAGTCGTAAATAATAGGAACTTGATTGAAACTTATACCGCTTTATTCTAAAATGCTGTCTGAAGTTAGTCTTGGTTTGAACCTAATTTTGTCTCTGTCTTCTTTTTAGCAAACAAAAATAACTACAGTAACAGTTTTAGTCCAGGTTTAACTTTAGTCTACGTTTCGTAATAAGGCGGATAAAGTGTTTATTTTGCACCTTACCTGGGAGTAGCAACGGGGTTCTGTGGGACTCCACCCGACCCGTCCTGCCCGTCCGCTCAGCCAGTCCTGGGACTAGCTCAGCCTTAGATTAAAACAAAAAGGGTAGATACGGCACTAGCCTCACAAAAGTGATCCGCATGAATTGTGGTCCACGACCCTAATCGCTTTAGTCACAACTTGACATGCAAACGACGTACATGTGAACGCCAAAAAGAAATATTTCTGTGTGTGTGTGTTTTTAAAAAGTGCTCAAATTGCTCAAGAACTGAAAATAAAACCCACGGCATCACTTTTCATTCGTAGGTACTATAAAATATATTTTTTCTTAAATTGACTGTTTGTTTTGAATCTTATTCGGTAGTGACGTCGAGTACTGGTCGCGTGATTGGTCGGTAGTGCAGTGACGCGGATCTCGCCGTCTCGTTCGCGCTGCCGTTGAAACTTAACGTGCTGTTTCGTTCGGGTCGGTAATGCAGTGACGCGGATCTCGCCGTCTCGTTCGCGCTGCCGTGGGATCAGTTTTTGTTTGATGCGAGTATGAGCGTACCTTATCTACCCTTTTTGTTTTAATCTAAGAGTTCAGCGACCGCCCAGGAGTAGGGGGGAGGGGGGGGGGGGGGGGCTACCCACTAAAAACCTGACGATGCCCCTCACCTCACTCGGTCCACGGTCCCAACCAGCGTAGTTGAGACAACGGCATCTTCCGCGACCTCACAGTCGAACGTACACACCGTTCTCCCCCGGAAGAGGGGAGTGTTGGAAATGCCCCGGTGTAGTTTACTTTGCACCAGGGCTTGTAACCGGTTTCTAAAATATCGGTAAATAAAGGTTAATACCGGTTTTTTGCAAAGGTTTCGTTCGGAGCGCGTCCGAAATGAAAGCGGTACCTAAAACCTTAATAAACCGGTTTAATCCAAAGCAATAATGCATCAAAATTTTGTTTGAACTAATCAAGTCACAACTTGTTAATGCTCAGAGATTTATGTATTTATTGACACGTTTGCTAGCGTCTAGCGAGTTAAGTTATTAATTTTGTAGTTGCGTACTGACACAGTACTTCACTCACTCGCTCTGTAGTTGGAAAGAAACTGACATAAAATCATTATAAATTTGAATTGAAACGGCGAAGGCGATGCCGTCAGTAAAAGCGAAATGAAACCCTTTAAAAACCACTAAATTGATTCAAAACCTTTTTGATTTCGCTTTTTAAGGTTAAGGTAGAGCCAAACCTAAATAAAACTCTCCTAATATACTTGATACTGATTTAGGTTTGAAAATTAACCGGTAAACAAGCCCTGGTTTGCACCTGTGATTAAGAAAATAATAAGAATTGTGTGCTCTATTACGTTAAAACTTAACAGCCACTTCATTTAGGATGATTGATAAAATCTTTAATAAATACATATAAGAAGAAATTTGATGTGCCCGTTGAGGTCCTGAAAGCATAACCAATATTAGATCAGGCCCTTTTTTTTTGATGACTTTTCTAGTGAAAATCTTCAGATTATTAGACCTTTGAACCTTTCGAATAAAGTTTCTCCATATATTTAAAACAAATTTTCTTCACATTTCCTAGAGATTTGTTGAAAGCACTCAAAGGATTGGTAGTGATGTCGGAAGCTTTGGAAAGTATGGCTTCAAGTTTGGCCCGAAATGCTGTGCCTGCCATGTGGAGCTCTAAGGCTTACCCTTCACTCAAACCACTAGGTAACTTAGAATGAACTAGTTATAAGACATGCTGTTTATATTTTAACCGACTTCAAAAAAGGAGGAGGTTCTGTGTTCGACTGCATAAATATTTTTTTATGTATGATCACCGATTTCTCCGTCAACTGTGGACCGATTTTCAAAATTTTTTTTTATTCGAAAGAGTGCACTTCCAATGTGGGCCCATTGGAACCAAGTCGGGATCTGATGATGGAATCCGGGGAAATCGAGGGAAACCTTCAAATTTCAAAGGCACGCACGATGTTTTTTTGTGCATATTCACCTATTTCTCCGTCAATTGTGGACCGATTTCCTATATTTTTTTTGTTTATTGTTTATTTGGAAGATGTAATTTTCACTAAAATGGATGAAATAAAAATTCACGTATTATTACCGATCAGAAACAAAAATCTATTTAATGTTTCAATCTTGATCCCGCCCGACTTTCAAATCATGGACCAGATATTATTTTTTACTTTTTAGTTCCATTCTCGAATTTGAAGTCGGTTTTATTTTTTGTTTATTAAGTTTAATTAAGCAAGGGGTTGGCACTTTTCTGGTGATACTAATAAAACAAGATATAACAATTTTGGCTAGCATTCAATTTAATTGACGTATCTGACTATGGCAGTTTGTAGTACCTATAATTTTTGTACTGTAACTTGACTAAATAATGCAGGAGTATTTTCAGCGGATTTTATTTATTTAGTACGAGCTAGTGATTTCACATAAACAAGTTGGATGATTTACGAAGTACTACTTGTCTTGTAATTACGTTAAGAATCCGAAAGATATTGTGTAACTACTTATTATATATACAATTCAAAAAATTATATATATTTACTAGAACAATGACCCTAAAACTAAAAACCTTAAAAAATATAATATAATTACTAAAATATATTATTAAAAAGAACCCTTTAGGCAAGGTTCCGAAGATACTGGCAGCGTTCCCCCTTTCAATAGCTAGACTAATTCTTTGTCTGAGGTAGCTGCCAGCTCTTAGGTCTCCTGTGATGTCGACTAACTTTTTTGCTGTTTCCTTAAAAAGCCTTATTGCCTAGGACCCCACGGACTAGGGTCTCGACACCGAATGGGACAAAATCATATTCGGAATTTAGACCCCTGTATTTGCATGCTTTAGCTTTTTCAGCCGCTTCTCAAACAGCATCAGCTCTGTTGTTGGTTCCATGTAGATGGGAAGGGGCCAGCGTGTCTGAACAAAAGATATTATATTTTATAGTTACAGATGTAATAATGTCAGAAATGCAACCCCAATTTATTGTTTGGCATCTGGCATAGCATATCACCAGTATGAAAGTTTTATTTTGCGAGACCTATCCTAGAAATCGTACAAACTACCTAGAGGCTTAATGTTTTGAAACGCACCATGCAAACATATTACACGCAGGGCTTGAAACCGGTTTCAAAAATACCGGTAAATAAAGGTTAATACCGGTTTTTAGTAAAGGTTTCGTTCGGAGCGCGTCCGAAATAAAAGCGGTACCTAAAACCTTAATAAACCGGCTTAATCTAGAGCGACACATGCATGCGTCGGCATCGCTTGAAGTTTGTTTTGTTTGAACTAATGAAGTCACAACTTTAGAGCTCAGAGATCGATGCATTTGTTGACACGTTTACTAGCGTATAATGAGCCAAGTTCTTCATTTTGTAGTTGTGTATTTATTTCAGCCGTCAGTAAGAGCGAAATGAAACCCTTTCAAAACCGCTAAATTGATTCAAAACCTATTTGATTTCGCATTTTAGGAAAACCGGTTTATTTAAGGTTAAGGTAGAGCCAAACCTAAATAAAACGCTCCTAATATACTTGACACTGATTTAGGTTTGAAAATTAACCGGTAAACAAGCCCTGCTTACACGAACTCTGAAAACATTGCACTGCTTTCCTTGTAGTCGGTTAAATCGCTCTACTATACTTTATTAAGTAAATTAAATAATAAATTCATACATAGACAATAAAAAATTTAAAAATCTTCCAATGAAATAACCGAACGCTCAATATAATTCTTTCGAAGGTAGCTCGACAATTTTAAATAAAAAATCATTATTCTGACGATGCAGACCTGAAAAGGCTGCGAAACGTCAATAAATAAATAAAGTTTTCGTGCATTAACCCGTAAAAACTAGTTTTATTAAATCGCTCTGTTTAATTTTAGCGGCGTGGGTGAAAGACCTTTGCTTGCGCGTAGAGTTTATGCAGCAATGGGTGGATGGTGGTATCCCGAAAGTATTCTGGATATCCGGGTTCTTCTTCCCGCAGGCGTTCCTCACGGGCGCTCTGCAGAATTACGCGAGGAAACACGTGATTGCCATCGATACTATCGCTTACGCGTTCGAAGTAAGTTCTCTGTTATTGTAGTTTAGTTTGGAGTAAATGTCCTACTTACTCTGGTAATCCCTTTATAACGTATAAATCTCTCGCCTTTTACTTAAGATTTCCGTGGAGGGGAACACTCAAATTAGTCTTTAGGCATATTATAGTAGGATGAAAGATTGTTAGATATTTGTAGTTATATAAGCATGTTTATTATATGGAGGTTTTTAATTGGCTTTTAGATATTGTTTTTTGTTTATTTAATAAGTGATTGATAGCTGTAAACCTTAAATGAATAAATAAAAAATGACTCCATTAAGCTTTGTTTTTGACTTTAATAGCTTCTATAGAACTTTTTTTTAAACTCGGCTAAACTTTAAAGTAAACACTGTAACGTAAGCGCTTGTGTAAAGGGATATAATAGGTAAGAGTAGTTTTTTTTTATATTTTTTAAAGGTAACTTAATAGAAAAGACGATGACTGTCTGTCTGACTGTATCATAGGCAGCATCATACAGTATGTTTTTGTAGAAATATATACAGGGTGAAATTGAATGTTTTAATGAAACTTCGTGGGAATGTTGGGTTACGTATATAGAGTATCTCTGAATTTTTTCGGATTTTTTAAAAAATGATTTAAAATAAAATTTTGTTTTTTTTTTGTTATATTTTAAGTCCTTTCCTCCTTTTGGGTACTAAATAATTATTCTTTTAAAACATGCATACAGAGTAAGTAAAGAACAAGTAATAAGCACTACTAAAAAGACGTAAAAACAGGAGACGGGCGGCCGGGAGCAATGACCGCTCCCGCCGTTGAATACCTTCCTGCCTACCTATCTAGGTATGCGCGGTGCACAGCGCAGTGAGCGAGCGGAGTCTCAAGCGCGCGTGCGTATCTTTTAAATTTGTGACAAGACAAGATTTGCAAATAATGCCTTGATTAGTTCTTGTTCTGTGCCCTCAATATAAGAATTTGGATATGGTGTGTTGTTATTGCGAGTGTCACAGAATACTCAGCAGAGCCACACGGCTTTACGAAAGGAGGTTTGGTGATTTATTGGGAAGTTATAGAGAAAAAAATTAATAGGTACATCGGTCTCGTAAGTACTTTTGAATACCTGGTAATAAATTTCATTCTGACCCAAGTATTGAACTGCAATAAGTATTTCTTTTTGTTTAACTTTTGCCTATTTCCAATCGTGACAAAATTATTATTAACTTTTTAAGTTTGTCTCAGCTTAAGAGAAGATGACATTTGTGCTTATTATTTCAATTTCAATAAAGGCATCTGAGACGATTTTATTGTATTGTGTGGAATCAAACGAGTCAGCTGAGCTCTGTGTACGTACCTACTCACTCAACGGCTGGCGGGCGCGTCGGTCGTTGACCCGCGGTGGAATTTTACTGTTTTTACGTTTTTTAGAAGTGCTTATTTATTAGTGGTTTTTCACTGGATATGTAAGCATGTTTGTTTAATATGAATAACTACTCAAAAGGAGGAAAGGACAAAAAATACACAAATTATAAATAAATACATGAAAAAAAATACTTCAAAAAAATCCGAAAAAAATCAGGCATACTCTATACTCGTAACCCAACAATCTCACGAAGTTTCATTAAAACATTCAATTTCACCCTATATAAACAGTCATGACTCTGGTAAAACCCTTGATATCACTAAGGCTGATACGATAATCTACGATACCAGCCTCTGTAGCATGAGCACCACAATTTACATTATATCACGGTTTTTTATCGCATTTAACCTTAGATTAAAACAAAAAGGGTAGTAGTACGCTTATACTGGCATCAAACAAAAACTGATCCCACGGCAGCGCGAACGGGACGGCGAGATCCTCGTCACTGCATTATCGACCCGAACGAAACAGCACGTCAAGTTTCAACGGCAGCGCGAACGAGACGGCGAGATCCGCGTCACTGCATTATCGACCCGAACGAAACAGCACGTCAAGTTTCAACGGCAGCGCGAACGAGACGGCGAGATCCGCGTCACTGCATTACCGACCCGAACGAAACAGCACGTTAAGTTTCAACGGCAGCGCGAACGAGACGGCGAGATCCGCGTTACTGCACTACCGACCAATTACGCGACCAGTACTCGACGTCACTACCGAATAAGATTCAAAACAAACAGCAATTTTTATGAGAAAATATATATAGTACTTACGAATGAAAAGTGATGCTGTGGGTGTTATTTTTATTCTTGAGCAATTTGAGCACTTTTTAAAAACACACTTAGGCATTGTTTTATCATATAAACACAAAATACATGGTAGCAATATTTCTTTTTGGCGTTCACATGTACGTCGTTTGCATGTCAAGTTGTGACTAAAGCGATTAGGGTCGTGGACCACAATTCATGGGGATCACTTTTGTGAGGCTAGTGCCGTATCTACCCTTTGTTTTAATCTAAGCATTTAACTGTCAAACTCCATAGTAATTTGACAATTGAGCGTGATAAAACGTGTTATATACCATATCGCGGTACTCATGCTAGGGGGCTGTTCAAGTATTACGTAAGCAGATTTATTACAATTATTTACCCCCTCCTCCCCCTCGTCAGCAAAAGTAAGCAAAGCTCTTACCCCTCCCCCCATCCTTACGTAAACATTGGTACCTATATGCATTTTTCCTTTAATGTATTTTTTTTATTGATTCATGAGCTTTCATGAGCTTCATGAGCAGCAGTACTTAAAAAGGCTTAATCGATGATGCTGATGTAATCACCATCTCTACCCCCCATCCCCCATGTCATCAAAAATAAGCAAAGCAAAGAGTCTTTGGGGCTGTTCAAGTATTACGTAAGCAAGAGGGGCTGTTCAAGTATTACGTAAGCACTATAGGGGGGCAGGGGGGTCTTTGCCAAAGACCCCCCTGCCCCCCTATAGTGCTTACGTAATACTTGAACAGCCCCTAGGGGAGCAGAGGTGAAGCTGTTGGTCCCGGCTGCGTCTGCAGTCATTCGCACCCACCAAACCACAATGTACAGGAATAGCCAACCGCTATACGTGGTGGGTCATGGCCTCTTCTCCCTATTCTATCCCTATAGATATAGGGAAGGCCGGAAGGCAACTCATCAGTTTTAGTACATAGTTTACAAAATAAAATTTTAAATTTATATGGACGCAGTAATAAAGTAAATCATATTGATGTGAAATTGGGAACTTAATATATATGTGTATATGTATACATACATATGACCGGATAGTAGCTAAGATTTTGTTGTCTGTTGAAGTGTGTACGCAATGAAGCCGTCTGCCGTGATGAATATAAGTTTTTAAGACCCTAATAAATAAAATATATCAATGGCAGATCTGGTCAAATTTTATTTTTGTTCAACACTTTTAAAACTGTCTGCCACTATGCTAAACGCGCGATAATGGTCTGCCATTGTTATTTTTAGATAGTAATAATATTATATTTTCAAATATCAAAACGGCAGACGTGGTCAAATGCATTTCAAATTCGCCAAAAATCGATACCTGTCTTACCTGAGCGCGCGCCGCGTCCACCAGTTGGGGCTTAGTGAACCCCCATCTTATATATGGTAGATATTAGGGGCTTCACCTTAGATTAAAACAAAAAGAGTAGATACGGCACTAGCCTCACAAAAGTGATCCGCATGAATTGTGGTCCACGACCCTAATCGCTTTAGTCACAACTTGACATGCAAACGACGTACATGTGTACGCCAAAAAGAAATATTGCTAATATTGTGTTTATATGATAAAACAATGCCTAAGTGTGTTTTTAAAAAGTGCTCAAATTGCTCAAGAACTAAAAATAACACCCACGGCATCACTTTTCATTCGTAAGTACTATAAAATATATTTTTTCATAAAAATTGCTGTTTGTTTTGAATCTTATTCGTGACGTCGAGTACTGGTCGCGTGATTGGTCGGTAGTGCAGTGACGCGGATCTCGCCGTCTCGTTCGCGCTGCCGTTGAAACTTAACGTGCTGTTTCGTTCGGGTCGGTAATGCAGTGACGCGGATCTTGTCGTCCCGTTTGCGCTGCCGTGGGATCAGTTTTTGTTTGATTCAAGTATGAGCGTACCGTGGTTACCCTTTTTGTTTTAATCCAAGGGCCTCACTGTACAAAACGCTAGGTCTGGTCAAATACATACAGGTAGCCGTCCACTGGCTCTTAAGCTTATAGATTAATTGTGATGATGTTATCGCTATGTAGGCTCTCGCTGTCGCACCAGCCAAACGGGCTGAAGACGGATGCTGCGTACGTGGATTGTATTTAGAAGGAGCGAGGTGGAACATGGGCGATATGACTTTAGAAGAGAGCAGGCCTAAAGAGTTGCATACAGGTAAGGAGAAACTGAACCAATAGAAAGAAAGAAAGAAAGAAAGAAAGAAAGAAAGAATGAAAGAAAGAAAGAAAGAAAGATAGAAAAATCATTTATTGGCCTTAACACACAATGTAATAATAAAAAAATTATAAAAGCACCTATATAAATAAAAACAAACGGACAACAACAATATACAGAAATAAGAAAGGCCAATTAGGACCCTGCCTCAGCTTAATGCTGTTACAATGGGACGGGAATATTCCCACCGTAACAGCGCTGGTATTCTGGCAGGGCCTGTTTTTTAGTGAAACGTATACGTACAATAGTTTTTTAGTGAAACGTATTGCAATTACAACATAAGGAGCTCGATGGCGCAAGTGGTTAGCGAGTTCGGCTGCGATCGTTGAATTTAAGCAACTTTCGCAGTGGTCGGTCATTGGATGGGTGACCAAAAATTTTTTATCTCGAGTTCTTCCGTGCTTCGGAAGGCACGTTAAGCCGCTGGTCCCGGCTGCATCTGCAGTTGTTAGCACCCGCCAATCCGCACCGGGCCCGCATGGTGGGTCATGGCCTTATCTCCCTATTCCATCCATAGGGAAGGTCTGTGCTCAAAAGGAAAGAAACGGAACCCTTACAGGATCACTTTGTTTTCCGTCCGTCCGTCTGTCAAGACCGATTTTCTCAGGAACGCGTGGAAGTATCAAATTGAAATTCATATCTAATACTCATGTCTACTGTCCCTTGGAACTGTGAAAAAATCAAACTTCTAAGCCAAAGCAATCAAAAGATACAGCCGTTTATGCCGCAATTTCCAGCAAATTTTCGAAACTCGCACGGGAATCAAAACCTACGGGGTACTTCCCGTCAACTTAGAATCTTTAAATTTGGTACGAAGTCACGTGTTATAGTACAGATAAAGGAAAAATTGCGAAAACCGTAAATTTTTAGTTACATCATATTATAATAAAAAAAAAATGGGTGCGTGTACTTATGTAGGCGCGTGAGAAGTTATCCTTCTTTGGCATCGTTTAAAATTAGTTTTTAATTGCATGCAAATAATTAGTTACAATAAATTAATAAAAAGTCTGGAAAAGGACACAGTCCATAAAGTTCAGTTTTAATTTGAAAAAATAAATAAATAATCAAAATATTCAATTAAAATCGCTACTGAATATAATTTATTAGAACATATGTGATTTGCACTTGTATGAAACTTAAACACGTATTCCGAATATACAAACTAGAAACATGTGGATAAATATTATAAATATGAATACCTATAACTGTTACTTTATTACAATAATAACATAAAAGTAACATTGAAAAATAAAGATGTGGTTTTTGGTTCTACTACACCAATGGTCAAGAGATGGCGCTGTAGTCTCCTGAATCGCGCTTTGGTTCCGTTGTTCCAGATTAATAAATACTTTTGATAGGCCTTCACAATGCAGTCGTTAGCATCCACTAAATAGAGATTCTATTTCTATTTTATTGGTAGATTTTCGTAATGTGCGATAAACACAAAAGTAACAGCATGAAGTTGGTTGGAACAGCTACAGCGACCAACTTCATGCTGTTAAAATTTTGTGTTACAGTGATGCGCGCGCATCTTAAAATTTCACTCTCATAATTTTTTCATAACGCGCCTAAAGAAGTATAACTTCAAAAATATTTTTGAAAATTCAGGTTTGTAAGGAACCCTCGATGCGCGAGTCTGGCTCGCACTTGGCCGAGTTTTTCTTTATGTGAAATGTGAGAAATTGCGATCACCATGGCTTTTAAGTTCTTGTTCAACAAAGGTTTCATTTGCGCGTTGCCTACGCTGGTCTCTGACCCATCCTCTACCACGCGAAGCCCTAGAATCTTTACACTCCGATAAAAACACAATACCACCAAAAGCTGTTTTTTACTGGGCTCTTCATTAATAGACCGGTAGCTGGTGACATGTGACTAACCCATCAATTATAGTCGGGGATTTTGATTTTGATGTTTATTAATTTTTTTCACAAAATTTTGTATGTTGGGCTGTAGCTACATGCATGCCATTTATATTCATGACTTAAAATAATGTAAATTCACGAAATACAAAACGGCATGCAATCACAAGTCACCTAAAGGACAATGTTAAAATTGGCCTAAGAACCAACACTAATTTGGCATTTATGATAATTCTTAGTATATTTTTTGCGATAATAATCAGTATTTACATTGTGACGGACACTTCCAGTTTAGTAAGCTAAATTAAAAAGTTAATAATTAATCTGAGACAATAAATACCATTTTATGTGTATAATCTATGGCAGCGCTGCAAACAAAACACTGTTTCTTTCTAATGCCGGCACTTCACTTCGCTATTCGTATTTGCAGTTATGATATTTCCGCAACACCAGGCTTCCTTGCTTTATCAACAAACTAGCCGTGCCCCGCGGTTTCACCCGCGTTTTTTTCGTTTCCGTGGAAATACCGAGATAAAATATATAGGTACCAACTCTTAACATCTTACACACGTGATAACTTTTAAACGAAATATCCGATTGAGATGAAACAAAAAGTATTTTACTTCTACATAAATACTCTTGATAACATAATGCTTAATTTCGATAAAGATTAATAACGATACATATTTAACGTAGTTTTCTTTTCTTCAGACGATTTAATAATTATTTTGAACACAAAATTGGTTATTGTGATTAAACCATGGTAGCTAGATATATGTTCTCCGAACTTTTTTGTAGGTCTTAATGGGATCTACAAACCCGTAGAACATCATTTTGTTCTATTGTCAATAGTTTTTGCAGCTCACGCAAAAATAAGTTTTCGATTTTACACCTTGTGTTACTACAAAATAGCAATTTTATTACGGATCCCTAATTTTTAAAAAAAACTTTTAGCCTTCCTCGATAAATGGACTACCCAACACTGAAAGAATCATTCAAATCGGACCAGTAGTTCCAGAGATTAGCGCGTTCAAACAAACAAACAAACTCTGCAGCTTTATAATATTATAGTATAGATTTTGTGATCAGCACGAACCAATATCGAATACGTAACGTTTGGGAGTCCGAAATGTCATTGTCAAATGTGTACTGATTTTTAGTTCCCGTTACATACTTTGTGACGCTGCTGTTCAAGTTTCCATACAAAATTTGACATTGACATTTTGCACTCGCAAACTATTCGAATTCGATTTTGGTTCGTGCTAAAGGCACAGTACCCCTAGCACGAACCATTATCGAATTCGAATAGTTTGCGATTCCGAAATGTCATTGTCATACATAACGAGAACTAAAAATCTGTACACATTTGACAGTTACATTTCTGACCCGCAAACGTTACGAATTCGATATAAATTGGTGTACTTAAGTGATGTTATTATTAAATTATAGCTATTAACGGGATTGTTACCATGTACCATGTTTTTTATGAGTCTCCGATATTTCGGCGACTTGTGTGTCGGGAACAAGTGCGAGTGAATAGTGAGAATGTGACCAGTGGTACGGGTATCGAGCGCAGTAAAAGACGACGTCAGAGGGTAGACCGATATGTCTGCCAATAACATCTACCCGCAATTACTTCAGTTACCCCGTGATCATGGCGCTTGCAACAGTGCCGAAATATCGGAGACTCACAAAATACAAGGTATATGGTAACAATCCCGTTAATAGCTATAACTAGCAAACCAGTGAACCAAATGTTCACCAAAAAAAAAATGTATTTAATTAATTGAGAACTTCGGAGATTTTGTGTGGTTTCGTTTGAAATAGAAATCACGTGATTTCTCGAAAACCGGAAGTGCTACGTTACTCACATCCGGTTTGTAGTCTTATCAGACTATTCTTAACTTATAACTTAAACATTCTCTATATCTATCTCTTACGGTTTGGCCGCTGAAACAGCACCACGAACGGACGGACGGACGGACGGACGGACGGACTTGTCTAATAGATAAGAGATGTTAGTGACCATGAAAGTTTAAAACAATATATTGTTATTATTAAATTCAAATATTTTCTTATTGTCACACAGAAATGGCAATTATCTACATGAAACCCGAACAAAATCACAAGTTGCAGCAAGGCCTATACGAGTGTCCCACATACAAGACCTTGCTAAGGGCCGGTACTTTGTCCACTACTGGACACTCTACCAACTACGTGATGACTATAGAATTGGCCACGCATAAACCTCAAGCGCATTGGATCAAGCGAGGAGTGGCGTTGTTTTGCGCACTAGATTATTAAAGCTAGTTTTAATTAGCATAGATCTATTAAAATATGTACTTGTTTAAATGAAATCAATTGTTTTATTGCTGCCGATTTATCGATACAAATACAATGCAATGTTGGTTTTTCGGGATTCGTAATCTCTAAACCTCTTCTAAGATCTTTTGTTTAAATTACTTTAAGATTACTCGAGGAGCTCGATGGCGCAGGTGGTTAGCGCGTTCGGCTGCGATCGTTGAAGTTAAGCAACTTTCGCAGTGGTCGTTCATTGGATGGGTGACCAAAAATATTCTATTTCGAGTTCCTCCGTGCTTCGGAAGGTACGTTAGGCCGGCCATCTGCAGTCGTTAGCACCCGCCACTGGGTCCTCGTGGCGGGTCATGGCCCAATCTCCCTATTCCATCCATAGGGAAGGCCTGTGCCCCAGAAGTGGGGATATTAATAGGCTGATGGTGATGGTGAATATTACTTCCTTTCCAATCAACTTCCATCCGCGACTTTGAGATTGAGTTTCACGCGATTTCCTTGAGGTTTTCCGTAGAAAACTTCTGCAAAGTAGTAGAAAACTCGAAAGGATAGATGAAATCAGTAAAGGTATGGTTCGAAACCCGAGCAGGAGCACAAATTCTGCCTACACGATTGTCCCACATAAGACTTGCTCAGGGCCGGTACACTGTCCACAACTGGGCACTCCACCAACGGCTTTGATCTGCGCACTAGATTATTGAAGCTACTTTCTCTTTCAAAGATAGATAATGAACTAAAATAAAGCTTTTTTATTACGGGGGAAATATAATGAAGAATTTTAGAATAGTTTAAGACAATTGGTCGAGCGCCATAAGGATGGTTTTAGTTTAATTGGTAAAATTATGTTTCTATTCTGTTATGTGTGGCGATATACCAGGAAAACTTCTCGCGCCCACTTATCTGTGGGATTGATGTCGCCGTGGCTGAGAGCACTGGCTAGTTACCGGAACAAACATTGTTTATGGTGCCTTTCGTGTAAAAAAGTGATTTTACTCGCTTCCTTCAAAAACTGTCAAGATGTGTGTCAATACGACTTTTCTCTCGGACACTATAAGATTTCAAATATTCTTGAGAATGTACAAAATATAATTGTGACGTGCGCCTTCTGGAATGACGGCAAAGCAAGGTCCAGCCGCCTCAAGTTACGCCCGTCGGAGACCACGCAACCCATCGTGTAAGGAGGTATCCTGGAGGTAAGTGGGCGCTTCCTTTTTCCTGGTATTGAACCACATCTCTTATGTATTAGACAAGTCCGTCAGTCCGTCCGTCCGTGGTGCTGTTTCAGCGGCCAAACCGTAAGAGATAGATAAAGAGAATGTTTAAGTTTATAAGTTAAGAATAGTCTGATAAGCTACAAACCGGATTTGAGTAACGTAGCACTTCCGGTTTCCGAGAAATCACGTGATTTCTATTTCAAACGAAACCACGCAAAATCTCCGAAGTTCTCAATTAATTAAATACATTTTTTTTTTGGTGAACATTTGGTTCACTGGTTTGCTAGTAATTTATAATTTCGGTGTAATCCACCCCAGGTGTGGGCTATTTACACGCGCCGCACCAACAATCAAAAGCTTACAACTCGAGATTCTTCGTGTTTCCGAAGTTATATTAAGCTAGTTAGTATTTGCTGCATCTTGTTTATGTTCAAAAGGGTGGTAAACGAAGGTATGGCCCGCTTGTTAACGGTCACCATATCCTATAAACGAAATACCATATATCATTTGCACCGTTGTCTACCCTGAACCTGGCGGGATAGGCTCCACGGGATAGATGTGCATCTGAATTGAGTGATCCTTGTTTAGTTTTCAATAAAGCCAAAACGTACATTTTGTGTAATATTGTCAAAACAAAATACCAGTAGGGTGACCATAATACGATTTTATTAGAAAATTAAAGGCTACATATAAACATTAATAATCTCTTATCTATTAGACAAGTCCGTCTGTCTGTGGTGCTGTTTCAGCGGCCAAGCCGTAAGAGATAGATAAAGAGAATATTTAAGTTATAAGTTAAGAATGTAGAGAGGAGCTCGATGGCGCAGGTGGCTAAGGCGTTCGCCTGCGATCGTTGAAGTTAAGCAACTTTCGCAGTGGTCGGTCATTGGATGGGTGACCAAAAATTTACTATCTCGAGCTCCTCCGTGCTTCGGAAGGCACGTTAAGCAGTTGGTCCCGGCTGCATTTGCAGTCGTTAGCACCCACCAATCCGCACTGGGCCCGCGTGGTGGGTCATGGCCCAATCTCCCTATTCCATCCATAGGGAAGGCCTGTGCCCCAGCAGTGGGGACATTAATAGGCTGATGATGATGATGATGATGAAGTTAAGAATAGTCTGATAAGACTACAAACCGGATTTGAGTAACGTAGCACTTCCGGTTTTCGAGAAATCAGGTTTTGGTGAACATTTGGTTCACTGGTTTGCTAGTATATTATATACCAATATAATCTGGACATCTTCTAGGCAGGCGTGTACCTAGGCCTCATCATCGCTTTCCATCAGGTGAGATTGTGGTCAAACGCATTGCCTATTTTGCATAAAAAAACACATTTTTATTCCTATTCCTATTTATTGAAATTATAAATTGCCAAAATACGCATGTAAGTATATGTAAAAATTTTGGTGATTCTTTTTTACTGTTATATTTTTCTTGCATATTATCATCCTAGCAAATAATGCGCCCATTTATATAGGCGTGGGCTCGATGATGACCGATTACACCAGGTTGCATAGAAGGTATAAATTCTATACCTCCTAGTAATCTGTAGGACCTATTTTTAATTAAAATCCTTTCGGGCACATCATATAAATTTACTTTTTCTGTTCCATTTAAGTCCATTGAAATAATATTTGGAAATTCGTAATTATAAACAGGAAATACAAGTTCCCTTTTCATCACCACAAGGAATTGCATCTTCTAGGGCGTGAGAATACAGAAATTAGCCTAAATGACGGTTAAAGAAAAAAGGTCCGTTAAACGCCAAAGTTGATATCTACCCTACACTACTTCATTCTGTAATAAAATATTAAAAACGAAAATCTCGCGAATGGAATGACGTATTCAAATAAATTATATGCCAAATTTTAGTCAAAATATTGTACAAAATTTCAACGTATTTTCTGTATACTTTATACCAAGAGGTAGTTATCTACATGACTTTATAAGGATCACTCGGCTCAGCAAATTAAAAAAGGTTTTATTTGTTAATAACTTTTTAACTATAAGCATTTGTGGTGTGTTATTAATTTGTACAGATATTTCCAAAAGTTGCCTTCAAGGTGACAAAAAAATGCCGACAATAACGCCGTATTTCTAGGATCACTCAATCTAAATGCGTCAGGTTTGAGTGATCCAATGAAACTATCATAGATTCCTGGATTTACGTTGAAGTAACTTAATTTTTTTGTAAAAGTCCTTTGTATGTTCCCACATTATATTATGTAAAGAATATTTGACAATTATAATATCTATTATAACGTAATAACTAAAACTAAAAAAAAACTTAAAATATATTATAACTAAAATACATCACTAAAAGGAATCCCTTTAGGCAAGGTTCCAAAGATACTGGCAGCGTTCCCCCTTTGAATAGCTAGAAAAAGTGCAACAAGTCTTTCAAATCTTTGAAAGGCCTCAACATACACACTACAAAAACACATAGGAAATGTATTAGCCAAAATAGTTCACCATTAGACATCCATCCCATTATTCCAAGTGTGCCTACTTATGTAGCCAACGATCCAACTCCTTTCCACACATATCTTAGCCATTTGAAAAATAGTTTACCTATAGTTAAGAGAATCCCACGAGGAGCTCGAATTACCGTTGCTACACATTTGTCAAAATTAATCCAGAAATGTTACATAAACAATAGTACTCAAGACTGGCAGAACCTATTTTTATTTTCATACAGCACACTACATATAATAAAAACTGTTGTACCGAATTTATCCTTGACACAAAAGATCAAGAATAACTGTGCTGTAAGCTTCTCGCCTTCTCCCGCACCTGTAATCAAACATGATGCCCCTCGTAATCGCAACAAACTCATCGAAAATAAAATCTGTGACGGAGATCTCAAAGGTGCCGCTCGCCTTTTGTTCTCCAACGACGTGCTATCACCAGATACCCCTGACACCCTTCAGGCCTTACGGAAAAACCATCCCCCAGCTCCAGTAAACCCATATTTTCTCGACTCATCAACAGCAGGGCAAGCATGCCTTCAAATTCAAAACAAAGATGTTACGAATGCAATTTTATCTTTTAAACCAGGTTCGGCTGCAGGTTTGGATGGAATCTCACCCCAACATTTGAAAGACTTAACATCGCATTCTGTGGGTGATGCAGGCGAGCACCTTTTAAATTCGATCACTTAATTAATCAACTTTATGTATTCCGGTAATGTCAATCCAGAAATTGTTCCCATTCTTTTCGGGGCGAACCTCATTGCCCTCACCAAAAAGGATGGAGGGGTGAGACCAATTGCTGTTGGATCAGCATTACGACGTCTGGCCTCTAAAATTGCTGTTCGACATGTTTTACCAAAATTAAATTCGGAATTTGAACCCGTACAAATAGGCTTCGGTATAAAAGGAGGGTGTGAGGCAGTCGTCCATGCCCTACGCTCTTTCCTAACTTACGAAAAGCCTGACGTGTTGCTCAAAATTGATGTCAAAAATGCATTCATTTCAGTAAATAGGGATACCCTGCTGATGGCAATAAAACAACATATACCAGAAATATACAATTATCTTCTTCTCAGTTACGCTGATCCAACAAAATTGTTATATCGTTCTAATGAACTATCCTCGGAAGTAGGTTGTCAACAGGTGATCCCCTTCGGCCTGCAATTTTTAGTTTGGCTATAAATCCGATAGTCAAAAAAAATAAGTCTAAATTCAACGTTTGGTATTTGGACGACGGAACCCTAGGAGGTGATGTAGATACTGTGTTTTTGGACCTTTTTTTAAAAAAATAAATTTGAAGCCATTGGTTTGGAGCTTAATTTTAGAAAATGCGAACTTTTTATTAATAACAGCGACCTAAATTTAAATGAAGTAAAACAAA